GCGGCGACGACCGTCCCGAAGTCCTCCCCAGCCTCTTGCGTTAGCGAGACTTCCAGCTCCATCACGGCCATTGAGAGCACGGCGCGTCCCCATCGCCTCGACCCTTGCCGCTGGAGGTGTCGACATCCTTCGTCGACGACAACTCCTTCGACGTCTGCTTCTCGTTGCGCGGCTTCTCGTCTTGACGTGGGCGACGACTCGATCGTCCGCGACCTCATTTGTTGTCGTCCTCGTCACTTTCGTTGCGGTCGGGACATTCAAATGCGAGTTGGTCGGGGTCGCTGAAGACCCAGCACTTCGACGTCGACCACCACCATTTCGACTGCTGCCCCGACCTGAATTCTTCTCATCGACATCCCTCGTCGACTTCCCACATGCTCTACCACCTCCGCTTGGCTTCCAGCGCTGCCCTTGTCGACCTCCCTGCTTCGTCGGGGCTTCGTAATTCGCCTGCGGAGGAGCTCCGTGGGCCTCTCTGCCTCCTGTATTGCCTTATCATTGATGACGTGGTTGGTGAGGGTGCCCTTGTCAAGCGACTCTCACATGCCGAGCATCATCAGCATCCGGCGCATGAGATTATAGCCACTTGGCATGCCTTTGACGACGTGCGTGGTATAAGACGCCGCCGTGTAGGTGACGCCCGCCATTTGCATCTCGACGAAGATCTGTCGAGCACGGTTGCAGTAGTATTTCGTCGATTCTTGCTCGCCCATCTTGAGGAGTGTCATCTGCTCCTCCAGGTGCCCGATGTACAGGTCGTCCGTCGCCTAGTACATTAACAGGATGAGGTGGCCAGCATCCAAGCGCTCTCGACAAGGCTTCAACGCTATCTGCACCACCGGCGAGCAACACCTCGAGATGACCATGAAGGTCAGCAGATGAGCATCGCAAAACTCCACTCGCAGCCCGACGTCGTCCTCCTCCAGAGTTGGCACAATGCTGTCACAAAGCCTTTTAGCCCTGCGATCTCCAGCTGTCGTGATGAGATCACGTCGACCTTGCAGCAGCGGGGTCACGGAGATTTTGCCCGGCGAAAACCTGAAGTACCCGTAAGCCGGTGCGATCCCTCCCGCCGTCACACGCGTCGTCGACGAGTGCCTCCCACTGCTTCGTGGAGGAGAGTGACATCGACCGTCGACGGTCGACATGTAAGTTGCCTGCGACCGCCGTCGATGTACTTGCGCATGATTCCCATCGACGCGACCATCGACGGACCTGATCACTCCGATCTTCTTCGTGCCCTCACTGACGCCGACCTGGCCACAATCGTCCACCACCTCATCGACGCCACCTTCCTTCCGCACCGGTCGAGGAGATGGAGAACGGAAAGTGTGTTATGTTGTGCATTGTATCTAGATAACAAGCTCGACGACCAACAACGCGAGGGTCGTCACATACCCGCCATCCTCGTGGCGTCTCCTCGCATCAGCCGATCGAGCATCCAAGGTGTCTTCTATGCCCGCTTCAACCACGGGTCGACCATTGCGACTAAGATAGCTACGGCCTGCGAACGACTTAGTAGGTGCAAAGGTCGGTTCCCTTCTGAAGGTAGTCTGCGAAGCCATCCACGCTCACCGCACCATGCGGAGATTCACTCTATAACGGGTGCTGAACCGCGGATTGGCACGAGTTCTAGGAGTGATCATAACTTTGCCTGTGTTCCTTAGCACAAGCACATTAACAAGAGAAGTTGGCAAGATTTTCCACTAGCAAAGTTGGAATTATATTGTTGAATGAATAACAGCAAGAATTAGTACATAAATGCCTAGCAACCTAGCTGTCAGGCAGGTCGACCGCAAGCACAGCATTATCGACCGAGTGACAACGTTGCGTAGAGGAACCGCGCTGGCGCTGCAGAAACGCGGCCTGCCAACAGAGCAGGTCGGCGGCGTGGCAGCGCTGCATCAATGCGACCGTCCTGCGTTGCACTCATAGAAGAAAGCAATGCGCTCGCTCGCACGTGCGCGCAGATGATTGGGCCGACATGCACCGTCTCGTGCCCGTCGGCTGTCTTACGCGCCGGACCAGCCCGAAGTCGCCTTCGCCATCGCAGCCTCGACGGCGTTCGCGTGCCCCCGCAGAACCTCGTCGAGCAGGTTACTTGGTCGACTGGGTCAACCACCCAGCGCGCGCCCTGGTCGACGACCTCCTTCATCGACCACCGCGCCTGTCGAAGACCCCTCCTAGTCGACGACCTGTTCGAAGACCAGCTCGGTCAGCTGCAATCGTCTAGTTTCTCGTCAACGGCTCCAGCTACGCAGCTATCATGTGAAGGTTGATGACCATCAGGCCCTCAGATATCAGCGTAAAACACGCTGATTACGCTGATTTTGTAGCTCTGATTTCCGTTTTCCCTGAAAATTCAGCATATGCTTCAATTTTGCACTGAAATTTCAGTATAACCTATTAAGCCACACTGACCGTTTTGCGTGTTTCTGTACTAGTAACACTGACGAATCAGTATACTTCAGAGAGTGACACTGAAACGGACTTGACCGCGCGTGGAGGGGGGGGAGGGGGTGTCAGAGGTCCACTGGAGATCCCCGATTGATCCTAGGGAAGGGTTACAGGCACGTTGGCCTGGGGGGTTATGGGCGCACTCACCCGCTACACAAAAAAAGCCCTTTTATCCCAGTGGTTAGTGACTGGGATTCTGACATGGTATCAGAGCGAAGGTCTCGGGTTCGATTCCCGGTGTGTGCACTTCGGGCATCCCAGTGCGGGGGGGTGTCAGAGGTCCACTGGAGATCCCCGATTGATCCTAGGGAAGGGTTACAGACACGTTGGCATGGGGGGTTATGGGCGCACTCACCCGCTACACAAACAAGCCATTTTATCCCAGTGGTTAGTGACTGGGATTCTGACAGGGGGTTGAGGATAGGGTACGCGACGAGCGTGTACAGAGTGTACCTACCCGTGATTCACGAAACCCCACCCCACCCACACACTTGGAATTTTTTCACATGCGCTGTACTTACAACTTGTGCGCGTCGAACCGTTTTGCCTCGCTGGAAGCCATCTCACCGTTGTGCACTGGTGTTTTTTTACACTGCCGTTTCAGTTTAATATAAATGTTTACACTGACAAAATCAGTATAAACAAAACCACGAACGCTGATTTGGACACTTGGTTGGCAGGGGCACGCTGATCCATCAGCATACCCTCAAACCAATTTGAGTGCCTGATGACCATCTTATCGACCTGCCCCGTCGAAGTGGTCGTCGTCTCCCCGTCAACGGCATCGCCGCAGCGGTTCCTTGCAGCTCGACGAACCACGTCAAGCTGCTTGCCCTGACCGGCGTTGACCATTCTCACCGTTTTGTCCGTAGTGTTGCGAGACGCTGTTGGTTACAAAATATTTTCGCGACCATTCTCGTTAACTCGCAAAAATATCTGCAACATCCGAAAATTAGCTCGTAGCCCATTGTTCACTGTTGAATTGTCCACTGGTCGATTGATGCATAATGACCCTAATAATACCACTTTTTAACGTGTGGAAGTCGAAGGTTATTTCTGCTTCCCAAGAAAAAACTAAAACCCGTTGGGTTTTCCTTTGGGAAGCATCAACCCTAAACACCTTGTCGCAAGGTGTTTAGGGTTGATGCCTCCCGAAGGGTGTGTCATCCTTTAGTGCTTTCTTCTTCTTCTTCTTCTTCTTCTTCAGCCCCCTAAAATTCAGACTAGAATCATGCGCGAGGGTAACCAGCAATCGAGATTGGGATTCCCCCAAATCTCTACAGTTTCTTTTGCGGTTTCAAACTAATTATGCTTGTTTTATCGAGTGACCAAACGTGATAGCCTTTCGAGGCAAGGTGTGACCATCCGTGATAGCACAGTGATCACCCACAATAGAAATCTACTGTACTGTGACTGTTCGTGATACCAGTGTGACCAAACGTGATAAAACGCTGAACATTGTGACTGCCCGTATAATTTCCCTCATACATATAATGGGAGACGCTTTTTGTGAAATAAGAAGTACGAATTGTATGCATTTTCGTCTGTACCTACCTATTATCGCATTCGTGGCGCTGATGTGGATATGAACAGTTTCAACAGACGATGGGGCTGGTACTGTATGCCTGCTGGTGGGTTACAGATAGGCATGAGGGTCTGCATGACGACGTATTGCTGTGGAATGACACCAATCACCATCCTCATTTTGCCACGTTGGCGCGATCTTTCCACTCTCTGAGCAGCAATTAGTTTAGTATCAACAGCGATATGTGTTACACGGTGGAGTTGGGCTTCGCGAGCCACGTTGGAACAACAGCTTTCGCGGTCAGCGTCGCAATACACTTTCGCACCAATCATCGTGAGCCATATTAGATGAGGCTGGCAGGTGCAGCACGTGCTGAAGACGAATCGCATCGGACACGACTTTGCTGCGCTGGCTCGGTCATCGAGCTTTCACGTGGGGAAAGTGGCATGGCTGTACGCGGTCCGGGTAAACGCGCTGTTGTAGGCGGAGGCGCAGCACCAAAAAGCGAACGCAGTTGCGCTTTTGGGGTTGGTTGGTTGAGCATCTGGGGAAGACTAACGCTTGCGGGCTACGGAATCTTCATCTAGCGGCCGCGCTGACCCGCTGAGCCTTTTCCGCCTGCCCCGCTTTCTTCCAAAACATTTTCTCCGCAGCCTGTATTTCCTCTTCCCCCAACCCCCAATACCCGCGCCATTTCGTGAGTCTTTTTCCCCCAACCTTCCCCGCGCGTAGGAATACAAGAAGGGCTCAATCGAGCATTCCGCCCAAGCAATCCATTCTCAGCCTTGACCTCCTTAGCATATTTGCAGAACAATTTCGGCATTTTATTTACTAGCAATCCTTCACCACTGTCCTTCATTCTCACCGCAGCGCTCATAGCCTAAAATCGCTTTCAACGAGTCAGCCTCGTAGTCTTCACGACAGATTACACCCCTCTAAAAGACAGCTCTCCGCTCTCCCGCTGCTGCAACACCTGCTGCTATCTCCTTGTCCTCTCACCGTCACCGCACAATTCCCAATGGAGTCCGTGGAGGTCACTCAGGTCGCCACCCGCGTTGTGTACGCCGACGCCGAGGGCGCCGTGCACATGGGCATCCCCATCTACATCGACGACACGGGCGCGTGCCACGCGGGGCACGTGGAGCAGGCTAACGAAGAGGCCGTCGTTAGCACCATCTTTGACGGCACCACGACGACGGAATCCGGCGCCGCGGAGAAGAAGCTTATGGTGGAGCGCGTCGTCGAGCAGGCCATGCACGTCGAGGAGGTTTCCGAGGACGAAGAGCGCCGCCGGAAAGTGCGCTCGATGATGAAGCGCCTCCAGACCTCGCCCAGCGGCCGTACTCTCGAGGAGAAAGGTGCGGCGCGAAAAGGATGATGTCGTCGTGATTTGCTCGATTATTAGTTTGATTTTCCTTCGTTGCCTTGTTCTCCTGTTTTCATGTTGATGCCGTGTGATTTCCTTGGTTGTCCTACCTGTCGGCTCACGCTAATATGCTATTTTTTTTTGTCGTGTTCGTTTCTGCTTTGATAATTCGCAGATGCTCTGCGTCGCGCCATTATCTGCGACCGTGGGCTCCGAAGGCAGGCCAGCGCTGATAGCGTGAGTACTTCCACTCTCTTCCCGAATCCTCTTTCCTTGCCGTGTCGTCGCTTCGGCCGGTGTTTCTTATTTCTGTTCTTGCTATGGCTAATAATGTTAATTCTATCTGTTTTCTCTTTCCTGTTCTTGCAGGCCACGACCTCCTCGCAGAACATCTGCTTCCTGACTGCTGCGCCTGCGCCGCTGCTGCTTCCCTCCGTGTTTTAGCTCGCTCTGTCTCCCTGCCGCCCGGAACTTCTTTGATTGTTCCACCTCGCCACTCCTCGTCGCCGTCCTTCCATCAATCCGAATGTCCATCTGTCCGTCCGTTCGTCCGTCAGTCGTGTCGTCCGTCAGAGGATTCCACCGCACGGAACCTGTCTGTACAGTGGTGGCTACAGTGGATCTGCTGGCAGCAAGCTCATTATTGAATCGCTTGGAAGCGTTTAGGGTTGCCTCGCCAGCTCCCATGTCAAACGCTGTACATTTTGCTTTGAAATGAGAAAATAGTGGTGTCTTCATCCCTCATTTTGTTCTGGAAATAAGATTGGTATAATTGTAAGGTACCTTGAAACAAGTAATGACAGACTGTGGGTAACCGCAGATCTGTTTTGAATTTGCTGTTGGGGAACATGAACACCAACATACTTCTAATATATGTGAATGTGACCCTTTCAGTACCCAAACAGTGTCCACGAATTTTGCATGAAATAATCAAGAGTGGAGTTTCCAAACTTGCGAGCAAAAAGAAAGCAGTTGCGGAGCTCTTTACCCACAACGCAGCAGCCGTTTCTTGTACTCTGCTTGAGCACATTCGGAAGGGTCATGCAACAGAGGAAGTTGGAAGTTCTAAGGACAGGATCTGTACCGGGGACCCGGACGGAAGCAATGTTGGCAGCTGGGAAAAACAGTAGCGGCAGTTCTATAAAAACACGATGGTGCAGTGCAAAGGAACGGTGGGAGAAGGGAGGAGCAGGAAGGCAGAGGGAAAGACAGGACTGGAGAGCAGATGGAAGGACATGGGAGGAGAGCAGACGGACAGACATGACAGGAGAGCAGACGGACAGACGTGACAGGAGAGCAGACGGACAGACATGACAGGAGAGCAGACGGACAGACGTGACAGGAGAGCAGACGGACAGACATGACAGGAGAGCAGACGGACAGACATGACAGGAGTGCAGAGGATAAGGAATCAGAGCAGAAGAAGGGGGAGCAGGAGAGATCAGTATCAGTTCGTACCAGAGGCGGTTGCGGAAGGGAGAGGTCTACAATCTGTAAAATGACAGGAGAGGAGAGAAAACAAGAGGAGAGGTATGGGATTTTTGGGATGGTAAGTGGTACAGGTAATGCCTTGTCCTGTGGCACATGGCCGTGCTATGGTATAGTTCACAGCACACTGATTCATAAAAACAAGCTGAGTTGTCGATTCACGTAAGGCAATGATCTGCTTGGTGCGTGGTGCTTGGTGCGTGGTGCTTGGTGCGTGGTGGGTGGTGCGTGGTGCATGGTGCACGGTGCGTGGTGCTTGGTGTGTGGTGCTGGTGCTTGGTGCTAAATGCTTAATGTGAGGTTTGCAAGAAAGCGCATTGCAGCCTTACATGTGAGAAGTTGGACTTGAAGTCGTTCCAAAAGTTCTTGTAGGGTACAAAGTGTTTCGCGGACTGGTCTTGTCCGACAGACATGAGTGGTGGTTTGCAGCAGATATGCCATGGGAGAAAGTCAAGAAGATGAAGCACACATGTTAACATGTGAAGGCACTCAACCATGCAGCAGCACATGCATGCTAACAGGAGAAAAAAAACAGCAAGATCTAGAAGTGACAAAGTGTGCCACAGTGTGCTTTTTGAGTCCTAGTCTCACCTGTATGCATCCCGATTCCCGACCACTCAGGTCTCACCTTGATGGCATGTGCGGCGATGTTGTCGCCTGTGAGCAACTTGGGATGCCACAATGTGCTTTTTGGGTCAACTCTAATCTCATTTGTATGCATGCATGCCAAACACCCAGGTTTCACCTTCATGGATCGAATGGCATGTGCAGTTATGTTGTCTCCTGTGAACAGCTTGGGATGCCACTCCGCTGCGCTCCAGTCAGCAAAGGTGGTGGAGAAACCAGAAATGCCCGACGGGTCCCACATCTGCCTCAAGGTATGGGAGGAGGGTGTAGGATTCAACGGTTGGGTTCAGGGTGTGGGATTCAGGGTGTCGGGTTGAGGGTGTAGGGTTGAGAATTCAAAACCCAATTAGGGTTCAGAGGGAGTAGATTTGGGGTGTAGAGTTTAGGTTTTAAGCTTTGGGGCTTATAATTCAGGTTCTGGGTGTAAAGAAGGAGGGAGTGGTTGACGATGGTGCCGTTGAGGTTTAAGGGGAGAAAATCCAAGGGATGGGAATGCGGGGAGACAGGAAAGGGAAGGGGGACAGGGGGACCACTCACATGGAGGAGTATTTGCACATAGTGCTCGTCCGCACAGCAGAACCTGCTACCTGCTTTTGAGTCGACTCAAAAATAGGAAGCAGGATCGGAGAGGCCACTCACATGGAGGAGTATTTGCACATAGTGCTCGTCCGCACAGCAGAACCTGCTACCTGCTTTTGAGTCGACTCAAAAATAGGAAGCAGGATAGGAGAGGCCACTCACATGGAGAAGTATTTGCACATAGTGCTCGTCCGCACAGCAGAACCTGCTACCTGTCCTCATGCGAAACTGGTGTGGGGGGAGGGTGAGAAGAGGGGTGAGAAGAGTGGGGTGGAGATGGGTGGGAGACGGCTGGGCATAGAGATGGCTTCAGAGGCGCCTGAAAAGTTGCATGCAGTGCTCGTCCGCACAGCAGAAACTATTACCGGTCCTCATGCGGAACTGGTGTGGGGGGGAGGGTGAGAAGAAGGGGTTGGGAAGAGAGAGGAAGGAGAGGAGAGAAACATGGATCACCAAGATTGCAGCCTTCCTTCCCACTTTCATCCCCACTCCCTCCCTCTCAAGTGCAAGAGTGCAAGAGTGCAAGAGTGCAAGAGTGCAGGAGTGCAAGAGTGCAAGAGTGCAGGAGTGCAAGAGTGCAAGAGTGCAAGCATGCAAGAGTGCAAGCATGCAAGAGTGCAAGCATGCAAGAGTGCAAGCATGCAAGAGTGCAAGAGTGCAAGAGTGTGACAGGGAGCGTACCTTGCAGCTCTCAGTGTGGCGGCGGTAGTGCGTGGTGTCTTGGACCACCAGGCTCCCCAGGCTCGCAACCCACTCCCCCTCTTTCCTCTCGAGTGCATGTATGAGTCTTGTCCAAACTCTGCAACTGCAGGCATCATGCACGGCAGAGCGTACCTTGCAGCTTTCGGTGTGGCGGCGGTAGTGTGTGGTATCCTGTATCACCATGTTCGCATGCTTCCTCTGCAGCACAAACCACTGCCATCCATCCATCCATCCATCCATCCGTCCATCCATCCGTCCATCCGTTCATCCACATGCATGCATGCATCCGTCCATCCGTTCATCCACACGCATGCATGCATACAACCATCCGTCCATCCAACCCCATGAAAGCATGCATACAAGCATGTATTTGCGAGGGGGGTCGGGACGGTGATGCAGCAGGTTTACTTTCGGTGAGCAATGCTGTCACTCTACTTGTATGCTTCCATTGCAGCCAGAACTAACTACCACCATCCATCCACCCATCCACATGCGTGCATGCATGTAGCATGCATTTGAGAGCGGAGGGTTGACATACCGAGGTGAGAAGAGAGGGGGCGGGTGGCAGGTAGGAGGAAGCCGGAAAGAGGGGAGGAAGAGAAGAGGAGAATGAGGGAAAGTTGTTGGAAGAGGGAAAGAGTGTGGAGAGGAAAAGTGGGTGGAGGATGGGAAGAGGGGAACTGGGGAAAAGTGAGGACTGGGAAAAGTAGGTGGAGTTCTCTTTCCCCAACGGGGAGTGTGTGACCGGGGTTTGAAAGCTGTTTCTCCTAGCTACAGAGAACTCTTATAAAGGTGAGACGGAAAACAGCTCTCATAGGTACCGGGTGAACCATGTGCCTCACTGCATAAGAATGTGGAGCTATTAGGAAGGTGAGGAGAGGTGAGGTGAGTTGAGTGTGTTTTGCAGTGATGAGAGTGAGGGTGAGAGCGCACCTGGCTGCCCCCCACATAGTGCTCTCTCTTGATATCCGGGAAGAAATTGTGCCTCTCTCTACCAGAACGAGGAGCTCTTAGTGAGGTGAGGTCAGGTGAAGTGCGGTGAGGCGCGGTGAAGTTAAGTGAGGTTGGGTGAGGAGAGGCGATGAGAGGTGAGGGTGAGAGCGCACCTGGCTGCCCCCCACGTAGTGCTCTTTCTTGATATCCGGGTAGAAAATGTGCCGCTCGTAGTGGCGAAAGGCCAACCCGTACCGGTCATAGTCCCTGGTGGAGGGGATGATAGAGGGAATGACAGAGGGAATGACACATGTGGGGGGAGGATTGAGAGAGAGGAGGGGACGAAGGGGAGAAACGAGTTGCTGAGGTCCCAAAGCCTCTCGTAGTGACGAAAGGCCAACCCGTACCGGTCATAGTCCCTGGTGGAGGGGATAATAGAGGTGGGGAGGGGGGGAGGGGGTGAAGAGAAGGGGGGAGGTGGGAGCGGAGGGGACAAAAAGGGGAGGGGGTATCTAAGGCGCGTCAAAGCTCGTAGTGGCGAAAGGCCAATCCGTACCGATCAAGAGTGCAAGAGTGCAAGAGTCCCTGGTGAAGCGAATGACAGAGGGGGGGGGGAGGGGGAGACGAGGGTGGGAGAGGAGGGGACAAAGGGAGGAATTGCGGTGGGGGGGACAGGAGAGGAAGGTGTGAAGAGGAGTGGTGTCAGGACTGGGAATGAGTAGAGCGGTGTAGGTGCAGGGAAATCGGTGGGCGAGAGGAGGGCGGTTAGGAGGGAGACAGCAGGAAAATCCAGGTGAAGCACTCCCGCCTCAACTAGGCTGGCTTGGGCTGCTGTGATGTTTTGGAGAATCCTCGAAAACACCTCGCAATGTGGCACAGGCATAGCCATAGACTTGGGCTGTTGAGTTGAGATGCAGGCATAGATGGATGCAGGCATGCATGTTTGAAACGTCTGAAAAGAGTTAGAGTTTTGAGATGGCTGTTGAGTTTAGAGTTCTGAGATGTGGGTGAAGCACTCACGCCTCGATTAGGCTGACTTGGGCTGTTGAGATGTAAGTATGAATGTAGTCGAACGGCCACAGTGGAATGCACCTGGCAGGCAGGCACACAGCACAGAAAGGGGGAAGGGGTGAGGTGAGTGAGGTGGGTGAGGTGAGTGAGTGAGGTGAGTGAGTGAGGTGAGTGAGTGAGGTGAGTGAGTGACTCAAGTGAGTAGATAGAGTAAACTATCACATTTCTGAGACGAGGGCGAAGTAGTGGTTGCGGGGGTCAGTAAGCGCGTACGCCAGCAGCTTGCGCTCTGCTGTCACCACAGAGATGTCTCCCCACACCACCTGCACCGAGCATCACATGTGTGGGTGCACGAAATACAAGAAATTACGAGGGAGTATGCCAGCAGCAGCAGCCTGCGCTCTGCTGTCACCACAGAGATGTCTCCCCACACCACCTGCAACGCAGGGAGAATCGGGCAGGGAGAATCGGGCACGATACAGAGTGGAGGCGTAGGGGAGTGTGATGTGATGCACGTGGGACGGATTGGAGTAATGAGTTGCGGGGGTCAGTAAGCGCGTACGCCAGCAGCTTGCGCTCTGCAGCCACCACAGAGATGTCTCCCCACACCACCTGCACCGCAGGGAGCATTGCGCATCGGGGGGAGATAAGGAGGCATGAGAGGATGGGTGTGAGAGGATGGGTGTGAGGGGTAGTTTGAGAGGGCAGGTGTTCGAGTAAGGCTTACAGGGGACGCCGGAATCATGCTGTGCCTGTAAGATACAGAAAGGTGCAAAGAAGAACCTTTCAGAAGACTCAACTCGTGTGCCTGAAAGAGAGGAGGAAGACCTTTCCAAGAAACTCGAAACTTACCTGGCGAGCAAGGCTTACAGGGGCAGCAGGGATGAATCTGTGTCTGAAGAGGCGAGGAAGGGTGGAGGGAGAGGGGGTGAGCGAAGCATTGGAGGCGTGGATGTAGATGCTGAACCGCCCTTGCGATCCCTGTAGATTCATGAATTCATGAATTTATAAATTTATGAATTTATGCAATCATGCATTCATGCATTCATGGATGCACGGATGGGAGGGAGTGGTGCAAAGCAACATTCTGAAATTGTCATCATTCCCAAATAAGATCTGGGTTGGAGGGACAGGGGAGTGAGTACCATGTGCTAGGGAGAATCGCTTGAGAAAGGAATGACGGATTGCAGGAAAGAATCGTACAAGTGAGGAATTGAGAGACAATGGAAACGACCTGATATTGATTGTTAAAGATAGTTGATCATTGGGGGTATATTCCGTCAGAATCACCATTTTCCCTTCTACGACCTACTCTGAAAAATCTCTCCCACAGAGGAGCGAGTGGGAGCGGGCCACGTGTCAAGAACATGAACGCGATTCGCCCACGGGTTCCATTTCCTTCTGCGCCTTTTTGCTCCACATCCGTTTCGTACGAGAAGTCCTTCGACTTTGCGATCCGTGCGACTCGTAGCAATCTAGGCGACGCAAAGCGTGCGACGGTCAAGCCGGCGAAGAGAATGAGCGACGCGATTAGCACGTATCTGGCGATTCGCCTGACGGTAACGAGTTTCGCAGACCTTTTGTCCTGAGGCTTGTTCGGAGGGTTCCTAGAAAGGAGCCTCTCCATGCTTTCGCGGAAAAAGCGGCCGTTGAAGGTCCACCAGAGAACTACTTATTGTCCACCTACCTATTGGCCTTGTTCGGTGGGCACCCAGCGCGAGTGGGCCCACTCGTACTGGCGAAGCCTTCGTGGGGCTTCCTAGCCTTGGGCCCCAAATCGCACTGACAGCACCTTCGCATTTGATTGCGGGAGCTTGCGCGACAACAGCGAGGTAGCTTCAACCCTGGCTGTTTTCCCCCGTCACTCTTACCGCATTACAGGGGTAAGGGCTTGTAGTGGGCCGCAGCTCCACTGCGACTGGTTTTTGCCAGGAGAAGAAATTTCTCCCTCAGCTTCGTCGCGGCCTGTCTTCTCTCAGTCAGACTAGCAAATAGAGGCGTTCGGTACCAAACTCTAACTGGCTAGGTTCGGTGTTCTACTGACGAGTTCAAGGGCTTTAAGCATAAACGCATTCGAAATCGGGAACCTGCCCTGACCCATCCGCAGTCTGACTGGGCAGCTTGCCGAACAAGGCCATGTAGGCGGATAAGACCTAGTGGATAACACCGGCACGCAAACGGGATGGTTAGCTTACAAAACTCCCCACAATTGCGTAAAGATGCTAAATTTTGCTGACGCAATTTACAGAAACAGACCCCGTAAAAAACCAATCCCGCTAGACTCTTGCAATGTTCTAATAGTCTCTCAAGGTACCATCTCACACAGTATACCGAATCTAGAATAGTCACCATCCATAATATCATTCCTGTGCAAAACAAAATGATACATACTGGGCGTGTATTCTTTACATAAATACTCTATGCTTGACTCCTGGTGGGGAGTTTCTCTTCTACTCCAACGTGATGCACTGCCATCTGTCATTCCCTTTCAGGTCCTCATAACGAGTACGAAATGTGAAAGAGAAGCCAAGCGAAAGTTTCGGTAGGGTTCCCAGCAACTGTTTGTTTTGCCTTGCTCCACCCGCCAGCCAGTTCAATTACGGTGATTGCTCTTGCTGGGACTGGGTAGAACGAGTGGGAGTTGGTCCTACCCAGTGACTCCCCCAATCACCAACACTTCCTGGTGCGGTTGAGTACAGTACCGTCGAGGGACCCCCACTGCGTATCTTCGCTTCAGCCTCACAAACAAGCCTGAAGGGGAAAACCTGGAACCTGTAGCTCAAACAATCAGGATACGGGAGGAAATTGATTCGCGTGCTACCCCGGGAGTGGATGGAATATTTCGTACCCAAAGATGCGAAACACAAATGGGTAGGCGGGTTACGACCGACAGCTGATGTAACACCGAAGGGGTTCTCCCCCTAAACCGATCAGGTTACCGAGCGTGACCAAATTCAAATTTGCGGAACGGTCGGATTGGCCACCCACACTCACTGAAACACGGTCCGACGACAAATTGATTGATGGAACGCGCGATGCACGCGCACTGCAAGTCGCGATTCAATCTGACGGCTACTGCTTGACTCTCTGACGCTCTATGCGGCTGCGATGTGCGCTGTTTGGTTTGAAAAATGCCGTCTGCAACAACCACAGGCACAAACTACCTTTGCCTCCACCACCACCCACCCCACCACCAGCCCGCCTGCATTACCACGCAGCCATCATCAGCCAAAGCCGTTGCTTGTGTGAAAGGTGAGGGGGAAGAGAACACAGCGTTCCGCCCGAGACCGAGCACGAGAAGCTATGCTTTGGCTTTGCTCTGATCTCTCTTGCTAATCGGCACAGTAGCTTCGGGTTGAGTTCATTTAAGACGAGTGGCTATGAAGAATGCCAACATGATATAGATGGCGGTTTTTCCTGAACCCAGAGAAGATTGACTTAGTAATCCTACTGCCAACCGTGCGTCTGAACTTTATCTGAGCCCATTAACGCCAGAACCAGCGCTAGCACTAGGACTAGCACTAGCACTAGAACCACCAGGTCAAGCATTAACAGTAGTACTAACAGGACAAGCACTAACATTAACATTAGCGCCATCGCTACTGCACTCGTAGCTGAGTAGTCTGATTTCCGGCGACTATCGCCTCTAACCCTCGAAAGGTTTGCGCCTGTCCGGCCTCCCTCTAAATTGCCTGGTTCGGTGCGTGCTGTCACGATGCCGATCCGCACAGCGGTCTATGGCGGCAGCAGCGGCTGCAACAACGGCAACAGCGGCAACGGCAGCGGCAGCATTAACAACGCCAATAACAACACCAGCAAAAACAACAACAGTGCTACTACCAGATACCGCAACGGTTACAACAATAATGGTTACGGAAATCAAGGCGCCGTGTTCGCGCGCTGCCACAGCAGCAGCAGCAGCATCGCGAGCAGTCTTCCCGAAACTCTTTCGGACGACACGCAGGAGTCGTGCGACGCCAACGGCTCCTTCTCCTCGTCCTGCTCCTCCGCCGCAGCGCCATTCGCCATGGCTCCTCCCTCCGCTCGCGACGACAGCATACCGTTGAGCAGGAGCGAGGAGGGCGGGAGTGACGTCAGCTTGATGGCGTCAGCAAGTGACGACCGCGACAGATATGACCTCTCCGCTTCCTCCGCGTCGTCCTCCCCCCGACCGCGGCGCGCCGACGGCGATCCGACGAGCGGAGGCGGGAAGGCGGAAAATTCCGCGCAACAGAATCTCGAGGTGCTGTTGGCGGTAATGGGCGGCGTGTCCCCTAAACGGAGGGTCCCGCACAAAAAGGACGCGGTTGGTGCAAGCGGTAACGCTACGCGGAAACCTCCCCGCCGTTCCGCGACCGGCGCAGACGGGGGAAGATGTTCTATCGGGCTTGTGGGCAGCATTGCGCGGACCATAGTGGAGGAAGAAGAGGAGGACTTGGCGGAGAGTGAAGGCGGCGGGGAAGGCGGGGGAACCGGGGGAAGTGGGGGAGGCTTAGGGGGTCCATCCAGGGACGAGGAGAGGGACATTGGAGGAAGCTGCGGAGACGGCGGAACCGGCGGAACTGGCGGGAACGCCGGATGCGGTAATGGTGGCAATGGCGGTCAGAGAGACATTTGCGGAAGCACAACTACCGCAAATAGCATCAAGACAGCTAACGCCGATGCGCACTCCTCGACTCTACTGGAAGGCGCGTCGGCAGGATCAGCAGCAGCCGCCACAGCCGTATCATCAGCAGCAGCAGTAGTAGTCGTCCCTTCTTCGGCTGACCCGGTAAGCCCAGCGGCCTTGAGAACGCACTCTTGCCGCGTCGCCCTTGCGGTTACTAGCCCCCGAAATGTTTCTGGGTGTATAACTGGTGGTTTACCCGCAGTGGCCGCCGCCTCGGCGTCTGCGAGCCACTCCGAAGCTGACACGGAGGAATGGGCCGGAGCTGCCAGCCCGGGTTGTCTATGTGAGGTGCATCCTGCGCTGTGGAAAGTGCAGACGTTTCCGCGTTCGCTTGGGCACGGGGATGCGAACGCGCAAGGGCATGGGGCGCAGATACAGTTTCCGCCTAGTAGGCAGCAGACAGCGCAAACGGGTCTGCAGCAGGAGATGAAACAGCAGCAGCAGCAGCAGCAGCAGCAGCAGCAGCAGCAGGCGCAGACGGCGCAGTCGGCGCAGCAAGACGGAGAGGAATGGAGCGTTAGTCCCCCCGGGAGTCCCCAAGCCGCCACCCTAAGCGGCGTCTCCGCTTACTTCTGCGGGTTACCCGCTGGATGCATCTTAAAACGCAACTCTGCAGCAGCAGCAGCAGCAGCGGCAGCGGCAGCCGCAGCGGCAGGCGTGCGCGGCGTGCAAGAGGAGAGTGGCGGAGAGCAACCCTCCGCGCTGCCTGAGGTGTCGCCAAGCCGTGTACTGCAGCAGCAAGTGCCTTAGCCGACACCTCAACACGCACTCGCGCTCGTGCCCGGTTAGTAATACCACCGTATTACATCCTGCTCCACCTTGCTGCACCTTTTTGCACCGCCCTATTGCATGAGATGTCGCATGCCGCTTTTTTTTTCCCTTTTTTTGCCTGATCTCTGACCTTTTGTGGCCGCAGGAGGACAATGTTTGAATCCTGCTTGTCTGACTTTGTTCCATGTCTAGTCCACTTCGTATCTCACAAACCCCCCCTTTTTTCTCTCATTTCTTTCCCCTCTCTTTCCCGTCTCTTTCTTCTCCCCCCTCTTTCCCTTCTCTTTCTTCGCTCCCCTCTTTCCCTTCGCTTTCTTCTCAACCTCTCCCCACTCTCACCCCCTCTCTCCCCCCATCCCTCTCCCCTCTCTTCCCCCTCTCTTCCCCCTCTCTTCCGCCTCTCTCCCCTCTCTCTCCTCCCCCTCTTCCCCCCTTCCTTGTCACTGGTGTGGCGGAACCCAATTCGTCGACAGGGAATGAGGGCCAGCAGAGCGGCAGGGAGCAAGCGCCTGGGTCCTGGCCTAGGCAGAGTCATAGTGGTGGACGATGATGGTAACGAATGTGCTTATAAGGAGAACAGCAGGATTGCGGGAGCTGAATGCGGCGTTTCGCCGGCTGCTGAGTCTCATCCGGCCTGGAACAGCTGCTATCGTAGGTACGTATCTTTTGCTATTTATGAAAGCGCCTAAAAAAAAAAAAGAGGCGCCTCAGAAATGGTTTCATCCCGTAGCATGATTCTTATCGTGAGACTTCTCAAACGCTTCCACAGCAGCCATCAACTACCCTTCTCTTCCTCTCGTCTTCAGTTTTACTCTTGCTCCTCAACTCTCCCTCTTTCTGGATACACGTCCTGGTTTGAGTGCGGCACACACCTGTTACTTTGGTTGCATTTCAGCCCACACTCAACAAAACTGATCCCACATTTCGCCCTCCCATATTTCCTTCTCTTCCTCTCCTCCTCCCCAGTGAACGATCAAGTGTAGAGCACTCTCTCTGTGCATCAGCAGCTAACGCAGCTGCCACTCCAGCACCTGCTGCATCCAATAGCGCAATAAAGAAAACAACGGCAGCAGCTGCAGCAGCAGCAACAAGGACAGGAGCAACTTCCCCCAGGAGTGGCATTCACACACGCATCACACCTCACCCCTCCCATCCATTGACTCGCACCGCAGTTTCTAGCTTCAGTCCTGTTCCTTCTGCAGCTGCTGCTTCTGCGTCTTCCCTTTCCGCATCGACAGATGCGACAGCCAGTGCTGCTACTGGTGTTCCTGGGCTGTGCGTGGGTGCTGCATAGCAATGTTGCTAGTGGCAAGGGAAGCAATGATGGAAAACGATATCATTGTGGTATTAGTGGGTGGTAGGAGGTGATCTTGTGCATGCGTGCCTTACCGTTGCATGTTAGTATGCATCACATGACATATTCGAAAACAACAAATACCACGGTCATGTCAAATACGGCAGATTACCGTAACAATAAACTGCTTACATTAGAAACTAGTAAAAAAGCTGGGGTGTACCATGTTTGGAGGTGACTCGAAGCAGCCTTGGTTGTTTAGGATGTATTCCTGAATCACGTCACAAAAGCCTCGCGTCTCAAACGGCAAGATACAGTACGATGGAAATGCTCGATTCTCGGCTGTATTGCGGTGCGGAACAGTACACAGGTTTGAGACACAAATGCCAATGCGAGAATGTATGGGACTTTCTTATGTGCTTGTTAACGGTACCTATTCTGATGTTTGTTTTTTGTTTAGACATCTTAGTTACTAGGCACTAAGTGGTGTATATGTGATCTAGCTCCACGAGGGACTGTCTTGGCTGCTCTTTGTCGCATGGGCGTCCACGTCACTTCAGTCCGAGGACACCATGGAGTTCGTCGTCCCTGAATTGTGCGTTGATTCTTACGTAAGCAGGGATTTCTGACCATCTTTTGTGATGGTAACGGTGTGGATTAGCCGAGGGCCTCGCTATTTGCAAAACGGCAACCAGTCTTAACAGACGAGGAGGTCTTGGCGCTTGTTGACGGGGACGCGCAGGACCCTCAGTATTCCGTAGAAAGTGGAGCCCTGCGGCGCGGATGATTGGTCTGGTTGGATGTAAGTGATTCAAATTGCAGCTGCCCGAGTAGCGGCGCGCCTCCGTCTTTCCCATGTACTGTACTGTACCGATACAGTTCAGTACGGTAGCTGCTCAGTGCTCACCATCGTCGCACACCCAGTCGCAGCGGGTCGGCCATCACATCAAAAGCTTTTCTTTTGAAACGAAAAACGGAAAAGGAGCTCGGCGCGGCACGCGTGGACGCGCCGCAGATACGGTACCATCGCCTCACCCTGACTAGTTGTCCAATCAGGTAACGATATATTGCAGAACGTCGATTGGAGCCCATTCCACCTAATCGCGTCATCGTTGTCGTCGTTGATTATGAATGTTACATTATACCAGCCATTCAGGTGCTCATGTGGGCCTTTCGTCAACCTCGTTCACTTCGCAAAAGCAGCAACCGTTCGTTCGTTCCCCTCAAGGACTACTACTGGCTCGTTCGTTCCCTCCAAAACCACAATTTCGCCAGAACTCTTCCACCCACCCCAAAAAGCCAGCTCCCCCGCATCGTTCCCGTCTTTTACGTCACGCGCCTTGCCACATGCGACACGGCGGAAACCCATCACTGTAGAGGATCTCCTTCCACCACCAACCCCGCTGAGCCCAGCCCTCCCCACCCCAACCATATGTGCCGTTCCCGATCCCGCCAGTGTCGTGTGGTGTGGCTCCCTACCTCCCTCCCCCCACCCCAATTGCTGTCCACCTAGTTGCAGCACAGGATGCTCATTGCTCACTTGGGAGAACTACCCCATCCAGCACAGGATGATCTCCCCTCGAAGCCTGCGGCAGCAGGCCCAGTAGCCCCCCAGCCCAGCCTGTTTCCGTTTTTTGATCCGTTTTTTCCGCTTCCTCTCTTGATTTTGATCTCTCGTTCGACATCCTGTCTCCCGTCCCGCGCGGATCCTTCAAAACCTCTCCTGCATTGACATCCAGTACAATTCAAATTCAGCAGTCTGTCGCCACCCAGCCTATCCTTACCTTACATCACATCCTAATCCATCCTGTCAGACGCAAACTCAAGTTCGCCTCGCTGATTCGAGCACTCAGCGAAGTGACAGTCTGTTCGACTCAGGCCCCGCCCACGCTCCTCCTACCCAATTCTCTCTGACCGTGACGATTGCTCTCGAGTGCTGTCGAATGAAAGTTTAATTTCGCCCGGCAGTTCTCGTTTCACATTGTAAGATCAAGTGTTGGTTTCGCGCGCACCCGCTGCACTCCATCGCCCACTCTCGTGACGTGATTTTTTCGTGTGATTGAAGTATCAAGGATTCCTGTGATCACCCCGCGACGCCTCCATACTTCATCTAGTTCTCAGCGATCTTCCAGCATTTCCCGAGTTTCTCTTCCGCATCCCCTCCCGCTACCATGGTTGCGCCGTCGTCTGTCGCTCTCGGCTCCTCCGCCCGCCCCGCGTCCCCCGTTTTCGCCCGCCGCTGCACTGGCACCAGCGGCTCCCGCCAACGAGTCGTTCCTCCGGAGCTTCTCATCCCCGTGGGTTGCGGCGCTAGCGGCGCCAGTGATTTCGACGATTCTGCCTCCTTTAGCTTCTTCGGTCTTGGCAGTGCCACTGGTTCCGCAATGACGGGCACCGCGCTTCGTCGCGATGGTGCCACCACTCCTAGGAGCCGAGTCTCCATGACTCCTCCCCGCGGCCGCCCATCTCCGCCAAGGTTGCGTGCATCGTCCCCCCGCGTCTCGCGGGTGATCGTCACTGCTGCTTCCGCCGGTTCCAGTGGCGGGCGCGGCCTCCCTTCCGACGAGCTTGCCCCCGGTACTCCCGGCTCCGCCAACGCTCCGCTTCTCTCCGTGCTTCCCGCGCAGTCCTGGAGTTCCCAAGGGGCGTCTCCGCGCGGAACGGCGCAGTCTTCGAGCCCGCACCAGCATGCGGCGCACGGTTCCCCCATGAGCACCATCGCCCCCATGGCCCCCTTGACCAGTTCCGCTAACCCCGCCGTAGCCGGCGGAAACTCCCACCGCGACTCCCACGTTTGCTCAGCAACTAACGTCACCGTCGCCGCCTCCGCCGCTGTTACCGCCGACATGGCAGGCGGGATCTCCGCCGCGCCCTCTGCCTCCGCGATCCTCTCGTCTCTCCCGAGGCTAGCGTCCCTCCCCGCGCTTCCCGCTATGCCCGCGCTGACCCTTGCGCTTCCGCGCATGCGGCGGCAGAAGGAGTGGTTCCAAGAGGAGTCTCCCGCGAACGTGGCAGATCTCCCCGTGGCGGGGCTGCGCACGGCGGAAGAGTTCGAGGCGGTGATGATGGAAGTATCCATGGCGGCCGGCGCGGCTATGGGATCGACTGAAGGCCGACTGGTCATTGTGGATTTTTTCGCGCCGTGGTGCGATGCCTGCAAGGCCGTGTATCCAACGGTGTGCGAAATCGCTGAGAAGAACCCTGATGTTGTTTTTCTCAAGTTCAACCTCGCGGATAACAGAGACCTGGGCAAGGCCCTCGGAGTGAAGATCCTCCCGTTCTTCCACTTCTACCGCGGCCAGCCTACCAAGCTCGACGCCGTCTGCGCGACCATCAAGACTGTAAGCCCCTCCTTTCTGTTTGTTGTGACTTGCCGTGCCTCTTGCGCATTCGCGTTTATCTTCCTTGTTAAACCCCCTGGTTTCCTATGGAGCTACCATCATGGGCCTGGCTGATAAACCTTTTCCATGCCTTTTGACTTGATCTCCGTGCAGTATCCCCGCCTAGAAAAGTTCCTGAAGAAGTATAATGCCTAGAGGGTGAAGCCTTTCAACACAGAGTGGAGATGCGGCTTTCATTTTGCGCATATGGTGCTGATTTGCTGGAGAGCTGCCATCGATGACCATCCAACCTGCTGCTGACTATTATACTGTCATCCACCGCCGTCCTCGCACGCAAGTGCACTCACTTCCACAGCCAAAGCACAAGGGTTTATCCCAAGGTGTGACCATGGCTCCACTAAAGCCTATTGGTAGCTCCTAAGATATACGACCATTCTCCTGGAGCTGCCAAATACTCAATCACACAGGCAGAAGACGTGACCGCTTATGGGTTGATGCGGTGCACCAATAGAATAGTTACGGGGTTGGGAGGGTCTTGGGGTGATGGGTGATGCACATGCCGATGAGGCCTTGCGGAGGCACAGAAGTGCGCTGCTGGTCCTTGGCTTAATGCTGTGGGTAAAATAGTAGTTGCTAGACGCTCTCCTGAAAGGAGATGTGCATTCTGAAGTAGATATACGTCCCAACGCAATAATTAAGAGTGATAATTTTGTAAGTTGGCTTGAGAATATGCCTTTTCCACAGCTCGGGCATATCCGTTGATTTTGGTGCAAAACACCGCTGTCTCATAATTGGGTTTTGACAACAGTTTGGTTACCCGACTTAGACGATATTTGGTGTTCTTGCCTTCGCCACCCTTTGCGACCAACTCAGGAGATTCACGAATCTAGGCGAGCTACAAGCGCACCCGTCGCACGCAAAGCGAAACTGCGTTGTCCGAACCCCCAACCGCTGCAACAACACAGCCTATATGCAACAGCCAGGATAAGCAGAAACCTCGGGAACGACGGGAACCACAGAGAACCACGGAAATGTGTTTTGCAGCCAATCCACCCGATCCCTCATGCACCACCCCTCCCCACCCTCCCCCTAGCCCACAATCAACCCAACTAACTTCGACAATCCCAAGGTTTCCGAAATTATCTAGGTAATCGCTGTCCACATCCACACGACTCCGAATTGTCGAAGTTTTCCCGGATGAGTAGAAAGCGACTACTCCTGGCGCCTGCTCGCTTGTTGGATGCTGAATAAGGCGTCGATTGATTGATAACAATAAGGAGTCGTGTTACCGTGTAAGCAGCGTTGTGAGCAAGTGCGAATCTGTTGTGTGACGTGTGCGGTCAGATCTGTGAGGGATTTGCGAGCATGGCCGCGGTTGAGTGCGTGCGACGGCCATGGCGTGTCGGAGTGGTTGCCGTGGTCCTTGTGGTGACGCTGGCACTGCTCGTGCCTCGAGGCGTCACAGCCAAGCTCTCGTCCATGGTTAGTTTCTTCCGAAATTTTCGAACGTTGGGAACATCTGGAATTCCGTCTTGTTACAGCTTATTGAAGATATGAGATCGCAAAAATACCTGAAGGTCGCGAAGATCCGACGTATCTCATGGCTATTCCACGAATCCATCAAATATGAGCCGAATCTGAGCCGGCTCCCAGTAGTACAATCAATGGTTACGATGTGTTGCCTTTGCCTGCCTACCCTCACCCTTGTTTGAAGTCCGGGCACCCTCAATTTCGCCTTATTACTCGCGACTCACCGGCCTAAATGTTCACTTTTTGTTCTTTTCCACTCAAATTTCCTTTGCGATTCCCGACCTGTACTTCGTTTTCCCACCTGTCCCTATGGCCTTTGTACTTGACGTCCAGACGGTGTTGGATAGCCCAATCCGAGACACTCAGTGGGTCGGACCCTCGGACGAGGTGAGCTTGAGCTCTTTATGATTGCCATTTCCGTGACATGTAAGCACGTATAAGTATATTGCGTATCGTGACGCATTTTTCCAAAACTTCTGCTTTTGTTTGGGTAAGTAGAATTACGCAACAACGGTTGTGTTTATCGATCGATACTGCCACGTCGTGGCGGTTGGAAGGTAGGTCTTCGCGGGCGGGCGTGTTTCGCTCTCGCGTTCCGGATGTACTGGGTGCTCGCGGGTGTACTGGGTGCTCGCGGGTGTACTGGGTGCTCGCGGGTGTACTGGGTGCTCGCGGGTGTACTGGGTGCTCGCGGGTGTACTGGGCGCTCGCGGATGTACCGGGCGCTCGCGGATGTACCGGGCGCTCGCGGTGGCGCGCGAAGCAAGTCACAAGATTCTGAATCATCCGTCGGCGGATGTGCGAATCTCCTCTTCACCTTGATTTCCTAGCGCGTGCGTTGGTAACCGCAGCGGTTATCACTTCCAAAGTGATCTGCTGGCACATTTCTGCTTTGATACGTTCTCGCCCTTCTCGTCAAGTTCACTCTCTCCCCACCCTCTTTCCCCATCCGCCCCCTCTTCTTCCCCCCCCCCCTCCTCTCTCCTCCCCTGCCGCCCTTTTCTCCCCTTCCTTTTCTCCTTTCTCCTCGCGTGTGACAATAGGTCGTGTTCACAGTAACGGAGGCAGGCCACGTGTGGGTCAGCAGGGATGGGGGCGTGTCGTGGAACGACCATTCTGCGCAGGGGAAGGTACTTGCTGCTGCTCATGCTCCCCCCACACCTACTTACCGTCCGTGTTTTCGCTTCTTACCCTTTGTTCTTCCTCTTCTCACGCTTCCTCCCGCTTTACCTTCCTTTTCCTCCCCATCCCCGGGGCAGTCCCGCTCTCGCCCTTCCTGTGCGCTCCCGTCCCTTCCCGTCCCCCCCCCGCCCCCCCCCCGTTCCCTCTCGTCCCCCTCCCTCCCCGCTCCTTCGCCTTTCCCTACTGCAATATTCGCTTATCTGGCCACATCTTCGCGCTTGTTTCCTTCTCCCACGTTCCTGCACGTTTTGTTGCTGGCCTTCAGTTCCGTCTCCCTCTCTCTCACTCACGCGCCTTCCACTCTTCGCTTGTTTCCCAATTGTTTCCTGTGTTGTGCACACAGTTACCCGGGGGAACGGACATTCCACCAGCCAAGGGGTGAGCTCCTCCCCCACCCTCCTCCTCCCTCCTCCCCCCCTTCCTCCTCCTCCTCCTCCCCCCTCCCGCTTTCCCCCTTCCCCGGCCAGCTGACCTTGTTTTCCCTCAGTTTTCCTCTTTTTCCCCTCCCGTACTCCTCCCTCCCTTCTCCCTCCACCCCTCCCTCCCTCTTTCCTCCTCCTCATTTTCCCCTTTTTTTTATCCCACTGGATTTCGGTTCTGTCCCGTTTATACCCGTAGACGATTATGTTTGCGCCCTTATGCATGCATGTGTGCCTGTTTGAACGCGTGTATGGGCGTGGATGTGTTATCTTAACATGTGCATGGTGGGATATGTCCGATCGTGTATGTGTGCATGTTTGCCTGTATGCATGTGTGCATGCGTGCCTGTATGCATGTGTTCATGTGTCATGTATGCATGCATGTATCTGTGCATCGGTGCATCGGTGCTGTGTGGGTGTGTGTGTGGGTGCGGGTGCGGGTGCGGGTGCGGGTGTGGGTGTGGGTGCGGGTGCGGGTGTGGTTGTGTGTGCGGGTGTGGGTGTGTGTGGGTGCGGGTGTGGGTGTGTGTGCGGGTGTGGGTGTGTGTGTGGGTGTGTGTGTGGGTGCGGGTGTGGGTGTGTGTGCGTGTGTGTGTGTGTGTGTGTGCGTGTGTGTGCGTGTGTGTGTGTGTGTGTGTGTGTGTGTGTGTGTGGGTGGGTGGGTGAGTGGTTGTCCCCCGTCACAGAGCGTATGAGCCGCCCAAGGGAGTGCAGGCCTTCTACTTCCATCCCTCCACGCCAGAGAAGATGTTCTTCCGAGGCGGAGGAGACACGCACTGGATCACCACCAACGCTGGTACACATACGGTCCCTCCCCTCCCACCCTTTTTCTAAACGGCTTGCTTTTTTCCTTTTTGTTCTTGTATTCTTTGCCCAATTGATGCTCCCTTTCGGCGCTGCCCCATCCTACCCCCCACCCCGCTCCTTCTTCCCGCCCCACTGCTTCTCCTTTTTCTTTCCCCTACTGGACTGACAGACGTCCCTCCTTTGTTATCCTTTTCTCTGTGTGTGCGTGGCTGTGTGTGTGTGCGCGCGCGTGCGCGGGCGTTGCGTATATGTGTGTATTGATGTCTGTGTGTGTGTGTGCGCGCGCGCGCGCGGGCGTTGCGTATATGTGTGTATTGATGTCTGTGTGTGCGTGCGTGCGTGAGCATGGGCGTGCAGGCGAGTCATATGACAGGGTGGAGGGGCCGGCAGGGCACATGGGAGTGGCCACAGTGCGCCTACACCCCATGGAGAGCGACTGGGTCAGTGCCTTTCTGCTTTTCTGTTCTCCTGCCCCCATGCCCCCCTGCCGTCCTGCATTCCCTGCCTTTCTGCTTTCTTGCCTTTCGGCTCTCGTCCCCCCAGCCATACCATGCTGTAATGATGCCATGGTTGTTTGTGACACGCCTGAGTATATGAGGTCAGTATGATTCGCTCTAGCCCTTCCCAATGCCCCACCCCTGTCCCACCCATGGCCCACCACACCCCATCCACGCCATGCCGTTGCGCTGCCTCACATGGATTCCATGCTTGCTACCTGCCTGCCTGCCTGCCTGCGCGCCTGCCTGCCTGCTTTTGTGCCCTGTATGTCCACCGATGATGTGTCCCTCCCCCCCCTCCCCCCCCCTCCCCCCCACAGGTGCTGGCGATGGTGCGACGATGGGCGTGCTGGTCTAAGGACGATACTCAGCGAGGCGGATGCGCCGACGATGTCAGTCTCCCTCCCTCCCTCTCCCTCCCTCCCTCCCTCCCTCCCTCCCTCCCTCCCTCCCTCCCTCCCTCCCTCCCCCTCCCTCCCTCCCTCCCTCCCTCCCTCCCTCCCTTCCTCCCTCCCTCCCTCCCTCCCTCCCCCTGCATTTTTTTCATTCTGTCACTTCTTTCCTTTTCTACATGATGTGTCACGTCGCATGCTGCCACATGTCATTCCACACACACACATACTCTTCCTCGTCACTTATTCATCAAGCTGTGCTGCCTCATTGCATTGTCGCCCTCGGCCTTCCTTCCTTCCTACCTCGCTTGGTACCCAATTTCCAAGTCCATGCATCCATCTGTATACCTCGCTTGTGCCCCGAGCTCTCATTTGACACCTCTGTAATTTATTTCTATACCCACCCACCCATACCTTGCACGCCTATGCCCTTGCCTGTTATCCGCCCTCTTCCCACACCAAGCCCATCGCTCTCCTCCCCTTCCCCTCCCCCCCGCCCCACTTTCCCCCCTGCCCCCAACCCCTTCTGTTTCTTCTTGATTTCCCATGAACACCTGTATCTCCCCAACCGCTCTCCCTTTCTTTCCCCTCGCCCCGTTTCCCTCTTTCTCCCATCCACCCCACCCCTACCTATCAATTAGACCAGTTCATATTTGCAACACCTTAGATACTTTCCCCCTCGTCTCTCCCCCCCCTCTCCCCCCCTCTCCTCTCCTCCCACTCCCCTTCCCCCAATCCTCTCTTCTCCGCTTCCCCTTCTACTCCGCACTGCGTGCATGCACCAGTTGTTCCTCACAAAGGACTTTGGCCGCACATGGCAGAATCTCACAGAGAGGGCTCAGGTGCGGGCCGGGGAAGGCCGGACAGGGCATGGAGGGAAAGGAAAAAGGGGGGAGGCGGGGTGGAAGTGGGGGAATAAAGAGGGAAATGATGGGGAGAAGGGGGGTGGGGGGGATTTACGGGGGAAATGATGGGGAGAAGCTGGGGGGAGAATTACCGGGGAAATGGGGGAGGGGGAATGAAGTGGCTGAGGCTGGGCGGATGGTGGGGAGTGTGATTGAATGATTTTGCTCATGGTGGTTTCCATGAGCGTGGTTGTGTGAGTGGCTACCGCTTTTGCCATTCTTCCTTCTTCCACTCACTGCTTCCACTCTGTTTGTTGCCATCTGAGGCATTCGCTCTTCTCCTCCCCCAGCCCCCCCTCCCCCTCGCCTCCCCACTTTTCCCCGTACTAGCTGCTTTGAGAATCAGCAGAAGTCGATTATAACATTGCTATCCTGAAACCCCATAACTTTGCTACTACCTGGAGCGCCCTCTTCTACTGACTTCCCCACCTCACGCACTTTCTCCCACCCCTCACATTCTCGTGCTCTCACTTTCTCTCTTCTTCTGTCCCCACTAATTTCTAAATCAGGGCCGCATTCTTGGCTTTGTGGACTTTGACTGGGGCTGGAGCAAGGTGAGTGTGTGTGTGACCTGTCATGGGCCTTCCTCTTTCTCTGCCTTCCAATCTTCCCTCCCCTCGCACAACCCCTCCTCCCTTTCTTTTTTCCCTCCCTCCTTCCTTCATGCTTCCCATCCTCGTTTCCCTCCTGTATGTCTCAGTATATTCTCTGTGCCAACCCCTTCGTACCCCTTGTTCACCTGACATCCAGGAAACACACTCGTTATCTAACTGTTTATGCGCGCACTCGTGCACATGTGTGTGTGTGTCCGTGTCTGTCTGTGTGTGTGATAGTGCGTGTGGTAAATGGCATGCATGTATGTGTGCGTGCGTGCTTGAATTTCCGATTGCCTTGCAAAACCACACACACGCCTATCTCGCTCTACCTCTCTGTCTGCCTGTCTCTCCCCCTGCCCGCTTCTCTCCCCGCCTGCCCGTCTGTTTGTTTGTGTGTACTCTGTCTACCTGCTGCCATGCCTGTTACCTCTCCCAATCCCTCCAGACCCCTGGCCAAATGAACCACCACTCCAGCTACACCCGGGTACGTCTCTCATATCTGCCAAGTTTCTAACACACCAAACTCGTCACGGCTACGTACCTAATGTATACATCTCATCTCGCATGCATCCCCTTGCTGTGAATCGTATCTTACCCATCGAAACTTGACAGAGTGACGGAACCTCTGCTGGCCAAATGTTAACGAATTCTACAGAACTTATGCGCCCCTTTCTCCCCTATTCCCCCCCCCCGCTCTGTGCAAACATTCTCCCCCCTTTCCTATTCCTCCGTGCTTAAAAAGGCCATTCTAACAATAGTGTGGGAAAACCGCGACTAGGTATGGGAGAATCTGCATATCAACTTCAATCAAATTAAACACCCTTTGTCTTTTTCAACCCCTGTTCACTTCTCGCTCCCCCCCACCTCTCCCCCCGCCAGGACACCATCCTGGCAACGGTGTTTGAGAACCGGGACGAGGTGCGGGAGCATCTGCGGGCGAACGGGGTGGCGCTGGCGACGGGGTGGGACGCGTACGTCGACTTTGTGCACACCAGCGACTACTTTGGCTCCAAGCACACGCGCACCGTGCCCTGCGGCAACCAGTTTGAGATCATGAACGACAAGCTCTTCCTTGTACGCCGCTCTTGAATTCCCTATGGACGAGGTGACTTTTGAGTCGACTCAAAAGTCTACTCAAAGGTTGCTTCGTTACACTGCCACTCAGAATCTAGTTCATTCGAAGCACACGCGCGCGCACCGTGCCCTGCGGCAACCAGTTTGAGATCATGAATGACAAGCTCTTCCTCGTACGTCGCTCTTGAGTCCCTCTCGAGTCAAATTAAAGCCCCTTAGTTGATTCCACAACGGGCCGCTTCAGCATGCGGCTCAAGACCAGTCTACAGATGATCCTCCTTACCCACCACATGCCTAACCTCTGCCCTGAGCCTCGTCGTATCCGTTCCCTCCCGCCCATTCTCCCCTCCTCTGTCACCCCTATGTTGTCCCGCTGCCTCCCTCCTCTGCTTCCCGTTCTCCCCTCTCCCACAGGCGGTGGCAGAGGGGTGCAGTGAGGCAGGAGCGCGCACAGAAGGTGGCCGGTCCGGCGTGCGGCTCAAGATCTCCGCAGACTACGGCGGCTCCTTCCGGGACGCGTGCTTCTCGCAGCCTCCACTTGTCTTCCTCTGGGCCTAAACCTATTTCTTTCCCTCCCATCCTTCCCTGCTCTGTCACCCCCTTGTCGCCCCGACCTCCCCCCTGCTCCCTCTTCCCCCCAACCCAACTGGACCCCTGTCACCCAATCTTCCTTTCTTCCACAGGCGGTGGCCGAGGGGTGCAGTGAGGCAGGAGCGCGCACAGAAGGCGGCCGGTCCGGCGTGCGGCTCAAGATCTCCGCAGACTACGGCGGCTCCTTCCGGGACGCGTGCTTCCCGCGCCCGCTCGTGCAGCGCGGCTACTCGGTCGTGCACACGACGGCAGACACGGCGTTTGTGAACGTGGACTATGCGGAGGGGTCGCGCGTGTCGCCGTATGGAGACCTGCTCGTGGCTGACGAGTCGCTCTCGCTGTTCGGGTTGGCTCTGAGGAGGAATGCGAGGAGCATCAGCGGCGCTGTTGACTTTGCCGCTCTGCAGGTGCGCTCCTAGTTGGTGTGGTGCTGTTTTTGGGAGGAAGGGAGTGTGGGGCCGGGGGAAGGGAAGGAGGAGGGGGTTTGGGGGGGCGGTGAGGAGAGGAGTGTCGGGCTTGTTTGGGGTTCTTCTGTGTATGCGCGAGCACAGGGGTGCACACCACACGACGGCAGACACGGCGTTTGTGAACGTGGACTATGCGGAGGGATCGCGCGTGTCGCCGTACGGAGACCTGCTCGTGGCTGACGAGTCGCTCTCTCTCTTTGGGTTGGCTCTGAGGAGGAATGCGAGGAGCATCAGCGGCGCTGTCGACTTTGCCGCTCTGCAGGTGCGTTCCTAGTTGGTTGGTGCGGTTTCGGGCAGCAGCGGGAGGGAAGGGGGCGCCGGGGAAGGGAAGGGAGGGAGGAGGGAGGGGGTTTGGGGGAGCAATGAGGAGTGTAGGGTGTGTTTGTGGTTCTGTTTGCGGTTCTGTTTGGGGTTGTTGTGTGTGGTTTTGGTGGAAGAAAGGAAGCAGGAATTGAGGGGAGGAAGCTTGATGTGGGTCATGGGGTCGTTTTTTGTCCTTTTAAGGTTTGTCCTTGGACAGCTCTATTTAAGTCGTGCTTATGACTTGGTGGAAATAACAGCTTTTTCCATGGTCTCGCCCCCAACACTTGTCCCGCGCCGCTTTCAATCCCCGCCCACCTTCTGCCACCCCCACCCCTCTTTACCTTCCTCAATTCGGTCACGTATTTTATAATCTTCTCCTTCATTGGTGACCTGTCCTCCTGCCATTTGCTTATTGCTGCTGTGTTTGTTTCTCCCTACTTTCTTTTCAAATGGTAGACGGCACTTTTGACGAATCCCTCCTTCTCCACTGCCCCTCAACCTCTACCGCTAGCATTCATACTTGCAACTCACTCCTCCTCTTCCCTGTCCTCTTTCGTGCCTTGTTCCCTCTACCTGAATCCTTTGTCGACGTTCCTCTTGTCTATGCTCTCACTCTCCGTCGCTCCTATCTGCCCCAGGGTCTGCCTGGAGTGTACGTGGCGAATCAGCTCTCTGAATACGTGGAACCCCCGGTCAGTGCAGTAGTGTGTGCGACTGCGTTCTTGCAGCATGCAACCATGGTTGATGCAGTGTAACCAGTTCTGTGTGCGTCTGCATTGAAATGAAACTGCTGAGTGGGTCCCATAAGTCATGGGCTTGTACCGGTGTCAAGTAGTGTGCTGTGTTGCAGTGCGGTGCAGTGGGCTTTGGTGCATGCCAGTGCGGTGTGGTTCAGGTGCATGTGTCAAGGCTTCTTGTTCATACTACCGCATCCACCCCTTCACTCTCTTCACACCCTCCCCTTTCGGTTTCCACTCCCCCTCCTCTTCCTCCTCCACTGTTCCCTACGTTGCTTTCCTCTCTTCTCTCTCTGTCTCTCTGTGGCTTCCCCGTTCGCTCCCCATCGGTGCACTGCAGGCGGCGAAGCATGGTGGTGCGGGCACCACAGAGGAGGATGACATGACCTTCGCCCGCTCCACCACCCTCATCACTTTCAACTCAGGCGCCTCGTACGTCCCCCTGTTCTCTCCCATTTCCTCCCAACCACCTCTCCCCTCTCCCCACCCTCCATCCCGCCTTCCCCTCCCCTTTCCCGCTCCTGCCCCCTCTTCCCCTTGTCCACTTGAGAGCATCTGGAAATGTTCAAAAGAACAAAAGGTACCCTCCTTTTTTTCCCACTGCTTAACGCACCCCTCATTTATATAGGCGAACCCCTGTCACCAAAGCCCCATCTCTGTTTCCATCAAAGCCCCAGACTACAACACCAAACCGCCGCCCCATCCACTGTTCCGCCCATCCTACCCCGCCCAACCCCCCTCCTGGTTCTTACCTTCTCAGGTGCCCACCAAGGCGCCAGACTACGACACCAACCGCCATCCTATCCACTGCGACCAACCGACCCGTTTTCCCCACCCTGCCCCTCTGCCCCTCTGTCCCTCTCCACTCCCCTCCACCCTGTTTCCTCCACCTCCCTCTTCCCGGTGTCAACCCTCCTCTCAGGTGGGAGCCCATCAAGGCCCCAGACTACGACACCAACCGCCACCCCATCCACTGCGACCCGCGCGACGGCTGCTCGCTGCACCTGCACGGCACCACCAGCTGGATCGGCGGCTCTGGCTTCGCCTTCGTCTACTCCCACGCCTCCACTCCCGGCCTCATCATCTCCACAGGCAACGTGGGGACGTTCCTGTACCAGGATTCCACGATCAACACGTATCTGTCGCGGGATGGAGGACAGACGTGGGAGGAGGTGGCCAAAGGGTCGCATATTTACGAGTTTGGGGATTCCGGAGGGGTGATTGTGATGACGAAGCATGGGTTGCACACGGCGTCGAACACGGTTATGTATTCGCTGGATGAGGGGCTCACGTGGGAGGAGGAGACGTTTGCAGAGGCGGAGCAGCAGGTGGATATTTTTAACATTCGCGTGGAGCCAGATAACCAGGGGAAGAAGTTTCTCATTCAGGTGAGAGCGCTTGAGACGGCTCTAAAGTCGTGTAGTACTTGGGTGGGAAAGCCGTCGCGCGGGTCCTGAATGATAAGCCTGAGTTATCATTCAGGTGGGGGTTGGGATGAGCGGGGAAGGTGGTGAGCGGTTGGATTCCTGTGCAAACTTCTGCACATACTCTGGTGAGTGTGTACACACGCTTTTGGTGAGGTGGTGAGCCGTCACGCTTTTCCATGTGCTCTCACACGCCCACGCACACTCTCACGTGCTCATATATGACTGTGGACACACACTCTTGCACACTCTCACACTCTCTCCCCCTCTCCCTCCTTCCCTCTTTCCTGCCTTCCCTCCACCCCTCCGCCCCTCTTCCCTCTGCCATTCCCCCTCACGGCAGGGTCTGACGATGGACGATGGCAGTGGGAAGGCTCGGCAGGGGGTGCTGATCTCTTTGGACTTCACAGCGCTGCCCGAGTACAAGCTCTGCAAGAGCAGCGACTACGAGTTCTGGACGCCCTCCGCCTCCCGCTGCTTCCTCGGCCAAAACATCTCCATCCAGCGCCAGGTATGACCAAGCTTGTGTCGCCTGGAGTATATTTTCCGCTCAGTGCCAGGTATGACTGCTTATGTCAACTGCAATATCATTTGGCATGCGCTGTGGGGTTGCTCTCCTGTCAGTGCCCGTTCGCCCCATCCCTTCTCTGAGCCTATTCCCCCACCCGCCTCCTCTCTTCGCCTCCTCTGTCTTCCCTCCCCCTCCCCTCCCCCCTCCGGCCGCATTCGTTCAATTGTTGGAACGGCGAGTTGTACAGGCGCCCCGCAATTCAGATCACCGAATGCGCTTTTGGTCCCAACCCCATGTGTGTCGCTATTCCCTCTCCCCACCCCCCCCCACTCCCCCCCACTTCCCCCCCTTGTCATCCTTCCCCTCCCCTACCCTCCCAGCCCCGCTCATCCAAGTGCTGGAACGGCGAGACATACAAGCGCCCCGCGAATCAGGTCACCGAGTGCGAGTGCTCCGAGAACGACTACCAGTGCGATTTCGGCACCGAGCCCGACCCCAGCGAGCCAACCACGTGCCGCCACCTGTCCGCGTTCGCAGTCGACAGCTGTCCCGCCCTCGCCGGGAAGGGCTTTAAGCCTAACCCAGACAACAAGCGGCAGATTGCGGGGGATAAGTGCAAGGGGCACTGGTCTGGGGCGGGGAGCAAGAGTAGCTCCAGCTTCACTCCTGGTGCTACGAGCAGCAGTTACAGTGGTGGTGGGTTTAATACTCACAGCACCACCAGCAGCAGCAGCTGGTTCCATTCCGGTGGGGGTAGCAGCGGCAGCAGCAGCAGCAGCAGCAGCAGCAGCTGGTTCCACCCTCGTGGCAGCAGCAGCAGCAGCAGCAGCAGCCCAGTGGTGAGTCAGGCAGGAGTGAGCAGCCACAGCCGCTACAACCCTTCCACTCCCAGCGAAACCTATGAGAGCAGCAGCAGTGGCAGCAGCAGTGGGAGTGAGCGGCATGGGTGGGGTATTTTCGGGACTATCTTTGCCGTTCTGGTGCTGGTTGTGCTGGCAGGTGTGGCTCTCACAATGCTGGCGGCTCGGGGTTTACTCCCTGATAGTGTCCTGCGCTATGTGCCTTACCTTGAGAATGTACGCTACCAGAACCTTCGCAGCAACTTCCAGTCGCTCGCGCACGACTTTGGGCTGGGTGGTGGGGATGACGATTATGAGGAGATGTATCGCAGGCCGTAGGGAGGGGCAGGGGGGAGGGGAACATGTGGGAAATGCTTTCAACGTCATCATAACTACCTGGTGCGGATGATGATTATGAGGAGATGTATCGCAGGCCGTAGGGAGGGACAGGGGAAATGGGGGAACATGGGGGACCTGTTTGGAGACATTTGGAAACTGGGTGGTGGTGACGATGATTATGAGGCGATATATCGCAGGACATTGGGGGAGGGGCAAAGGGGGATTGAGAACAAGGAAATTTGTATGAAGGGGTTGCTGGATGGATGGATGCTGGTATTGAGCGGGGCGCGGGACGCGTTATGGGTGGGATGCTGTGGTGCATGCTGTTATGGGTGGGATGTGATTTAAGCACTGGTTGAAGGATGGGTGGGAAAAGTTTTTAAGGCTGGTGTGGTGTGGTTCATGATTTTAAGAGGAATGGGGATTGGGTAATGGACTGAAGTACTGCATATACGGGTTTGGAAAGAGGGCTAGGGAGGAGATTTATTATGCAGTAAAGCATGGAGGAAGTGTTAACAACTCAGTGCTTCACAGTTCAGTTGTGCATTTGTTTGTGTGTGAAGGATAGGTGAGTCCTACTGTATAACTGGTACCGTAGCTAAAACCATGCTTCGGTGTCACATTGACCCATAACTCTTTAGGGTGCCTTATTCCGGATTAGGCCTTTAGCGAGGAATCCTTGGCTCGCACCGCCTGCCGGTGACACTGGCAGTTGCGCCAACCAACAAAGTCAGTCGACTCGTCCTCTCCAATCATCCTTAGGCGCTGCGCTGCGTTCTAAACAGAAATCCGACTTGTCGACAATCGTGTGACGCGTCCCCGTACCATTAGCAGCAGTAGCAGAACTACTTTAATGAAGCTTCGTACGGCAACTACCTGTAGATGAATACTAAGTTCAGGATTCTCGAGCACTAGTGAGCATTAGCGGCGCGAAAGCTAGGACGAACTCTGATGTTGACTAGTATCGTAAGTTGGTGAAATTGGTCAGACAGAGCAGCCAGATCAGAGCAGCAGCGAGCAACAGTGGACGAGGGCACCTTTCACTTCTCCTCCTCGTCTCCCTCGACGATCCTCGCACCCGCCCCGTCCTCCTCCCCCTCTCCTGCTTCCTTCGTCTGCAATATCAGCGGATCTTTTCCAGCGGGAAGCCATGGCTATCCGCTTCCGCTTTCCGCCCGCGTTCCTCCTCTCCCCCCCGTCCCGTCTCGATATCTGTGGACAGAACCGGAGCAACTCTCCCCGCTCCCCGTCGCAATCTCCTTCGTTTTTCCGGCCGCTCCCGCCGCTCTCCCTCCTCTTACTCCTCCTCCTCGTCCTCCTCTCGCCGCCCTCCCGCCTCCCCCTCCCCTTCCCCCTCCCCCTTTCCTTCCCCCGTTCCGCTCCCCTCTCCGCGTTTGCGCGCGAGCGGAGCAATCTTGGCCAGGACTACGACATGTGGGATTACGGCGGGGAGGGGGGAGAGGCGGGCGCGGGGGAAGGCGCAGGCGCGCAGGCGTGGGCGGAACCGGGTCCGGGGGAGCATGTAGAGGGGGTGCTTGATCTGGACGACGTGACTATAGCGAAGGTGGTGGGGGGACGATGGCGCGTATTACTGGAGTTTTACAATCCGAATGAAGAGGCAAGCAAGGTGAGAAGGAGGAGGGAGCGGGAGAGGGGGGAAAGAGGGGGATGGAGAGGGAGAGAGGAAAGGGGAGTGGGAAGGGGAGGAGGATGGGGATGGGTTTAGGTGGGGGAGCGAAGCTGAGGGGAACTGGAAGGTGAATGGAGAGGGAAAAAAGCGAGAGGAGAAAAACGGGGAGAGGGGACACGATGACCCATCATTGCACTAGATTATTCTATTTCCTACATGACGCATCAAGTATTACCATGTACTAGGTTGCCATGGCACTTGGTTCCATTCCATGTACTTTGCAAAGTTTGAGCGCTCTAAGTCACTTCCAAACCCTCAACAACTTTCTTTACGCCTGCTCTATGCCCGTTCCACCCCCCCTTTTCCCCCTTCCTTTCCTCCTCTTTCCCCCATCTCTCCCTTTCCCTCATGTCCCCGCCTCCTTCCCTCAATCGTTGGGTGCCCCTCAGAGCGCACTGCCCCATCTGCGCCAGGCGTCTACATTGGTAGTGGATCGCACTGACTGCTTGCTGGCCAAGGTCCGTTCCTAGGCTCCTGCTCTCCTGCTCCTGCTACCGCTCCTGCTGCTGGTCTCCTGCTCTCCTGTTGCTTTCCTGTTCTCCCGACCTTTTGGTCTCCCAGTTTCATGGTTTCACGGTTCCCCGGTTTCCCGCACCCATACCGACTCCCACATCCGCCTCTACATCCGCACTTCCATCCATATCCCCGTTCTTATATCCCCACGCCTGGATCCCCACGCCCATCGGCGTACCCATTCAATCATCCCTGTGTCAGGAGGATGATGCATCTAAAAAACGACTTTCGAGGCGCCGCAATAGTCACACCCATATCCCCACGTCCGTCCATCCATGTGCCTGTTCGCTTGTCCCTGTGCCAGGTGGATGCGTCTAAGTACCCTCGCCTTGCATCGAGACATGGCGCCACAACGTATGTGATGGGATGGGTTGGGTTGGGATGGGATGGGATGGGATGGGGTGGGGTGGGGTGGGATGGGGTGGTTGTTCGTGCTGCTTTCTTGTGACTTTTGAGTTGATTCGGAGAAAGTAATGCTGCTACAAAAATTATCCCATCTCATGTCTCCTCCTCGCTTCCCTCTGTAACCAAAAGAAGGTAAATTGGTGGACAGTTCATACTTTTCTCTTCCCTCTGCTCATGGTGCATTTGAGAGTGTAACCTGCCCTGCCAGCACTGCTCTGCTCCCTTCACCTCCTTCACCTCCTTCACCTCCTTCACCTCCTTCACCTCCTTCACCTCCTTCACCGCTCACCTCCCTGCCGTGAAACTCTTTTTCCAACTCAAATCTCTCTCTCTGCTCCTCCCCTCGTCTCATCACTACCCACCCACCCCCCCTCCCTCTCCCCAATGCAGCCTTCCTCACTTTGTACTGTTTGACGCAAATGACTCCCTTGGCACAAGGTGAGTCGTTGTGACTACTACCTTTCTCTCCCCACTCCATCCGCGTGTGATGAGTCTTTTATTTTAAGTCGACTGAATGCAGCCTTCCTCACTTTGTACTGTTTGACGCAAATGACTCCCTTTACCACAAGGTGACTATTACCTTCATTATCTCTCTTTTTTTTTTTTTTTTTTTTTTTTCTTCACCCTCCTCTTCCTCCTTGCTCGCCCTTCTACCTCTCCTTGTTCTGCGCTTTTCTTCCTCTTGTAACACAAGACTGAAGAATCACCTTCGTCCCTCTCAGCATATATTTACCAACATCGCATCGTTCCTTGCGTCATCAATCACTGCTCCTCTCTCTCTCTCCATCCCTCCCTCTCCCTTCCCCACTAACCCCTTCCCTTCATTTCCATCCACCCCCTTTAACCCCCCAATCCCCCACAACCTCCCACCACCACCTGTCACCGCTCACCACTCCTCCACTACCCGCAGCTACACGGGTCCCGTGGACGCACAGTCCCTCGCCAACCTCCTTTTGCACGGCCATGCGGTCAGTGCCCTACCTTGCTCCTCCTTCTGCTTTACTGTGTCACTCCTCACCTATGTCACTCCTCACCTGTGTCACTCCTCACCTGTGTCACTCCTCACCTGTGTCACTCCTCACCTGTGTCACTCCTCACCTGTGTCACTCCTCACCTGTGTCACTCCTCACCTGTGTCACTCCTCACCTGTGTCCCCTCTTGGTCGCTTTGAGGATCGCTATCGCTCCTGATCTATGTGGCTTGCCCCGCATTCCCCCCACATTCCTCCGCACATACCCCCCTGCGTGCCTTTGTGGTGTGGACTTCCCCCCCCCCCCCATCCCCCGCAGCACTCCGGTCCCCTGGCCTCCCTGCGCAAGGCCACGCGTGCCTTTGTGGACTTCAAACTCCTTCCCCCTGTTCCTACCTATCCCACCTTTACTCCCACGTGTTTCCACCCCCATCCCCCCCCATCCCCCGCAGCACTCCGGTCCCCTGGCCTCTCTGCGCAAGGCCACGCGTGCCTTTGTGGACTTTCGCGCTGATACCACGCGCAGGGGGCAGGCCCACGCAGAGGCGCAGCAGCTGGTGGAGAAATTGCCAGAGGAGGCCAAGGAGTGAGTGTGGGGGCAACCAATAGTGGTTTGGTTACCAAATATGTACTGTCAGTTTGACTTTGAGCCGTCTCAAAAGAGGCTAAGGAGTGAATGAGTGTGGGGTCAACCAATATGCGCTGTCAGTTTGAGGACATCTAAAAGGACATCTAAAGAGAGACAGGGCGGCTCTTGTCACGCCAGCCAGCAAGGTGTTGATACCAAGCGCAGGGGGCAGGCACACGCAGAGGCGAAGCAGCGCGTGGAGAAATTGCCAGAGGAGGCCAAGGAGTGAGTAGGGGATCAATAGAACAACTTTTGAGACGTCTCAAAAGTTGCCAGAGGGGGCCACGGAGTGAGTAGGGGGTCAATAAAACAATGCCGCTGGGAGTGTTTGGGAGGTTGTGCCCCGTATGTCATGCTGCTAACAATGTCTTCAGAACGTGCCATTTGCCGTTCTTTTCGTCCAATCAGCTTTTATGAGATCTTGGAACCTCCAACTTTCCCCCTCGCTGGTTGATCTTTAGAAGCCATCAAATAGAATCCTCAAGACAGTTTTGACGAAATACGAGATTTGACGCGCCTCAAAAACCACCTCAAGACAGGCTCAAAAACCACTCTCCCCATTTCCTTCCCCCCTCCCGAGGGGTTGCACAGGAGTGGGGAGTATTACCCCAAGGTCATGGCAGCAGTCATTGAACAAAGAACCTCAAGAATCCACTCCCTCTCTCCCCATCCTCTTCCTCCCCCACCACCCCTCGTGGTTGCACTTGCACAGGAGCGGGGAGTATTACCTTAAGGTCATGGCAGCAGTCATTGAAAAGGGGGAAGAATACATTGCCAAGGTGAGACTACTATATTGCCTTGCGTCCCATGTGCTCTCCCCCTCCCCTTCTGTTGCAAGGTGTTTTTGAGGAAATCTCAAAAACACCTTGCAACATCATGAGACTATATTGCCATGCGCCCCATCTGCTCTCCCCCTCCCCTTCCACTCCCCTCCCCCCCGCTGCCCCCTGACCTTCACTCCCTCGCCCGCCTCTTTCCCTCCTTGCGTGTACCCTTGTCCGTCTCTTCCCCGTCCATGCCTGTGCCCATGCCCTTGCTCATGCCCATGCCCCTGCCTTCACCAGGAGGTGGCACGGCTCAAGGGCCTGGTGACTTCATCCAGCCTGGCAGCATCACAGACGCTCCCTGTGCCCTTGTCCACCTCGTCCCTCCCATGCTCGTGCCCATGCCCATCGTCCTCTCATGCCCATGTCCATGCCCGTGCCTCTGCCCGCACCAGGAGGTGGCACGGCTCAAGGGCCTGGTGACTTCATCCAGCCTGCCAGCATCACAGACGCTCCCTGTTCCCCTTGTGCCCATGCCCACCACTTCCTCCCCTCACCAACTCCTGCCCACCAGTATTTCTCCCCGTGCCCGTGCCCGTGCCCGTGCCCATGGCCATGCCTCTGCCCTTACCAGGAGGTGGCACGGCTCAAGGGCCTGGTGTCGTCAGCCAGCCTGCCAGCATCCAAGCACTCGCAGTTCCACCACCGCCTCTCCATCCTCAAGGTGAGCTCACTGGAGATATGTCTCAAGTCCAATGCTGGCATTCGGAGTGCTTGAATGCAATGCTCCCACTACGAGCTTCTAATAACCACTCTGACCCGTCTCTCCGCCTCAACTTACTGTTTGTGTTCTACGGGTGTTTGCCTCCCCACCCACCACACACACACGCACACCAGGAGTTTGAGATAAAGGATGAGCTCTGATATACCGTACACACCAGCCTTGCATACCGTACATGGATTGGCGATGCCGTACATACATGGATCGAGAAAACACTGCCAGTACTACCGTACAACCTGCATATTCACCCACCAGCTCGGCTCAACACAAATAAGGGTTCCACGTACTGAATTTGTAGGCTAGGCCAGGCAGGCACCCTCCTAGGTTGGCAAAAGCAGTGGGCCTTGTTGCTCGTGACACTGTGGCTTTTGTAGAGTAGAGTGGTTTTCAGAATTATGACGCGCGACTAAAGAGCTAGATACCGTAGTGCTAATGGGCTCATTATTGGGTATCCATTGTGGCTCATTGTGAAACGGGGTTTTCTAATGGAACCTTTTCATGAAGTATCGTACCGTACCTAGTATTTCGCCTGGGTGTGCTCTGAAGCGCCTCAAGATTTTGCCTGGTGCAGCCCAAGCCAATCCAATGGTGCGTGCATGGGCAAATTACTCCACAAATGGAAGAGAATGCTCCAAGATAACGAGGAGGAAACCCTTCTACAGAGATTACTGAGATATGTGTTACACGTTTACAGCAGAGGTTACACTGTTATAATTATGCATTCCACGCATAAAGCTACTACTGTATGTGAATGCAGAGCCATTGGCGAACCAGCTGCAACCCCTATGCGTCTGCTTGCACAGACGCTCGTGCTTCACTGCTGTGCTGCTGCTGCTGCTACTGGAATCGGTGGTGTTGGAACTGGTAGGAAAAACAAACAACCAGACACAAGAACAAGCCATTATGAGTAATTCTGCTGCTGCTGTTGTTGTTGCTGCTGCTGGTGGAACGGTTGCTGCTGCGGCAACTGAAACGGGAACTTCTGAAGCGCCTCAAGTGCCGGCTGCTGCGGCAGTTGAAGCGAGAACGCGCCTGGAAGGAACGACGAGAGGTAGGAAGTGTGTGCGTGTGCTTGTGCCTGTGCCTGTGCCTGTGCCTGTGCTTGTGCTTGTGCTTGTGCCTGTGTGTGTGCCTGGCCATTGCCAGCAGCCCAGAACGAGGAGTCTCTAGCAGCAGCATTTGAAAGGGCAGAGGCAGAAAGCGAGTGTGCACCAAGCGCGTAAGCAGCAGCAGCTGCAACACCAGGCATGGTAGCAGCAGTGGCAGGGGAAGAAGCAGCAGCGGCAGCAGCAGCAGCAGCATTGGCAGTGGAAGCAGCAGCAGAAGAAGTGGCAGTGGGCCCACAGAAGAAATTGCCAAGGGCCTGTTGTATACTGCTGGGAGTGGGAAGGCCCGCTGCTAGGAAAGCAGAGGATGGATGAGGGAACGCAGGTGAGCCGTGTCCGTGCATGGAGATCTGAGACAGGGCTGCGTTTGGATCGCTTGATGCACTGCTGCTTGTTGCTCCTAGCCCTAATCCTGCTCCCGCCCCTGCTCCTGCTCCCGCTCCCGTTTCTGCTCCTGCTCCTGCTCCTGCTCCCGCTCCTGCTGCTGCAGAAGCAGCTGCTAACTCAACACTGGAGAAGGTGTGTAGCGGGGAGAGGAACGGGAAACCTAGGTAATGATGTGCGAATGGGGTTTGTATTTGAGGGGGCAGAGAGGGAAGCAGAGGGTTCCATGCCAAGAGACCTGCAGCGGCAGGGGTTGTAGCAGCAGCAGGTGCGGAGGCAGCAGCTGCGGCTGCTGCTGCCATTGCAGCAGCAGCAGCTGCAGCGGAAACTCCTGCAGGGAAAACAGCAGCAGGGGAAGCAACAGGGGAAGCAGCAGCAGCTGGAACAGCTGTGGGTTTTCCAGGTGTGCCCATGCCCGATGCACCAAACGCTGCTGCTGCTGAAGCCGTGGCAGCAGCAGCAGGAGGAGGAGGAGGAGGAGGAGGAGGAGGAGGAGGAGGAGGAGGAGGAGGAGGTGGAGGAGCAGTTACAGCAGCAGCAGGCACCTTCGCACTTGCTGCTGCTGCTGCTGCTGCTGCTGCTGCTGCTGCTGCTGCTGCTGCTGCTGCTGCCATCTCTGCCGTTGCTGCCGCCGCTGCTTCTGCTGCTGCTTCCACCACTGCTTCTGCAACAGCACGGGCATTCCCAGCTCCTGTAACAGGAGTAGGAGGAGGAGGGAGGGCCCGTATCGCTGCCATGGCAGCAGCGGCAGCAGCAGCGTGAGCTGCTTCCCCTCCGGGGTGGACTCTCCCGGAGGACATGGCAGCAGCAGCAGCAGCAGCGGCGGCTGCAGCAGCAGTGAGCGCGTGGAGATCTGCTATATCCACTGCTCCTGCTGCTGCTCCTGCTGCTGCTGTTGCTGCTGCTGGTGCTGCCGGCGCTGCTGCTGTTCCTGGTGCTCCTACCACTGGGGTAGCTGCTGCTGCTGTCACTGGCTGCTGATTCTGCTGCGGCGTCACCTGCTGCTGCTGTTGCTGCTGCCTGCTTTTCCGCCGGCCCGAGCCGACAGGCACATGCCGAATGACCCCCCCGGCCGTCCAATACCGCTGGCAGCCGCGGCAGAAGTGCCTTGGCTGGTTGGGGTTGCGGTTGTTGAAATAGCAGAACTTGGTGTTGCTGCTGTTGCAGCGCGGGCACGGGAGTTGCGGGTCGGGTGCGCTGGTGAAGAGAGCTGAGACTTGCTCCAAGCTGCACACTCCCTTGCTGCTGCTCGCCTGCTGCTGCTGCTGCTGCTGCTGCTGCTGTGGCTGTTTTTCTTCCTCCTCACAGGGCCCCATATTTTGATCCTGCCCAGGGGTCTCTTTCTCCTGCTGCTGCTGCTGCTGCTGCGGGTGCTGCTGCTGCTGTTGCTGATGGTGGTGTTGGTGCTGCTGCTGCTTCCGGTGCTCATGGTGGTGGTGATGCTCCTGCTGCTGTTGCGATTGATGCTGGTGCTGGTTTTGCTGCTGCTGCTGCTGCTGCTGTCGCTGCTGCCGGTTCTGCTGCTGCCCACGCTGTTCGCACTCGCACTCTTGTCTATCTTCTTGCATCTTCTTTTCCCTCTCGACCCCCTCACCATCCACTCCTTCCTGCTCAGACCCTCCTCCCACATAATCCCCGCTCTCAGCCCCTTGTTGCGCTCCCACAAACTCCCCCACATGCCGTTTCTTATCCACATGCTTCCCGCTATCCTTCTTCCCGCTACCATTTTTCCCGCCTCCGTGCTCGCTAATTCCCTGCCATGCACTAGCCGTCACTCCAACGTTCCTATTTCTGAAATCCTCGTCTCTCGCTCCAGCCTTTTCTTCCACCTGCCTCTCCCCTTCCCCCTCCTTCCCTCGCTCCCGCTCCCCCTCTTCCTCCCCCTCTTCTGCCCCCTCCGCCTTCTCCTCCTCTACCTCCTCCTCCTCCTCCCCCTCTCCGTACCTTAAATCTTGTACTGCTTGCTCCCGCGGGCTATTGCTACCGGACGAACTGCCTAGCTCGTCTGCACCTCCTTTCTCCCTCCTCCTCCTCCTCCTCCTCCTCCTTCTCCTCTCACTCCACCAACCGTACCAACAGCACCATCGCTACCATCACTACCACCGCTGCCACCGCTGCCACCACTACCACCACTGCCACCACCACGAGCATCAGCTGCAGCAGCATCAAAGGCACCATCCCCATCACCAACGGCGGCAGAAGCAGCAGCAGCAGCGGCGGCGGCGGCTGTGGCGGCAGCAGCAGCCGAGGCACAACGACTGCTAGCTCCTCTACCGGTGCCCGTGCTTGTCACTCCCCAGCCGTACGGGTTCTGCTGCAATGCTTCTGCAAGCAGGGTCTGTGCGGTGTGGTGGAGGGGGGGATGGAAGGCGGGCGGGAGAGAGGGAGAGAAGGAGAGGAGGGGAGAAAATGATGGTGAGAAGGAAGAGGAGGAGTGGGGAACAAACACTCAGCGAGAGTTTCTGAGGCCCACTAAGAGGAAGGAGTTTAGAAGAACTCCCAAAGGAGTCTCAGCGCATCTCAGAACGCGATTCAGTTTAAAAAGCGACTCACCAAAGCACATGAGGGACCCACATCGCCATCCGCCTCTCGCCTATCCACCTCCATGCCCTCTCCCCTCTCTCCCCTCTCTCCCCTCTCTCCCTCCTTTCCCTCTCTCTCCTCTTCCTTTCCCCCTTCTCTCTCTCCCTCCTCTCTCATCCCATCCGCCTCCCACTCTCCTCTCCACCTTAGGGAAAGGGGAGCTACATGCCTCTCTTTTTGATTCCCATCAGAAGAAGAAGGTCTGAGTGTCTCATACTCTCCTCTCGTTCCTCTCGTTCCTCTCGTTCCTCTACCCACTATGCTCCACCTCTCCTCACCATCTCTCCACAACCCCAAACCGCAACGCGCTGCTTCCACCCCTCCTCCCACTTCCCGCGCCTCTCTGCCCGCCCACACCGCCCCTTGCTCCTCCCCAGCTGCATCCATACGCGTTACAAGGCCCTCACGGGCGCCGACAGGAAACCTCTGCACCGAAGCGTCCTGTGATATCACCGCACTGACTGCGCCAGAGCACGTGGCTAGAGTCAACTCTCCGCCGTCACCGCGGCACGTGGTGATCTCACAGCCTGCAAAGGCTCCATCCTGCTGCTGCTGCTGCTGCTGCTGCTGCTGCTGCTGCTCGTCCGTGTCCGTCCGGCAGCGTCTGCTGCCGCCGTCTCCGGCCGCTCTCCCTGCGTTGACTCCTCTTGACTTGGACGACTTGGCAAGACCGTGAGCGCCTGGCGCGACCATTCCGGGGCTTCGCAGCGTCAACTGAAGCAAATCTGCCTGCTCCATCTCCCCTTCCCGCGCCTGCCTCGTCCCCCCCATCTCCCCCATCCCCCCCATCTCCCCCAACCGCTCAGGAGATTGTGGTGGCTGCGGCTGCTTCAATCGACCTTTATGTTTTCTCCTCTCACTACCACTGCGGGTGCCGCTACCTCTGCCGCTGCCGCTGCCGCTGCCGCTGCCGCTGCCGCTCCCGCTTCCGCCGCCGCTGCCTCTGCCTCTGCCGCTGCGACTGCCCCTTCTTTCTTCTCCTGTCAAGAGTCTCTCCTTCCCCACCATCTTCATTCGCGTGTCTCGTATGTCGCATTCATTCGCTCCTCCCGGTTCCCTTTCTCCCCAGTGCTGTTCCCCTGGTTGCCGCGTTCCATCGGCCCAGTTCTCCGCCTCTCCTCCTACTCTTTCCTCCGCCTCCCGCCTGCCACCTTCCCCCAACACCATCATCCGCTCCTGTTCTCTCCCCATTCCCCTCCGCGCGCTTTCCTCCCCCCACCCTTCCCCCGCCAGCGCGAGTGCGCTCTCTCCCCCCCAGCACCGCATGCCAAGCGCGAGCCCGTCCCACACTCGGTTCCGCCCGTCCCTTCCCCCAATGTCCCCCCGTTCCATCTCCCCTCCCCCACCACCTCCGCCAAGCCCCACCATCCGTGCACCCGCTCCCCGTCTATCGCCCTTTTCTTCGCTCTCGCAGCCAAACTCAGCGGCGGAAACAGCAGCTGCGGATGCAACGGGTATCGTCCGTCGTTTGCGGTAGAAACGCTCGTTAACTGTCGAGTATTTCCCAGACACACAAGGGGTGTCGTAGTCAACACAAAGCTGTCTTAGCACGCTAGGCGGCGCTTCACAATCGACCGTGTTTCTTCACAATTCTTTAATGTCTGTGTCGCTGTCGCATGAAAGCCGAATTTGGCTGTAGTGGCACGGCACTCAAAAGGGTCCTGACGACGCGGTTCGGCGTCTGCGTGTAAGCAGTCCCTCACGCGCGCAAACAAACGCGCTCTGCTTCTTCTTGTTCTTGTTCTTCCAAGCGGGAACCCGCCATTGTCCGCAAACTCAGCCCTCGGTCGATAGCTATCGCTGTCGACACACGGAGCCGCGACTACCAATGGTGGAGGAGGTGGTTATGGTAAGTAACGGTGGTGGTTGTAGTTGCGGTGTTAGCGGTGACTGACAGAGTCCTCAGGAACTACTAACTCGACATACGAAACGCTGCAAGTTTTCTTTCGCGAAGTCAGTGATACCCGAAAACAGTAAAAAATCCAGCGCCAATGGCCTCGACAGGTGTCTACGGAGGGACGATTGAGACAGTAGATTGCCGCTTGCGTCTCTAATTCAGGGATTGCGGGTAAAGAGGCGAAGTCCGGTAATCTAGGCTCGGGATTATAGGCTTGCTTGAGGCTCCTAAATGGCCTGAACCCGAGATGAGGGTAAAACTACCACGCGAGTACAGTACTAGCTATGGAGGGTCGGATCAATGGCCAAGAAAGTATGACTGGTAGTTGTGCAACGAGTGAGAATAAGCAACGGTAGGAGCTCGCGGCGGCCGAGACGGCGCCATGCAGTCGGGCCATTGCAAAGAAAGCTATAGGAAGATGGAGAGACAATTAGGAGGTTGAGAGAGGGAGAGGGGGAGAGACAGACTATGGAATGGTGAAGGGTGGAGGGAAGTGGGAAGTGGGAGGACGAGTGGAGCGAGACGAGCATGGAAGCAGCCATCTGCAATGCAACGGTGGAACTCCATTCCTTCCAATCCAACCATAGCTTCACAATGCATCTGGATTCTGGAGTGTTCGTCCCCCTAGTGATTCCCTCCCTCCACTCGAGTTCAGACAGATACGCGATTCGCAAGGAGTGGTGGTGGGGTGAAGGGGGCAGAGGAAGGAAAAAGGTGTGGGTCAGTGGGACACTGAAGATTGTAGAGCGTTTGTGACCGTTATTTGGATTGGTTTCAAAAGATGGGTAATTTCTAGCCACGAAAAAGATTTTGGGCAGCAAAGTAGTGGATTTCTTTTGGACCAGCAGCATTTTCGGATTTGCCGAGTTGCAGCCTCCACATTCCGCTCGGTCAGTGGATTAGCAATTTTTTTGCCATAAATGTAGCATTCTGTGTCTACATAACATCGCAAGCTAAGCTTTCTGGTTACTGTGACACTATATTTAGTCTCTACACCCTCAAAATATTCAAGAAAGTTCGTGGACTAGCAGCCGTTCGAGATATGTGGACGGTATGGCATCGGGTCGGCCATTCGCGAAGAATCAGAAGCCAATGGGGTTCTTGGGCCTGGCAAGCTCCAGCCATGTGGAGAAACGTCGTCCACTTTCCAGATCTCGATCACGCGCACTTTCGTTCAAGAGGATCCCATTTGTGGCTCACGAGCTTCTAAACAAAATATACATGTGGCAGCCCGTGACACTTCCGTCATCAACCGGTCTTTACAGGTGTTTGAAACAGCATGAGCCGCTAACCCTGAAGAACAAATCTTTTGACGACCTATGAGAAACCAGACCACGCGGCCTTTACAAGTTTCCTGCAGTTGTGTCCCTTGTTTGGATCCGGTTTTCATGGGGCACTGCGCTTGTACAGCTCGGTTCGCGGCGAGCTTCAAAAGGCCGGTCACATCACATCCAAGCAAGCGGCAGTTAGTCGGTCAGCTAAGCGGGATGCCGTCAACACCACCCGACATGTAACACTCAAAGTTTGGCGCGCAATATATCATCATTCCTTCGAGGCCAACTTCGTACCAAAAGGAGGTCAGGGCAGGACAGGACCATCCCGCAAGAATTTGCAAGTGTCAATCCCATCCCAAGGCCTTGTGCACACGGCACTGGAACTGAAACGACAATGTTTGTTGTTTCAGAAAGCTAGCGCTTTGAAACAGGAACAAACAAAACTCCCCAGTTGTGTCAGTTCATTCCTCTTGCTACCGCGTCGGAATTTCCGGAAACACGGCCTTGGCTTGCTTCACACCATGGAGATTGGAAAGAAGCTGTGCTGGCGCATTTCCCGAGGGGCCACGTCACGTCTCCCGTACTTTAGGGCATTGTACAGAAGGGGAATGTCAGGGCTAGACTTTAGTACTGTAGTGGGTTGATCTTTTGCGCGGAATTTGTTCTCACCACCCCTCCCCTACTGTTCCTTCTGGATGCTCTTCCTCACGCCACACCCGAGGCCATTGTTCAGGCCATCAGTCAGCAACTTACAACTTTACGACTCTGCTTAGGAGGAGCCGTGTCGCGCACCCAAAGCTTTAGCGGTAGCTTTTTTGTTTGCTACCTCATTCCTGAAGACGCGCCTTGGAGCTTCCGCGATCCCCTTCCTTACAATCAAATCGTCTTTCCGCCTTTCCTTCCCGCCAACCCCATTCCATCCACTTGTTTCAAAAATTTTCGTAATATGGCGTCTCGAGCCGCTGTAGCTTCATGCCAACTGCGCACCTCTATTTACGCCAACGCTAGCTTCCCGGCACCCCCCTCCGCATTCATCTGCCGAATCGCCGCGACCACTGCGCGTCTCCACACCATCTCTTCCGCGCGGGCGTCGTCCGCGGAGACGTCTTCCGCGCAGTCTTCCCCTGTGCGCGCGGTGCGCGCTGCTAAGGACAGCGGCGGCGGCCTGCTTGATAAGCCCGTGGTAGCCCCTACTCCTGGACGCGAATCGGAATTCGATCTCACGTGAGTTATGACTATGCTTGGTTGCTTGCTCGAGCAGATAAAATTCGTACTCCTGGTTTCGGGAGTCTGGTTGCGGATGGACGCGGACGTTTACCAGTTCATGCTGGTGGCGCGAAAAGTCGTTTCGGAGGATATAAGCTACATTCGCTGCAGTCATTGCTCGTTCATTTTTTTTTTTAGACGCCCGGAAGCAGAGGCCTGCCCAGGTGCGCCCGAGACTTGATTAGGTCTCAGCATAATCTACTCTTCAACCACTGAGAAGCGTGACAAGGGTAGGTCACACTCACAGGGCGAGACGACGAGTTCAGCCAACCACTAGGTCAGGTCTATGAGCAGCGCTGTGGGGGAAAGGGAGCCGAATATTTGATAATTTTAATTATTCGCTCACAAGGACGACGAGATAAGCCAACCACCAGGTCTATCAGCAGTGCCTATAGGGAAGGTTTGTACAGGCGGAGCCGGATTTGCGCGCACTAGCTCTCTCGTCCTACCGCCTAACTGTATGTATCTATCAGACGTTTGGAAACCGGAACGTATCATGTGCGCGTGAGCTTTTCGTGTCCTACCTCCCTCCCGAGTCCTCTCTCGCGAGCCACCCATGCCATGCAACACTCCCTTTCCTCGCCTTGGATGGTATGGTAATTCACCCCACTTCCCTTTCGCCCCCTCTCCGTCTCCCTTCTCGCAACCCTCACTTCGCATTCCCGCAAACCCCCCCTCCTCCACCACCCCCCCCCGCCCCCGCCCCCGCCTTCCCGCAATTCTGCCCCCCTGCATTCCCGCAAAGGAAGAGTATTTCTCCGAGTTGATTAAAATCACCTTAGAGAATTATACACGCTCCCTCTTTCCCCAAACTCCCGGTGCACAGCAAGCAGCGGAAGGAGAAAGAAGAGAAGAGTCTATCAGCCACAGGCTGCTGCATTGCGTGAGAAAAAAAAAAAAAAAAAAAAAAAAAAAACGTGCTAAGACGACTCAATACAAGTTCCTCAACCAGGAACAGGGTCTCTTTCACCATGTGCTGCTGCCCAAGGTGGCATTCAGTCGTCCCTAAGCTGTCCCGCCAACTACTGGGCAATTCCTCCTAACTCACCTCAGATTCTTGCAATTCCCCCCTCCCCCCTCCCCCCCCTCCCTCTCACATCCCCCCTCCCCGTCCCCCTTCTCAGACTGCAGCAAGCAGCGCAAGAAGAGCTGAGTTTGTTTTTTGAGAATTCTAAAAAAAAAAAAAAATCTCTGCACCGATTCATGCTGCACAACGACAACTTCAACCGTGGCAGATCTGTTGTTGAGGCGCCTCAGAAACAAGAAAAAGTTTCCCCTCTTCCCCTTCCCCCCTCTCCTCTCCTCTACCGTTTTCGCCGTGCGCGCAGCAAGCAGCGCAAGAAGAGCCCTCTGTACCGTGTCATGCTGCACAACGACAACTTCAACCGCCGCGAATACGTCGTGCAGGTGCGGTGCGGTGCATGGGGGTGCACTGGGGTGCACTGGGGTGCACTGGGGTGCACTGGGGTGCGCTGGGGTGCACTGGGGTGTGCTGGTTTGAGGTCCATTGTGCTGGTCTGTGCTGGTCTGTGCTGGGTAGCGCCGGAGTTGCAGCGTGCTGCATTGCGCTTCATTGTGTTGCACTGCATTGTTCCTGGTGTGTGTCTGTGTGAGCATATGTGACTTTTGAGTCGACTGAAAAGTCGCTTCACTGTGTTGCACTGCATTGTTCCAGGTGTGCGTCTGTGTGCGCGTATGTGTGTGGGTGGGCTTGTTTGTATTGTGAATGGCACACGCATGTGCATGTTCATGTTTGCCACGTGTTGACACCCACAGGTACTCATGAGTGCGTGCCGGGCATGACGGTGGGTGGACCAGGCGGTGAACATCATTGTCATGCAGGAGCCTTTTTCTGAGCCGCTGCAAATATACCTTTGCACCGTTTGCCATGACACGTCCCGTCACAGGTACTCATGAAGTGCGTGCCGGGCATGACGGTGGACCAGGCGGTGAACATTATGCAAGAGTCTCGTTCTCAGCTCTATGTGCATGTTTGTCCTGTTTGCCGTGTTTACCATGTGCTGTCACCCCACGCAGGTGCTGATGAAGTGTGTGCCGGGCATGACAGTGGACCAGGCGGTGAACATCATGCAGGAATATCTTTCTGAGGCACCTCAAAGATACAGTTCCATGTGCATGATTGCCATGCTTGCGATGTGCTTGTTCTTAACCCCCATGCAATCACACCCCAGGTACTCATGAAGTGCGTGCCGGGCATGACGGTGGACCAGGCGGTGAACATCATGCAGGAGGCGCATGTGAACGGCATGGCATGTGTGCTCATCTGCGTGCAGCACGAGGCGGAGGAGGTGTGCCTCAACCTGCGCAGCAACGGGCTCGTCAGCTCCATTGAGCCTGTCTCCTCCTCGGGGGCTTAAGCTCAGATGGGGGGGTGGGATGAGGGGGTTGAGGGGAACGGAGGGGTTGACAGGACGAGGAGGGGATGGGAGGGGAATTAAGACGAGGGAGAGGGGGGGGAGGTTGTTGTTTCTGGGGAGGTAATGGGGGCGGAAGGGTGGTGGTAAAGAGGAGTGGGGTAGGGGGGGTAAGAGGGCGACTGGGGGTTGTTGCAGCACGAGGCGGAGGAGGTGTGCCTCAACCTGCGCAGCAACGGGCTACTCAGCTCCATTGAACCTGTCTCCTCGTCAGGGGTTTAGAACGAGAGGGAGAGGGCGGACAGTTGGGGTGTTGGGGTGGGAGAGGGAGGGGGAGAGAGACAGGGGAGAGGTGGGGTTGTTGTCCTGGGGAGGTGGGTGGGGAGAGGGGCGGTACGTGGCGCGGGGGGCGGGGGGCGGGGGGTTTAGAGAGAAAGAGGGCGGACGGTTTGGGTGTGCGGGGGGTGGGGGGGGAGGGAGAAAATGGACGGTGGGAAGGGGATGTGCGAGGGAAAGGGAGGGGAGAGAGTGGGGAGGTGGGTGGATTGGGAGGTTGGGAGAGATGACAGGAGAGCAGGGGCTTGGGGGGTGTGGATTAAGGGGCATCGGAGGCGAGGGGAAGGGAGACTGTGGAGATGGTTCAGGGAAGGTGGCCAGTAAGGGGGGCAGAAAGCGGTTTGGGAGGGGTGATAGGGTGAGTCCCATTTGTTAGTACGGTATGTAATTATGCGACCTTGTGTGTGATAGAGAACGAGATGAGGGGGATAAGAGATGCAGAGGTTGGGGAGTTGGGGTGGGTTGGAAGTGCAGTGACTTATGGTAGTTTCTGTACTGTTGGGGTTGCAATGCAACTTGCAGGGATTGCTAACTCTGGTAGTGACTAGAGCAGCAAGGGATTTATCTGATACGTTACATTTCTTTGAAGGACTCTATAGTAGTACCTGTACAGGAACCATATAAGTTGACTTATTCGGGGTTTTATTCATGTGAATAAAAGGCAAGAATTGAACCGTGTGGGATGTTGAAAAGGCTGCATATAACAGACTATGCAAATGCCACAGGGTGTTACTACGGTGATAAGGGACAAACTACACATACACATCTGCTGTTCGGCTGCAAAACGAACTCATACCTTTTCACCAGCACACAGTGCAGGTGCACTGCAGCAGCTTGCCTTTCCTCCTCCGTCGTTGTCTGTGCAGGAGGACCACAGCAGGGTACGCTCAACTTTCTGCTACAGTATGGTATCAAGGAGGGAAGGAGGCGCTTCACAAATACGGTAAGAGTCTGCGCAAGAGACCGCGCAGGAAGACCACTATCGTTTGAGGCGGGGCTTCAGAAGTTTTCGCTTTCTGTCTGGAAGGACCGCAAAAGCACGCGCTCAAAGTCCTCCCATCTGCACACCAACCCCTCCCCTCCACCATCACCCTCCTCGCTTGCCTCGTCGTCTCGCCATTCACTCCTCTGCCTGGCAGCTGGTGATTTTTTAGTCGACTCAAGAGTCATGCATGAGGAGGCCTCATTCTCATCCCACACCGGGACCGGCACTGGCAGAGCCACGGGCTCAAAGTCTCGGCACACACGCACAATGAAGCGAGGCGGATGGGGAGGAGGAGAAGGTAAGGGAGCGGTGGAGGAGGTGGATTGTGGGGAGGCGTGGTTGGATGGAGTGTGTACTTGCGAAGGAGTGTGTGTATGGGAAGTATGGTGGATTTGGGATGTGGGCGTGGGTGCCGGGTTGGGAGTGGGGTTGGGTGTGGGGTTGGGTGTGGTAGTGGGTGTGGTAGTGGGTGTGGGGATGGGCATGGGGGTGGGCGCAGTGTGCGTTGTGAGGGGAGAGGGCTGGCTCCAAAGCTCAATGGCGATGGATGATGTGTAGACCGGCCACGAGGCATAGGGCATGCCGAGCGATGCTGGGAGGTGGGGTGGGATGGGATGGGATGGGATGGGATGGGAGAAGAAGATGGCGATGGGGCAGACGTTTTTTTTTTGCCTGTTTTTTCTTTTTTTTTGGGGGGGGGGGGGGGGGGGGAGGCGGTGTCATAGCCACCAGACGTGACGGCAAGAAGCAAGAGAGTTGAAACATTTTGAGGCGGGCGTGAAGGGAAGAAGGGAGACAGACGTACCAGCAAGAGGCAAGAGCGTGACGTCGTGTGCTGAGTAGAGGAAGAGGCGCGGGGTGAGAGAAGATGTGGTGGTGGTGGGTGGTGAGGAGGAGGAGGAGGAGGAGGAGGAGGAGGAGGAGGAGGAGGAGGAGGAGGAGGAGGAGGAGGAGGAGGAGGAGGAGGAGGAGGAGGAGGAGGAGGAGGAGGAGGTGGAGGAGGAGGAGGAGAAGGAGGAGGAGGAGGAGGAGGAGGAGGAGGAGGAGGAGGAGGAGGAGGAGGAGGAGGAGGAGGAGGAGGAGGAGGAGGAGGAGGAGGAGGAGGAGTGAGCGTGGATGCAGTCGGAGAGACAGCTGTGTAGTTCATGCAGAGAGGACCCATGGCGAGGCGGGCTATGGGTGGACATTTGCTGTTGAGGGGGTTTGAGGCGGTGTCATAGCCACCAGACGTGACGGCAAGAAGCAAGAGAGTTGAAACATTTGAGGCGGGTGTGAAGGGAAGAAGGAAGGCAGACGGACGTACCAGCAAGAGGCAAGAGCGTGACGTCGTGTGCTGAGTAGAGGAAGAGGCGCGGGGTGGGAGGAGATGTGGTGATGGTGGGTAGTGAGGAGGAGGAGGAGGAGGAGGAGGAGGAGGAGGAGGAGGAGGAGGAGGAGGAGGGGGAGGAGGAGGAGGAGGAGGAGGAGGAGGAGGAGGAGGAGGAGGAGGAGGAGGAGGAGGAGGAGGAGGAGGAGGAGGAGGAGGAGCAGTGAGCGTGAATGCAGTCAGAGAGACAGCTGTGTAGCTCATGCAAGAGAGGACCCATGGCGAGGCGGGCTATGGGTGGACACTGGTGGGTGAAAGAGGGGAAAATGCAGCAAGAGAAAACCGAATTTCTCCTTTTCTCTCCTGCTTTTCCCCTCTTGCGGGGTCACGCAGGAGAGGACCCGTGGGAAGGCAGTTATTAAAGCACACTGGTAGGGCGTAAAGCAGGGGAGAAGGGAGAGAAAGGAGGGACAGGAGGGACAGGAGGGAATGGGGAAAGAGAGATGGCTGACGTTTGCTGTTGAGGGGACTCGAGAAAGGACAAAATGTATGGAGGGCATGTATCTGGTGTTATATTCTTGGAGAATTCAAAAACATGAGGCATGAGGGCTTTGGTGATTGAGAATTGAGATACCGAGGCTAGAGAGATTGAGGCTGTGAGAGAGTCACTCACAGAGTAGAGAGTGGCGTAGTCCTGGGCAATGAGGGAGCGGATGGAGAGGACTTTCGAGTCGACTCAAAAGCCAGCTTGAGGCCGTGAGAGAGTCACTCACGGAGTAGAGAGTGGCATAGTCTTGCGCGATGAGGGAGCGGATGGAGAGTGGACTTTTGAGTCGACTCAAAAGTCAGCTTGAGGCTTTGAGAAAGAGACTCACAGAGTAGAGAGTGGCATAGTCTTGGGCGATGAGGGCGCGGATGGAGTGGACGATAGCAGGTGTGATGTGCGGTGGTAAGCGGTCCCCATGGTGATGACAGCAGTGCAGAAAGTCCACTGCCTGGGATGCATGGGCGGAGAGGGAAAACAGAAACAGAATCTGCATGATGTTTCATGCACCCCAGGGAACAGAGACCCCCGGGACAAAATCTGGACAAAACACAGAAACACGAGGATCAAGGTCACGCATGGTCGGTCATCTCAAAGCAACTCACCCAAGACCAGGGGAAAGGGTCCGATTTTGAGGCGCCTCATTTTTGAGGCGCCTCAAAAACACAGAAGCACGAGGATCAAGGTCACGCATGGTCGGTGAGCTCAAAGCAACTCACCCAAGGCCAGGGGAAAGGGCCCGAGGGGAGTCCGAGGATGGCTCTCATTGCCTCGCGGGCGCTCTGGATGGGGGGCAGGGGAAGTGGCCTTTTCAGATGATTTTGAATTGAAAGGATGGTGCTGATACGTGGTGGAATGAGCCAATATGGTGGTCAAAGTTGTTCAAAGTTCTTCAAAATGTTTGAAAAGTATTGTGTGGAAGGTGCATAAGGGAGCATGCAGGGTGACAGCTTACCACGTGTTTCTTGCGCCAACCACCACCGCTGCCAGCATCACTGTCACCATCAGCAGCAGTCACAGCAGCAGTAGCACCAGCAACACCTACGCCAGTGCTAGCACCAGCGCCATTCACAGCAGATGTAGCAGCAGTAGGGGTAATGCCGTCTAAGGCAGCAGCAACGCCAGCAGCAGCAGCAGCAGCAGCAGCAGCACCGTATGTAACACCGCCATCAGCTTCGGAAGCAGCAGCAGCAGGAACATTAGCAGCAGAAGAATGAGAAGGAGCAGGGGAGGGCAGAGGGAGGGGCGGAAGGCCCTGCGTCACTCTGCGCCAAGCAGAGTGAGTCAACTGTGTGGTGCTGGTGGGGTGGGGACGCAAGGGCATAACGGGACGGAAGGGGAGCAGTGCAGGAAGGGGCTGGTTGGGGTGGTGACAGATTGGTGAAGATGGGTTACAGATGGGTGCAAAGATGGGTGACAGATGGGTGCAAAGATGGGTGACAGATGGGTGCAAAGATGGGTGCAAAGATGGGTGCAAAGATGGGTGCAAAGATAGGTGCAAAGATGGGTGCAAAGATGGGTGCAAAGATGGGTGCAAAGATGGGTGCAAAGATGGGTGACAGATGGGTGAAAGAAGGTGAATAGAGGGGAGGGCAGGGGGAGGGGCGGAAGGCCCTGCGTCACTCTGCGCCAAGCAGAGTGAGTCAACTGTGTGGTGCTGGTGGGGATAGCATGAATGGTTGGGTCGGGTGGTGCAGGAAGGGCGAAGACGGGGGGTGGAAGGAAGTAGATTTCAGCCAATGCACAACGGACCGGACCTTAACCCTTGTTTTACACCGCCCTCTCACCATGCTCTCTCACCGCGCGCATCGCCCCGAGTCAATGAGCGTCTCGTGGTCGTCTGCGCGGATCTCCATTGCCCCACATGCTGCTGCTGCTGCCTCCTGCGACCCCAGCAACCCGCACAGCACAAAGAATGCTGCAGGGGGGTGTTGTGATGGTGGGTTGGTGGTGGTGGTGGTGGTGGTGGTGGTGGTGGTGGTGGTGGTGGTGGTGGTGGTGGTGGTGGCTTTTTTTTGGATTCACAATGATGACTCTTGAGCTGATTCACAAGAATCACCTGAGCAGCACCTGAGAAACACCTGGGAAGCACCTGAGAAACACCTGAGGAGCACCAGGGAAGCACCTGAGTGGTAGGTCCGTGGAAAGTTGGTGGCTCGCACGTGAATCAACGATGCCAACAACTCCTCTTCCCTTGCTGTACACTTGCTGGTTGGTCCACTTGATGGCTCTTCCCTCTGCCCCTCTGCCTTCACCCCTCCGCCTTTGCGTTCCCTAGGATCTCTTTCTTCTCCCCCTCCCCCTCTTCCTCTTAATCCTTCCCCACTCCCCACTCCCCCTTCCCCTCCTCCTCCTCCTGCTGCTTCGTCTCCTATCTCTCCCCCACGACTGTCCACCGGCCCCTCTACCAATGCTGCACCATACACCTCCCAGAGTCGCCTGCCTAGCTCCTCTGCCTCTCGTGCTCCTGGGTAGAGCGGAAGGGGGAGAAAAAAAGTGGGGAAAAGTGACTCACTCTCTCTCCCCCACGGCTGTTCTCCAGCCCCTCTAGCAATGCTGCACCATACACCTCCCAAACTCGCCTGCCTAGCTCCTCTGCTTCTCGTGCTCCTGGGTGGAAGGTAAGGGGGTAGGTGGGGAAGGGTGAGGGTGATGGAAAGGTGCGGGAAAGCGTGTTTTGAGTCGACTAAAGAAAAAGGGTCAGGGTGCTGGACAGAGCAGGAAAGCGGGGAAGGTTACTTCGGTAAGAGGCGAACTGACAAGCGGATACACAAAAGGACAGTCTCGGAAGGCGTAAGACGAGGGGAATAAAAAGAGGACGATTCAGAAGTCCCGGGGCCAACAGATGAACATCCAATGAGGCCCCACCGACCCCCACCCTCCCTTCCACCATCCACCCACCCACCCACCCACACACACACCCCACCCATCCTTCCTCCCACCCACCTTCCCGCCCTCCTTCCCACCCACCTGTGTGAGTGAGCTGTCCAAACGGCCAGTCCTCCACACCCCGCGTGTGACTCCTCTCTGGCAGCCCTGTCATATCAATTGCTCGCACTGCCCTGCTCTCCCATACCTCTATTTGAGTCGACTCACAAATACAACCACCCACCCACCAACCTATTCTTGTGAGCTGTCCAAACGGCCAGCCCTCCACACCCCGCGTGTGGCTCCTCTCCGGCAGCCCTGTCATATCAATTGCTCGCACTGCCCTGCTCTCCCATACCTCTTTTTGAGTCGACTCACAAATACAACCACCCGCCCACCAACCTGTGTGCGTGAGCTGTCCAAACGGCCAGCCCTCCACACCCCGCGTGTGACTCCTCTCCGGCAACCCGGCCATATCCACTGCTCGCACTGCCCTGCTCTCCCATACCTCCACACCAGGGAACCCCTCCCACTCCCTCCCCTGCTCTTCACTTCCCTCCTCTTTGTTGCCCTCCCCTCTGCCCCCCCTCTGCCCCTCCCCCAATCCCTGCTGCTTCGCTGGCCCTTGCTCCTTCCCTTCCTCGATTTCCTCACTCCCTCCTCTTGACCCATTCTCGTTTCCCTTCTCTTTCCCCTCTACCTGTCCCTTCCTCTCCCCCTTCTTCTTCGTCTCTCCATTTCCCCCCTTCCCGCCTGCCCTGTTCTCCAGCACGCGCGCCTTGCTGTGGGGCAGGGGCACCCTGGCGCCATGGCGGAAGAACACATGCACCTGGGGGAGAAGGGGGGAAGGGGAGGCGCGGGTGGGGAGGTGCGGGGGGGCGGGAGGGGGGGAGGCTCGGGGGAGAGGCGCAGGGGGGAGAGGTGTGCGGCGCGGCAGAGGTGATACACACACATGCACGCACGCGCGCCTTGCTGTGGGGAAGGGGCACTCTGGCGCCATGGCGGAAGAACGCATGCACCTGGGGAGAGGTGCGCGGTTGGAAACGGGGCGGGGGAGAGTCGCAGGGGCGAGGCGCGGGGAGAAAGGAAGTGGGGAGGAGCGGAAAAGCGAGAGTTGAGCTGCTGAGGAAGTAAAAACGGATGATACACATTCAGAAGCTTCATTTTCCGTGTGTTTCCCCTGAGGCAGCGTTCAGAAGCACATTCAGAAGCAGCGTTCTTCGCACTTTTCCCCTGAGGCTCTCCGCTTTCCCGGACCCGCCACTCTACCTGTAGAAGCTGAGGCGGAGGGCGCAAATCCGCCAACTCTGTCCCCGCGCGCTCCTCCTTTTCCCCCCTCATTCCGCCTCCCCCTGCCGCGCCTGATCCGCCCAACCCTTCCGCTCTCGCGCGGCGGTTTCCCTCTGCTCGCTGCAAACGCGGCGCGCTGGAAGGGGAAAGGGTTTGCGGTGGCGGAGGCGCGGGCGGAAGGGACGCGCGGAACCTCGGGAAGGAACGGGCGCGGGGACGGGTTGGCGGAAAGAATGGACGGGGGCAAAGGCGCCTTTGGGGGGGCGGAGTGGCGGAGGAAACTCCGGTAGAGGTCGCGTGAGATACTAGCGAATGAGAGAGGAACGATGGCGCTTCGCGGCCGCAAATTGCGGCGGCGGCCATGGGATTTGTGAGCGACTGGCAAGGGGCGACGAAGCTCTGACGGTTGGCAGCTTTCGCTCGAATTCCCCAGAGACGAACGCGTTACTAGTTTAGAACCTGTGCAAACTATGTTCACAAAGCACGCTCACATAAAACTTATTCCAATCATACAACATCAATAGCTTGTCAATAGCTTGTCAAAGCCGAGGGAGGGCCTAGATGGCGACGATAAAAGATTGTCAGGTCACACACACTCTAGGGAGGGACGAGAACTCAATAGGAATACAGAGGAGCAACAGCAGGATATCAGATTCCGTACAAGGATTATGGATGCTGCAATCAACATGTCAACCTGGCATGCAACCTGGCATTGGCATTGGCACCAACCAAAACATAAGGTAGGCATAAGTGGCCGCTAGAGAGGGTGGATGCGACGGGATGTGGCATGATGGACGGATGGTGGCAGGTGGCTGAAAGAAGGTAGGCAAGTTGTGGAGTGTCATTCGTGTGATTGCACTCCCACCCACCGAGCGTAGTCCACCCATCTGCACGCACGCAAAGAGAGTGGGGAAAGGGGGATATGGAGTTGAAGGTAAGGGTGCATGGACGGAAAGATGGGATTCATTAACTGAATTAAGCAGTGTGATAGGTGCATGAAGTACGCGGGCAAGGAAGAGAGGCAGAGACAGAAAACGGGAGAAAGTGAGGTAGAGACAGAAAAAGGGAGAGAAAGAGAGAGGGGGAGAGCGAGTGTGCTTATAGCAGCGAGCCAAGGAAGGTGTTGCCAGTGCGGACAATAAACGAGAGCACGGAGAGCAACACGACTTTTGAGACGTCTCAAGAGCGAGTGTGCTTACAGCAGCGAGCCAAGGAAGGTGTTGCCAGTGCGGACAATAAACGAGAGCACGGAGAGCAACACGACTTTTGAGACGTCTCAAGAGCGAGTGTGCTTACAGCAGCGAGCCAAGGAAGGTGTTGCCAGTGCGGACAATAAACGAGAGCACGGAGAGCAACACGACTTTTGAGACGTCTCAAGAGCGAGTGTGCTTACAGCAGCGAGCCAAGGAAGGTGTTGCCAGTGCGGACAATAAACGAGAGCACGGAGAGCAACACGACTTTTGAGACGTCTCAAGAGCGAGTGTGCTTACAGCAGCGAGCCAAGGAAGGTGTTGCCAGTGCGGACAATAAACGAGAGCACGGAGAGCAACACGACTTTTGAGACGTCTCAAGAGCGAGTGTGCTTACAGCAGCGAGCCAAGGAAGGTGTTGCCAGTGCAGACAATAAACGAGAGCACGGAGAGCAACACGACTTTTGAGACGTCTCAAGAGCGAGTGTGCTTACAGCAGCGAGCCAAGGAAGGTGTTGCCAGTGCGGACAATAAACGAGAGCACGGAGAGCAACACGACTTTTGAGACGTCTCAAGAGCGAGTGTGCTTACAGCAGCGAGCCAAGGAAGGTGTTGCCAGTGCGGACAATAAACGAGAGCACGGAGAGCAACACGACTTTTGAGACGTCTCAAGAGCGAGTGTGCTTACAGCAGCGAGCCAAGGAAGGTGTTGCCAGTGCGGACAATAAACGAGAGCACGGAGAGCAACACGACTTTTGAGACGTCTCAAGAGCGAGTGTGCTTACAGCAGCGAGCCAAGGAAGGTGTTGCCAGTGCGGACAATAAACGAGAGCACGGAGAGCAACACGACTTTTGAGACGTCTCAAGAGCGAGTGTGCTTACAGCAGCGAGCCAAGGAAGGTGTTGCCAGTGCGGACAATAAACGAGAGCACGGAGAGCAACACGACTTTTGAGACGTCTCAAGAGCGAGTGTGCTTACAGCAGCGAGCCAAGGAAGGTGTTGCCAGTGCGGACAATAAACGAGAGCACGGAGAGCAACACGACTTTTGAGACGTCTCAAGAGCGAGTGTGCTTACAGCAGCGAGCCAAGGAAGGTGTTGCCAGTGCGGACAATAAACGAGAGCACGGAGAGCAACACGACTTTTGAGACGTCTCAAGAGCGAGTGTGCTTACAGCAGCGAGCCAAGGAAGGTGTTGCCAGTGCAGACAATAAACGAGAGCACGGAGAGCAACACGACTTTTGAGACGTCTCAAGAGCGAGTGTGCTTACAGCAGCGAGCCAAGGAAGGTGTTGCCAGTGCGGACAATAAACGAGAGCACGGAGAGCAACACGACTTTTGAGACGTCTCAAGAGCGAGTGTGCTTACAGCAGCGAGCCAAGGAAGGTGTTGCCAGTGCGGACAATAAACGAGAGCACGGAGAGCAACACGACTTTTGAGACGTCTCAAGAGCGAGTGTGCTTACAGCAGCGAGCCAAGGAAGGTGTTGCCAGTGCGGACAATAAACGAGAGCACGGAGAGCAACACGACTTTTGAGACGTCTCAAGAGCGAGTGTGCTTACAGCAGCGAGCCAAGGAAGGTGTTGCCAGTGCGGACAATAAACGAGAGCACGGAGAGCAACACGACTTTTGAGACGTCTCAAGAGCGAGTGTGCTTACAGCAGCGAGCCAAGGAAGGTGTTGCCAGTGCAGACAATAAACGAGAGCACGGAGAGCAACACGACTTTTGAGACGTCTCAAGAGCGAGTGTGCTTACAGCAGCGAGCCAAGGAAGGTGTTGCCAGTGCGGACAATAAACGAGAGCACGGAGAGCAACACGACTTTTGAGACGTCTCAAGAGCGAGTGTGCTTACAGCAGCGAGCCAAGGAAGGTGTTGCCAGTGCGGACAATAAACGAGAGCACGGAGAGCAACACGACTTTTGAGACGTCTCAAGAGCGAGTGTGCTTACAGCAGCGAGCCAAGGAAGGTGTTGCCAGTGCGGACAATAAACGAGAGCACGGAGAGCAACACGACTTTTGAGACGTCTCAAGAGCGAGTGTGCTTACAGCAGCGAGCCAAGGAAGGTGTTGCCAGTGCGGACAATAAACGAGAGCACGGAGAGCAACACGACTTTTGAGACGTCTCAAGAGCGAGTGTGCTTACAGCAGCGAGCCAAGGAAGGTGTTGCCAGTGCGGACAATAAACGAGAGCACGGAGAGCAACACGACTTTTGAGACGTCTCAAGAGCGAGTGTGCTTACAGCAGCGAGCCAAGGAAGGTGTTGCCAGTGCGGACAATAAACGAGAGCACGGAGAGCAACACGACTTTTGAGACGTCTCAAGAGCGAGTGTGCTTACAGCAGCGAGCCAAGGAAGGTGTTGCCAGTGCGGACAATAAACGAGAGCACGGAGAGCAACACGACTTTTGAGACGTCTCAAGAGCGAGTGTGCTTACAGCAGCGAGCCAAGGAAGGTGTTGCCAGTGCGGACAATAAACGAGAGCACGGAGAGCAACACGACTTTTGAGACGTCTCAAGAGCGAGTGTGCTTACAGCAGCGAGCCAAGGAAGGTGTTGCCAGTGCAGACAATAAACGAGAGCACGGAGAGCAACACGACTTTTGAGACGTCTCAAGAGCGAGTGTGCTTACAGCAGCGAGCCAAGGAAGGTGTTGCCAGTGCAGACAATAAACGAGAGCACGGAGAGCAACACGACTTTTGAGACGTCTCAAGAGCGAGTGTGCTTACAGCAGCGAGCCAAGGAAGGTGTTGCCAGTGCAGACAATAAACGAGAGCACGGAGAGCAACACGACTTTTGAGACGTCTCAAGAGCGAGTGTGCTTACAGCAGCGAGCCAAGGAAGGTGTTGCCAGTGCAGACAATAAACGAGAGCACGGAGAGCAACACGACTTTTGAGACGTCTCAAGAGCGAGTGTGCTTACAGCAGCGAGCCAAGGAAGGTGTTGCCAGTGCAGACAATAAACGAGAGCACGGAGAGCAACACGACTTTTGAGACGTCTCAAGAGCGAGTGTGCTTACAGCAGCGAGCCAAGGAAGGTGTTGCCAGTGCAGACAATAAACGAGAGCACGGAGAGCAACACGACTTTTGAGACGTCTCAAGAGCGAGTGTGCTTACAGCAGCGAGCCAAGGAAGGTGTTGCCAGTGCAGACAATAAACGAGAGCACGGAGAGCAACACGACTTTTGAGACGTCTCAAGAGCGAGTGTGCTTACAGCAGCGAGCCAAGGAAGGTGTTGCCAGTGCAGACAATAAACGAGAGCACGGAGAGCAACACGACTTTTGAGACGTCTCAAGAGCGAGTGTGCTTACAGCAGCGAGCCAAGGAAGGTGTTGCCAGTGCAGACAATAAACGAGAGCACGGAGAGCAACACGACTTTTGAGACGTCTCAAGAGCGAGTGTGCTTACAGCAGCGAGCCAAGGAAGGTGTTGCCAGTGCAGACAATAAACGAGAGCACGGAGAGCAACACGACTTTTGAGACGTCTCAAGAGCGAGTGTGCTTACAGCAGCGAGCCAAGGAAGGTGTTGCCAGTGCAGACAATAAACGAGAGCACGGAGAGCAACACGACTTTTGAGACGTCTCAAGAGCGAGTGTGCTTACAGCAGCGAGCCAAGGAAGGTGTTGCCAGTGCAGACAATAAACGAGAGCACGGAGAGCAACACGACTTTTGAGACGTCTCAAGAGCGAGTGTGCTTACAGCAGCGAGCCAAGGAAGGTGTTGCCAGTGCGGACAATAAACGAGAGCACGGAGAGCAGCAGCTTCTGGTTGTGAAGCATGGGCTCTAGCATGCGCTGCTCCACTATTCCCGCCAGGATCTGATATCTGTACAATGCAAGGGGAGGGAGGAGGGGGTGTGTGGGTGAGAACGGAGGAAGGGGTGTGTGGGTGAGAAGACGGAGGAAGGGGTGTGTGGGTGAGAAGACGGAGGAAGGGGTGTGTGGGTGAGAAGACGGAGGAAGGGGTGTGTGGGTGAGAAGACGGAGGAAGGGGTGTGTGGGTGAGAAGACGGAGGAAGGGGTGTGTGGGTGAGAAGACGGAGGAAGGGGTGTGTGGGTGAGAAGACGGAGGAAGGGGTGTGTAAGGTGTTGTCAGCTTCTGGTTGTGAAGCATGGGCTCTAGCATGCGCTGCTCCACTATTCCCGCCAGGATCTGATATCTGTCAAGGGGAAAATGAGGAAAAAGAGGATGGGGAGAGGAGGGGGAGGGAGGGAGGAGAGAGGGAGAGGGAGGAGGAAGAGGGAGGAGCGGAAAGGGGCGTGTAAGGCCCAGCTAGCTGCTGGTGCAAGGGTTATACACGTGCTGTGTGTGCTTAGGACTGTACGTGCGCATCCACACACTTCCTCATTCCAGATCGACCCTAAGGTTTCCTGACCCGGTTTCTGATGTGTTCCTACAAAATATGTTCTTGTGGACGATGATTTTGGGGGAGCCTAAAAAAGCATTTGCTTATGACTGTTTGTGCACACTCTGCTGCTTTCCAGAGCGACCTGAGGTTGCTTGCCCTGGCAATGCCGTGCTGACGCCATACAGCTTTCCAGGCACCTCAAATGACCAAGCGAGCACACACTGGCACCACCACCCACCACCACCCACCACCACCCACCACCACCCACCACCACCCATCGCCACCCATCACCACCCACCAGCACCACCAAAGCGTACCTGAGGTTGCTGGACACGGCCATGTAGACGCCACAGGCCTTTTGAGGCAGGGTTAAAAAAAACGACCGTTTTATTGAAATTTTACCGTAAAAAACGGTACCGTAAAAAACGGTCGTAAAAAACGGTTTAAAACGGTTCCAGGAGGTGTTTCCTCTTAACTAACAAAACGGCCACTTAGTGGGACCAAATTGAACCTGAAACACAGCAGCATGAAGGGGACGGACCCCTTCTTGCATGTATGCGCTTGTTGGCATGATTGAAAATGTTTTTGACCTTGTTTTTCTCTTTTTTTTTCTTGGTGAACAGAGTTCTCTAACAAAAAAACGGCCGTTTTTTTGAAAAATCACCGTAAAAAACGACCGTAAAAAACGGACCGTATTTTACGAAAACCGTAATTTTGAACCTTGTTTTGAGGTGCCATAAGTGACGGAGCGAGCACACACTGCTTCACCCCAAGCGTACCTGAGGTTGCTGGACACGGCCATGTAGACGCCATAAGCCACGCTGGTTGCGAGAATCGGCACCTTGGTCTCCTCCCCCTCGTGCTGCTGCGCACTCGCCTCCGCACCACTGCCGTCTGCCGCTCCTTGCTTCGCCATGGACTTGCGCGCGAGGATGAGCGCGTTGGTCATGCCACAGCCAAACTGATGGGCGGGGAGCCGAGGAAGGGGGGAAGAAGGGGAAGTGGGGAGGAGAAGAAAGCGGGAGGGGATTCGCTTTGCCAGGGACTTTTATGTGACGATGAGCGCGTTGGTCATGCCGCAGCCGAACTGACGGGCAGAGAAAGGAGGAAGTGGGCGAGTGATGGGGAGAGGGGAAAGAGGGGAAGGGGGGATGCGAAGAAAGCAGGCGGGAGGTTGCTTTGCCATGAACTTGCGCGCGAGGATGAGCGCGTTGGTCATGCCACAGCCGAACTGACAGGCGGAGGGGCAGCGAGGAATGGGGGAGATAGGGGAATGGAGGGAGGGAGGGAGGGGAGGAAGACAGGGGACGATGAGAAGAGAGGGTGAGGGAGGTCGCCTTGCATGAGCCTTGCACGCATGGTGCTATGGCACGCATAATGCATCCAGACATCAGTCAGTTCGTCTACGACATGGTGCTATGGCATGCCATGCCATGCCATGGCATGCGATCGAACACGATAACAAACTTTCCCTTGACATGGCATTCCCTTCACAGACATCCCTCCCTTCTTTGATTTCGTTCTGCCTTCACCCGTCTGCACCCGACTCTCACTCCTCCCAACACCACTTCCACTCCTCCCCACCACTCCCACTCCTCCCACGACTCACCAGCGACGCTACAGTGCCCACTCCTAGCAGCTTGGCACCATTGCGCTGCAGGTACGTAAGGGGGGCAAGAGAGGGGGATAGGGCGGGGGATGAGGAGAAGGGGGGTTAGACCAAGTATGGTGAACAGACTAGGACTTCACGTAAAGAAGGAATTGGGTGGGAGGGAGTCATGGGAACTCAGAGGAACAAGGTTGCACGGGGAAGGAGGTTTGTTTGAGTCCGTAGCTTCTTTTGAAGAAATAATGCAACGGAAGTTGGGAGAGGAGCACGGGGAGAAGCTTGGGAGAGGTAGCGAGGGGGGAAAGGACAGAAAGCGGGAGGGCGCGGGGCGGTGAGGAAGTGTGAGGGAAGAAGGCGGGGGAGCACGTACGACAATGGCGCCCACTCGCTGGAGGAGAGAGTAGCTTGTTCCGCGCAGAGCCACCTGGGGGGGTTGGGGGGAGGAAAGCGCGCAGGGGGGAGCAAGGCGCGCAGGGCATGCCGCGCACAGTCACAGTGGGGAGCCAGGCGCGGGGAAGAGGGAGAGGGGAGAGGGGAGAAAGGTTTGGATGCTGAAGCAGTGGTTTAGAGGTAAGACTTAAGGAGAGGAACAGGGGGGAGGACTAAGTGGGGAGGGAAGGGGAAAGAAGACGTGGTGCCACTTATTTTTAGAGGCGCCTAAAAAAACGGGAAGCGCACATGGAGCGGGGGGCCGGGGAAGGAGATAGGGAGGGCGCATTTGACGCGGAAGGGGTGGGGCCGGGGGATTGAGGGGAGGAAAGAAGCGCGGAAGGAGCGGGTGGGGGGAGGGGGAGGGGGGAGGGGGGAGCGCACTTGGAAGGCGTTGTCGGGGCAATTGGCGAAGAAGAGCGCGAGGCGGCTGGCATTGCCCGCGAGAGGCGCGCGGAGGGCGACGGTGGGCGCGGGCAGCCACACGAGCATGAAGTCCGCCACCAGCGCCATGATCTGCGCGGATGGGGAGGCGGGGAGAGGGGACGGGGGAAGGGAACGACGGGGAGAGGGGGAGGGGGATGGGGAGCGGGAGGGGGGGCAGAGGGGAAGGGAGAGGGAGGAGGAAGGATGGGTGGGATGTTCAGGGGAGGTTGCCTTACTGTCCTGCTGCTATAAGGGTGACCTGCAGAAATGCAACCGATCGCTCACAATTGCATGATCAGCAATAACCGGCCACGTCAGCAACGACGTACCACGTCAGCATCAATGTACCACGTCAGCAACAATGTACCACGTCAGCAACGACATACCACGTCAGCAACAACTTACCACGTCAGCAACGACAAAGTCGAGCTCCTTCAAGAAGTTTTCCCGGCGCTTCTCGTACTCCGCTCCCGTCTGTGGCGCACAGGGGCAGTTGCAGCCGCGGGAGTACGGAAAGGGGAAGAGGGAGGGGGAGGGGGAGGCGGTGGGGGAGGGGGAGGGGGAGGGGAAGGGGGAGGGAAAGGGGGAAGGGACGGGGGAGGGGGAGTGGGAGGGGGAGTGGGAGGGGAATGGAGAGGGAGAGGGGAAGGGGAAGGAGAAGGGGAAATGGGCATTAAGAAGGGTAAGTGTTAGGCAAGAGGGAACTAGGCGTGAGAGGGCAGCACGCGATTGAGGAACGAAGAGGGGAACGCAGAGCATGTGTTACAGGGTAACCCGGTTTTGTGTACCCAGTATACAGGTGACAAGGCACAGATCGACCAGACCAGACCAGACCCGACCCGACCAGGCCAGACCCGACCAGATCAGACTGGACCAGATCAGACCAGTCCAGAGCAGGTTAGACCGGGCAGGACCAGACCAGATCAAGGCAGGCCAGGCCGGGTTGGGCGGGACCAGACCGGATCAGAACAGACTAGGGCACACCGGAGTGGACCAGACAAGACAAGAACGGACCCAGCAGCTCAACAGACTGGGTGGGAGTCAAAGGGGGATGCGTCGTATCGGACAATCATTGTCACGTCTTCACGATTAGGCATTCCCCATCCACGCCCACCCACCACCCCTCCCTTCCCCCAACCACCCCTCCTTTCTAGCCGCCCCCCCTCCCTCCCTCCCCCCCTCCCCTCTCCCCCCCAAAAAAAGAAGAAAAAGAAAAAGAAAATGAAAAAACCAAGGCAGACAGGGGCGCGCAGCACAGTACCTTGGTGAAGAGGCCCACGCCGCACTCGATCGCCACTTTGGTCATGAACAGATCGTCAGCCAGCAGACGCTCCTTGAACCCGTCGAATCGCAGCAAGTGCTTCAGCAGCGGCGATTTCTCCAGCGCCGCGAATCGCTCCACGATAATGCCGGGAATTTTTCCCGCCATAATCGCTTCCGCGAGATCCGCGGGAAGGGATTGCACGGTGCGCCCGAGTGCGGCGAGCGCGGCCAGTGCGTCTGCCCGGTTCTTCTCGCTGTCGCTATCCCCGCCATTACTGCTGCCGTCCCCGCCGCCTCCGCCGCCGCCGCCTCCACCACCGCTGGAGCCGCCGGATGCGCCGCCCCCGCCGCCGCCGCCGGTTTCCGTCGTCGCGTTGCCGTCGGCTGCAAACGGCGTCAGTTTAGAGCCGTTGGTAGACGGCACAGAGAGAGGACTCGCGAGAAATAACGTGCGATCGCTAGCGAATGAAGGAAGCGAGGAATCTTCGCTGGACGACGTGGCGGGCGATCGGTAGGAGGGTGAGGCGAAGCCCACCACGACGATATGCGATCGCTTAGCGGAAGGCCCTGCGGAAATCGCTGTGCAGAAGGCCCTCGAAGGCAAGTGAAGCACATTGTTTGTAGCGATGTTACTAATGCGTGACTCTGCACCCCATGTGGCACCCGATCCGCTTGCCTTTGAAAGCGCCAAGCTTGCTGCTGCATTAGCGGACGACACGGCCGCCATTTGCGCTAATTTAGACGATCACGATCGGACCAAGAACGGCTGCGGCCTCGAGTTGAGGCGGATAAACAAGCTCAGCCTGCGGATTTGAGACTGCGAAGCGGCACTGGGGACTAGTGGTAGCCAAGCAGTCTGGTCAGCAAAATAAAATTAGAAAAGGGGCGTAAGGTCGCGGTCCTGGGGTGTCCTGGGACATGCTGACTTGGAAAGTTATCGTTTTGAGGTAGGCAACGCGTGCCCATCGTCGCTGGGGGATGCCCCGTGTTCTGTAAACCTGTACTTGTGTACCAATGAAATTCGCGCGCGATAGAACGGGTCCACGTGTCCAGATTACACATCGGAAGTAGGGTCGTCAAAAATGTCGCAGAAGTGTACATAGGCAGCCCTGCGACGTGTGTGTGGGTGGGCATGTTGCCAGCACGTGGTACCAACGTGCGGGGTGTCCAGAGTTTGGGTGTCCTGGACACCCCAGGACCGCGATCTAAGTTGTGTGAGATGGCAACTTTGAAACTGAGTGGTGGCGGTGACTGAAGGGGCTTGGGATGGGATCAGCCTAGGTAGAATGCACGTTGGCGGAATCTTCGAAATCAGCGCAACTTGAAAGTTCGAATGTTCGAAGTTCGGACGGGGAAAGAGGAGGGGAGGAGATGCTCTGCTGCTGGTTCGGCACTTGCGGGGCGGGAGGAAAGGCCTGAGCAACGAATCGGCTTTGCGCAGCACTATGCGCCGCTGTGTTGCGCGACGGCACCGCTCATTGATATTTCCGCGCGGATTTTCTGCCCCGCTGGGGGTTTATGGAATCATACCGTACAGCGCGTACAAACCAGGGCAGGCGATGCTTGAAGTTGGTTTGGGAGCCCACACTGGAAGGCGATGTAGCTGGAGGACCCTAGCATAACCCGAACCTAGCTTGATAGTGCGGCCTGTCGGCGTTTGCGGCGAAAATCTTCGACCAATTAGGTTGTTTGTGATGTAGGCCCGAATCAACACGTGGATATTAGCACCCATTCATCTTAGGGCACGTGGAAAAGTGACTTCACACCCGACGCTTGTGCCGGGGCGAGGGACGTGCTGTTTTGGGCTGGGGTTATTACCCAGAGATTCTCCCACTTCGTTTCTGTCTACAAGCTTGTAATTGCTGCTACATTTGTGTAACCATTTCTACTATAAACACATTCTTGAAGGGAGAAGGAATTGGGTGAGCCTAGAATGACATCCAGCCTCATTTTCCGTGCAGAACCACCCAAATCGTTCAGCTACCAAGACTATGATGGTGGAATTTGTGCATAAAAAAATAAAACTAGTCCGTCAAAGGTATACATCTCCAGAGATTCCACCCAGGTATACACCACAGAATTGTGGTAAATGTGTCCTTAGAAGCCAATATATCACCAATACAGACACATTACACGCACGCCTCCTAAAACAGGCGAGTGCAAGAAGGGTTGACAAAATAATGCTTGCTTACTTCTACAACCGAATCTAAGGCACCATGCTTGCCATCGCCATCAAATTGCTGGCTCTCGAGCTCACTGTATGCTCCCTCTTTGCTGATCATTCTTCTTTTACGTGACTGCAGCAACCTCGGCCCGACAACCTTCGGTCGAGCTGATGTTACCGTTTGTAACCGCAGTGCACCGTCGGCAATAAGCCAGGATAACAGGTCTCTACATGTCTGAAAGTTACGTGGGAAAAAAGGGGGGGCACGGAGTAGAGCAAAGCGGGTGTTGTTCAAAGTGAGACCAATATATAACAGGGTACGGCTGCAGTACCTATGCAGCGTGTAATTGAAGGGGGAGGAGGAAAGTAGTGCTGAGAAAGATCTACTTCTACAGTAGTTGCACCACTGCGCAGTGCTGGAAGAGAGAGATAAGTGTGTAACCTTACCTGGGGATTGAGTAGAGGAACAAGACGCAGCAGCATGCTCTGCAAGGACCGTGAGAATACAGCAAGACGGGAGGAAAACGGAAAAAATGAAGGCACAATCTTTTACTACTGTGACTGGCAGTTACCATTCTTCCCGTGCCCAACCACCAGGCCCGCACAAGCTCAGCTAAGGCCCACACTGACAGACCCACACGCACCCACCCACCCACCCACCCACCCACCCACCCACCCACCCACCCACATGTGACCGAATTGGGCTCGTTGCTTTTTCTGCAACCCACACGCAGCCACCCAGCCACATGTATTCTGGTGACGTTTGAGTCAACTCAAACGCCTTGTTCTTCCACCCACACGCACCGACCCACACACACCCACACGCACACGCACCCACCACACGCCCACACCTCCTCTATGCCGGGGTGGAAGGCCACCACAGCCATGATCTTGCGCACAAACATGCTCCGCAAACCCGCCTTCTCCCGCCCCGAACCATCCAGCCACGGCCGTATCACCACCTCCTCCTGCTCCCTCTCCTCCCTCTCCTCTTGTTCCCCTCTCTTCCCACCATGCTTCTCTCCTTGCTCCTGCCTGTGCTTCCCCCATTCTTCCCCTCCCTTTCCTCCCTCGTTCCCCCTTTTTTTACTCCCAGGCGTCGCCATGCCTAGTGCCCCTCTCTCCCTCTCCCCTTCCCCTGATTCTACACTCGGCCCCTTCCCCTTGTCCCCGCCTGCCCCTAATGGACACGTGAGAGTCTGCGGTGGGTCGGTGCGAGTGCTGGAGTCAGCAGCAAGACCGGCGGTGGCGGCGGCGGCGGCGGTGGCGGTGGCGGCGGCGGTGGTGGTGGTGCTGGGAAGAGCAGGTGCGGCGGTAGCAGTGTCTTGCTTGCGGAGGAAGAAGAGGGCTGCGTGCCGGGACGCCATGAGGACAGACGAGTCAAACAGCGCAACCTGAGAGGGCGCAAGCGCAGACAGTTACCGACGGGAATGGCAAACAGCGTTTGAGGCGCCTCAAAAAAATGGCAGATAGCACCATGAGCGAGTGTTGTGGGTACAACGACGGGGCGGAGGAAGGTCGGGAGGAGAGTGAAGCAGACGGGAATGGCAAGAAAGGCTTTCATGTGCAAGAGAAGTGTGTTTGAAGTCTTCTGAGGAGGGCAAAAAAGAAGGGAGATGACGGGGGTGCAAAGAGAAAGTGAGAAGATGGGAGGGGACAGAGGAAAGGGAAGCAGAGAGAAGCAGGCAAAGGCACACCCCGACGGGCAAGGAGAGACAGACCTGTTTGACCTTCCCTGATGCTAGAAGCTCTGCCACACAGCTCTCTATGTCCTCCTCCCTCACCCCCACCGCTGCTCCTGCTCCTGCTCCTGCTGCTCCTGCTCCTGCTGTTAATGCTGCTGTTGATCCGCAGCAGCAGCAGCAGCAGCAGCAGAGCTCTCGCCGGCCCCAGTGAGGGCTAGTGCTAGTTTGAGTGCGACTAGAGAGCATCCCCTGTCGCCCGTGGCTTCTATGTGTCGCTGCACTGCAGACAGAAGGCGATTTGAATGATGCCAACCCCACTCACTGCCTCTATCTGCATCTGCCGCTTCCCTTGCTGCTTCTGCACCTTCTCTTACTGTTCCGGCCACTTCCCTAGCCGCGTCGATTCCTTCGCTTGCTGCTCCTGCCCCTTCCCTTGCTGCTGCTACCCCTTCCCTTTCTGCTTCTGCCCCTTCCCTTGCAACTTCTGCCCCTTCCCTTGCTGCAACCCCCACCTCCCCCACAGTCCCCACACAACCCTTCACAGCATTTTCCCATAGAGAAACCAGCAGGTCGGGTACAGGTACCAAGGCACTCCTTACAAGCACCTTCAAATGCGGAAACCCCCTCACCAACTGCCTCACACCATAAGGAGTCTGAACCGACGAATTCCCCCTCCTCCTCCTCCTTCTCCTCCTCCTCCTCCTCCTCCTCCTTCTCCTCCTCCTCCTCCTCCTCCTCCTCTTCCTCTTCCTCCTCGCTCTGCTCCTCCCCACCCTTCTCTTCCCCTCCCACACCCTCCCTCCCCTTCCCGCCTCCGCTCCCCACCCCTTCCCCTGCACCACCACCCATCCGACCCCTCTCCTCCTCCGCCTCCTCCTCCCTCCCCTCCCTCCTAAGCCTCTCATACACGCGCCTCCTCTGCCGCCTCCTCTCCTCCTCAGCATCATCCTCCCTCTCCCCCACGCCTTTCTTCGGCAGCACCCCTTTCAACTCCAGCTGCCCTTGCAAAACCAAGGTCAGCAACTGCACCAAATGCCCACATCTCAGCGTTAAAGGCACCTCTTCCCAAGTCCCTTCCAGCACCTCTCTCCTCTCCGCCACCCACTGCGTAAACTCCGCACTATCAGCAGCGGCATGCGGGGAAACGGCGAAATAGAACTTGCTTCCACATGATCAGGGTTCAAAAAGAACGCACGAGAGCCCTTCCCTGGAACCACCAGATCGTTCATTCGAAGAAACTCAAACGCCACAACCACGTCGCTTTCCGGGAACCGTCGCAGCGCGTGCACAAGGAGGGGGGGGAGAGATCCATTGACCGTCGTCCCCGTGAGAATGGATTTAATGAGTTCGCATGCAGGGGCGGCAAAGGGACGCCGGTGCTTTCTGAGAGGAGCTTTTGTGCCTTGAGGGCTTTTCGGCTGATGATGGTTCGGCTGCGGTCTGCGGCTCTGGCTGCGTCAGTTGCGAGGGAGGTGCTGGTGTGAAGAGAGATGATGGCGGTGCTGGTTGCTGCGGCCGGACTGGATTGTTGAAGAGCAGGAATTGGTGCCTTTTCTGCTGCTGCTGCTGCTGCTGATGATGATACTCTTGGTGTCGTATACGACTCGACTCCCCCTCTTGCAGAAGCAACAGCAGCAGAAGCAGAAGCAGAGGCACCAGTAGGGCCAGCGGCAGGAGCAGCAGCAGGCACACGCCCTACCTGCTGCTTCTCCTGCTGCTGCAGCAGCCATGGGCGCAGGGAGTAATGAGCGACGAGCACTCGATCCACAGCCCGGGCCAACTCAGGGCATGAAAAATCATCCCACTCCCACCGGCTCTCCCACACCACCTCCCGCTGCCGGGCCGGAGCAGGGGCTAGTGGCGGGATGGAGAGAGGCGACGGGGAAGGAACAGGTGCTTTAGCACCAGCAGCACCAGCAGCAGCAGCAGCACCAGCAGCATCAGCAGCAGCTGCACCAGCTGCACCAGCAGCACCAGCAGCAGCCACAGTAATGGCTGCGGTGGCGCCGGCGGTGGTGGCAGTGGCAGTAGCAGTGGCAGTGGCGGTGGTGGTGAGAACACCCACAACCCCTCCCCCTCCGTCCCCATTCCTCTCATCCCCCCCCCCCTGCTCCTGCCCCTGCTCCTCCTGCCGCTGCTGCTCCTGCCCCTGCTCCTCCTCCAACCGCTGCTGCTCCTGCTGCGCCTCCCACTGCGCCTGCTGCTGCTGCAGCGCCTGCGCCTGCTTGTACTTAGCCCAACGGGACAGCCTGAGAGCAACGAGAGCGCAGAGGTCCTGCAGAGCGTGGCGTGTGCGGGCATCGGTGCGCAGAAGGGCCACGTGACGGCGGCACGCGGAGGGCGGGAAGGGCAGGCGGTGCGAGTAGAGGTGCCACTGCATGCGCGGGTGCCGCGCGCGCACACGCGCGTACTCCTCGATAAGTGTGCTGGGAGAAGGTGGGGGAGGGGAGGGGAATAGGGGGGAACAGACTTGTGAGGAGCTCCCAAGGGGCGCCTTTGGTGTGGTTGGTGCGAATAGAGGTGCCACTGCATGCACGGATGGCGGGCGCGCACACGTGCGTGCTCCTCAATAGGGTGGTAGGGGGATTAGGGCGGATGAATGGGAGAAGAGGAGAGAGAGGAGGGGAGAAGGAAGTTGGGCGATGCACTTGGCCGCACAGCACAGCACCACACAGCACAGCACAGCACAGCATTTCCACCACATCCCACCACGTTCCACCACACTCACCGAGTGGAAAACTGAGTCCAAGTGACTCGTCTCAGCCGAACAGCAGAGCCGTCAAGTGCTCTTGATACGCCCCCAATATCCTCATCCTCCTCCCCTTCCTCCCCTTCCTCCCCTTCCTCCCCTTCCTCCCCTTCCTCCCCTTCCTCCCCTTCCTCCCCTTCCTCCCCTTCCTCCCCTTCCTCCCCTTCCTCCCCTTCCTCCCCTTCCTCCCCTTCCTCCCCTTCCTCCCCTTCCTCCCCTTCCTCCCCCTCCTCCCCCTCTCCCTCTCCGCTTCTCCCTCCTCCCTCCTCTCCTTCATCCTCAACATCGTATCTAGAACCCTCCCTTTGCATTTCCCACTCACCATCCCCATCCTTATCCCCACCACCACCACCCCCATCACCTTCCCACTCATTCCCACCAATCTTCCGTCTCTTCCTTGTCATCTCTTCCCCACTCCTCCGCTCCTCTCCCCGCTTTTCCTGCCCACTCTCCACCCCTCCATGAACCCCCAACAGCCCTTTACTCTTTGCAACGACAAGCATTCCCCCACCAACCCTACCACCACCACCACCACCCCCACCACCCCCACCAGCAGCACCACCACCACCACAACCCCTCCCACTCACACCCGCTAGTCGCATTCTCCCTCGGGCCTCTCCCCCCTCCTCCCACCCATACTTCCTCCATTCTGGTTTCGCCTGTAGCGCAGCAACCCTACTCTTCCCAAGCACATCAACAACTCTCAGGTTCCTCCCTCTCCCTTTCCCTCTCCTTCTCCCACTCCCACCCCCACTCCCACCCGCTGCTTCCTCCTCACTCCCCCCTCTCTCACCCTCCTCTTCCTCCTCATCCTCCTCTTCGTCCCATTCCTCCTCTCCCTCACTCCCTCGCCTCTCCCCACTCCTCCTCCTCTCTTCTTCTGCCGCTTCCTCGTCCGTGCAAGATCGCTCCATTTCACACCAGGTAACAACCCCAGCTGCGGCAAGCTAAGAGCATGCATGCGCAAGTGCCCCTGCCTCATGTATATCGAATACAACACCTGGTCTCTTGTAATCCCCATCTCACGCGCAATTTCAGCCGCAGTCGCGCGCACGGTCGTCTCCCTGTCCTGTAACGAAACGGCTTGTAAGCGGCGCATGAGCTGGATGTGCAGACGCAGCGGCAGGAGAGCGTGAGACGCCCACACTCGAGCATTCAGCATCTCAGGGACAGCAGTGGCGGGGAAATACCGACGGGCGACAGAGGGAGCGAGCGTGGAGAACACTGTTTGAAGGGAGGACCAGTACAGAGCTAGGCCTTCTTCCTCTGCTGCGTCTAGCTCTATAGTCACTGCTTCTGGCCCTACGCTCCTTTGTATCACCCCCCGTTGGAGGTTGGTAGGAGAGTAAGAGGATTGCGGGTCGAGCGAGGACGAATTGGGGTGGAAGGATGCCGAGGGAGGGAAATGAGGGGAGGGGTTTGAGATGGGGTGAGCGGGGGAGGAGGTGGAGGGGGAGAGGGGGACTTAACGTGGAGTTGGAGTTGGAAGGAGGGGGGATGTTGGAGGCGAATGCGACGTGTGAGGACATAGAAGACACGGAAGGATGGCTCTAGGTAACTTTGCTCCTCTCCCTGCTGCTGCTGCTGGTGTTGATGATGCTGTTGCGGCGACGGCGGCGGCTGCTGTGGCTGTTGCTGATGCTGTAAGGAGGAAGGTTCGGTGGAGGTGGAGGGTTTGAGGTCTGGTGCGGAGACATGGAGAGATAGCAGCTGAGAGTATGGTGCACAGATGTAGCAGCGCGCACGTGCACACACACACGCACGCACGCACGCACGCACGCACGCACGCATGCACGCACGCACGCACGCACGCACACACACACACACACACACACACACACACACACACACACACACATGCACACACATGCACACACATGCCATCACATGCAAGTTCATGCAAATACATGCAAACACATGTGAACACATGTGAAAACATACATACGAACACGAATACCCAAAGCGCAAACGCCGCGCACAACACATACATACCGTAAGGATAAAATTGTATTCTTTATAAATACACATAGAGTGACCCACTGGTTGAACCGATAACTACCCGCTTGTTCATTCCGAAGGTCCAGTGATCAAATCTCACATACCACATTTTCTCCATTCCTCAAGCCAACCCATACCCGCCAAACATCCTCACCACCCTAACCATGTGCAACCCTCCTCACCCATGTGCACTCATCCCCACTCTTCCACAACCCACCTGCAAGCGCTGCAGAAGGTTGAAGACGCGAGAGAGGCGGGTGCGTGCTGAGGCGTCAAAGAGCGTGTGCAGCAGCGAGGGGGGCAGCTCCCGCACCACCTTGCCTTGCAACGCCAGGGGCGTCAGAGACGGGATGTCCTCACTCGCGCCGACAATCTGAGACCAAGGGAGGGAGGGACGAGGATCAGGGAGGGGTGAGTGAGGTGGGCGTGGGAGACATTAAACAAGGGGTCCTGCACGCACCACTTTGCCTTGCAACGCCAGGGGCGTCAGAGTCGGGATGTCCTCACTCGCACCGACAATCTGAGACAAAAGGAGGGAGGGACGGAGGGATGATTCTTAAGTCGACTTAAAAATCGTCTTGCCTTGCAACGCCAGGGGCGTCAGCGAGGGAATGTCCTGACTCGCGCCGACAATCTGAGAAGAAAGGAGGGAGGGACGGAGGGAGAAAAGGGAGCGGGCAACAGGAGAGGGTGGATACAGGTGCAGCCAGTGCAGGTGCAGCCAGTGCAGGTGCAGTGCAGGCGGGGGTGGTGTACCTGAAGGAAGAGCTCCAGAGGCATGGCGTGCACAAGCGTAGCCAGGTCAAACTTGCACCCCTGAGTGCTGTCAGGATCTGCAACCAACCAGACGAACAAACGAAGATGACGACAAAAAGAAAAGGGAAAGCAACGAAACGGAACGAATCAGGAATGGATATAACGACAAAGAACGGGAGCGGTGGGGGAAGGAGGGGTCACCATCACCTGGGTTTGGCTCGAACGTGTTTGTGTCCCTGGACTTGACATGCGACCAGAGGAAGAGGTGCAGCTGCCGTGCACGCACCATCTTAGCCGGCACATACCCATACCGCCGCCGCACACTCATCAGCTCCGCCTCCCCATCCTCCTCCCCTCCCTCTCCTCCCTCCCCTCGCACTGCTCCCTCCGCTCCCTCTGCTCCCTCCCATCGCCCTGCCCTCTCTGCCCCCCCTGCTCTCTCTGCTGCACTCACACCGCCTCGAACCGCTCTAGATCTCGTTCCCTTTCCTTGCTGCTGCCCATCCTTCCCTTGTTGCTCGCCCATCCGGCTCTCTCTTTCCTGCCCGACTAACTCCCTATCATGCCGCAACCCTTCCTGAACCCTTCCTATTGTACCCCCATCGGCCCTGCTGTCTGCTGCATCCCCTCCCAACCCCCTCATAGGCTTTCTACCTCCCAGTGCCGTTGATTCTGCACCTTCTCTCTCTCCTCCCCTTCCTGTAGCTGCTGCCGTTACTCCCCCTGCTCCTCCTCCTCCCCCTGCTCCTCCTGCAACAGTAATTCCTCCTCTTTCAGCAACAACAACAGCAGCACCAGCAGCAGCAGCAGCACCAGCACCAGCACCAGCAGCAGCTCCTGCCTCAATTCCACCCCCAAATACCATCTCCTCTTTCACATAATTCCCTTCCGCTTTGCCCGTACCTCCCACACCCCTCACCACACCACTCTTCCCCATACTCCCCTCTCCCGCACCCACCTTCCCCATATCCACCTTCGAATCAGCATTCCCACCCCCATCCACCCCTCTCCCCACACTATCACCCACCCGTAGAGACACAGCGATACCCAGCCGCTGCTGCCTCCTCTTCACAGCATCTAGCTGTCGCCCCACCAGCCGCCTCTCTATGTTGTTCAGAACAGGTATACCCACCCGCCCCTCACCCTCACCGTCGCCCCCCTCCCCAACCTCCCCGCCCTTCTGCTTCGCCTTGGTTTCCTGAAAGGCCGGCACCTTATACCTGTTGGCCCGCGTCCCTACTCTGTTACCACCCCCGCCGCCACCACCAGCAGCAGCACCACCACTACTGCCAACAGCATCACCTCGAGCAGCAAAAGCAGTCCGATTATCAGTTCCTGACCACGGCTTCGCCTCATCCCCTGTGTGCCCTTCTCCTCCTCCCCCTGCTCCATCTCCCTCTCCTCCACCTCCTCCTCCTCCCCCGCCCCTCCCCTCCACCTTCCTCCCCCACATCACATCCGCAGCACCCCTCGCATTCTCCATCTCCTGCCTCCGATGCCGCGCAATCACCGCTCCCAGCGCCTCCGGACTCGCATCCGCGCTCCCAGCGAGCACGATCTCAAGAGTGCGCGCCTGGCCGCCGTTGGAGACGCCAGGAACGGAGAGCAGCATGCGCTTGAGCAGAGAGCGTGCGCGCATGGCGTCGAGGATGCGGTTGAGCGTCTTGCGATCCATTGTGGCGGAGCGGAAGGCCCGCTCCGTGGCCACCATGTGCCGGTACAGCTCCCACCGCGTTGCGATTTGATTGGCCTGGTGTGGGGGAGGGATGGGGCAGGTGGGGGGAAAATGGAGGGAGGGAGGGAGGATTGAGGGCAGCACGCTCTGATGCCACCATGTGCCGATACAGCTCCCAGCGTGTTGCTATCTGATTGGCCTGTCGAGCGGGGAGGGAGGGAAGAAGGGAAAGGGATAGAGGAAGAGGGTTTGAGGACAGTACGCTCTAAACGCGACCATGTGCCGATACAGCTCCCACCGTGTTGCTATCTGATTGGCCTGGGGTACGGCAGGTGAGGGAGAGGGGAAGGGAGGGAGAGAATGTACGGAGGGAGGAGGAAGGAAGGGGAAGTGCAGGGGAGGAGGAGCTGGAAAGTATGGTGAAAGAGCTCTCGAAACCCCTGGGCACGAGGAGGGGGGGGAAAGACGAGGAGATTGGGATAGGGAGGACAATGGATACCTCGAGGAAAGCCGTTATGGTGTCCTCTCTTCTCTTCCACAGTGCTTCATCCTTGGGGAAGCTGGAGCGACGACACACTGGCCTCTCAAAAACCCCCGGCAAGGACGTGAAAGAGACAGCGGGAACAGAGGAGGAAAAAGGGAATACCTCTAGGAAGGCTATGCACAGCTAAGCCGCAGCAGCTAAGTTCCTGCAGCAAAAAACCCCGGCAAGGAATACCTCGAGGAAGGCTATGATGGTGTCCACTCGTCTCTTCAACAGTGCTTCATTCTTGGGGAAACTGGAGCAACGAGACACCTTCTGGGGCGCCTCAAAAACACGGTACAGCATACCTCGAGGAAGGCTAAAATGGTGTCTTCTCGTCTCTTCAACAGTGCTTCGTCCTTGGGGAAGCTGGAGCGTCGAGACACCGGCCTCTCGTCTGGACCTTGCTGCTCCTGCTGCTGCTTCTGCCACTGCTGCCGCTGCTTCCTCTGACTTAGCTGCTGCGGCTTCTGCTCCTCCTCCTCCTCCTCCTCCTCCTCCTCCTCCTCCTCCTCCTCTTCCTTCTCTTCCTCCTCCTTCACCTCCACCTCCTCCTCCTCCGCCTCTTCCGCTTGCTTCTGCTTCTGCATCTGCTTCTGCGTCTGCGCCTGCTTCTGCTTCTGCTTCTGCTTCTTATTCTTATTCTGCTCCGCCTCGATCCTGCTTCTGCCCCTCTGCCGCTGCTGCTTCTGCTCCTCACTACCCGCACCCACCTCCTCCTCTTCCTCTCCATCCGTCTCACGCTCTTCCAGCCCCTGAGCCTGCACCTCTCTCTGCCGCTGCGCACCGCTCTTATTGCTTTGCCGTGTTCCGTTCCTCTCTTGAGCAATTCCGTTGCTCTGCTTATCCTGAGGCACCTCATCATTTGGCTGTGTGGTATTGCGACGGCGTGTATAGACCCTTGAGACGATGGGCTGAGAACGGCTGTGGGACATGAGTGCAGGCGAGACAGCAGAAAGGGGAGCGGGAGGAGGGAGAGCGGAAGAAGCAAGGGAAGGAGGGAGGGGATAGGAAGCTAGTGGGGGAGAGGAAAGAGGAGTATTGTGGGAGGGGTTTGTGTGTGGGGAGGGGAATGAGGGGGAAGGGGAGGCCGGGGAGGGGAAGGCGGAGGTAGCAGGACGATTTAATACCATGGTGCCGGTCCCTTCATCTAACCCAGCATTCTCCAGATGTTCAGAGGGGCGTTGGGGTGACCATAAGAGAGGTGCCTCAAGACCATTCCTCCTGTCCCTTTCCTCACCATCATCACCATCACCATCATCCGCAGGACCACCACCATCAGCAGCAGCAGCAGCAGCAGCAACACCACCAACATCAGCAGCAGCACCATCACCGCCACCGCCACCACCACCACCACCACCATCGGATGTTTGGGCCATGTCTAAATTTGTTGCCTTTATGGATTCTTCTCTTCTTATGGCTGTCTCCTCCGTTCCCTCCTCTGCTGCCCCTTCTGCTGTGTGTGCTTCTGCTTCTACCGCTGCCCCATCTGCTGTCTCCCCATCTGCTTTCTCCCCATCCACTCTCTCTCCTTCTGCAATGTCTGCTGCGGACCGTTCAACGGCAAGGCTCCATACATTCGCCTCCACTGCTGCTGCTTTCTCCGGTACTGCGTCGTCCCTTTCACTCATCCCCACACCTGCCCCTGCCCCTTCAACCACTGCTGCAGGAGCAGCAGCAGCCAGCAGCGAACCAGCTCTAGTCCTCACTCCTCTCACTGCCGCACCTGCTGCTGCTGCTGCCACCCTCCCATCCCCCTTCCCATCTCCCGTTTCACCATCTCCCTTTCCCTTCCATCCAAAATCTATCTTCCTGCGCTTGCGCCCCCGCCTCCCTCTCTCATCTTCGTCGTCACCCGAACCTGCAGCTAGAACCCACTCAGACTCATCCTCCTCCAGAGCAATCACAGAATCCTCAAACTTCAACGCAACTGCAGAATCTCCATCCTCTTTAACATCCTCCTCATCCCACACTGCAACGACAGAGTCCTCTCTCACATACTCCCCCACATGCTCTCCCACACGTTCCCTCACATGCTCCTCTTGCCCTTCTTCCCCTCTCCACGTCAACCTTCTCAAATCTACATCCTCATGCTCTTCTTCCCCTCTCCCAGCACTTGCTACCACAGCACCCATCCCTGTCCCAGCTCTCTCCTGTGTATGTGCATCCTCGATTTTCTCTGTCTGTACTATTTCCTCGCTTCCCTCTGCCTCGTCCCCTGTTGCAATGCTCCTTCCCCTCCCCCTCCCTCTTCCTCGTCCTCTGCCCTTTCCTCGTCCCCTCCCTCTCCCCCTCCCTCTCCCTTCCTCACCATCCTCTACGTTCGCCACTGCTACTCCATCTGCTTCAACCGGCTGTGTTTCCTTCCCACCTGCATCATCCTCACACTCACCTCCAACTAACTCCGTCCCTTCAGCTCCACTCTCCCTGCCCATCCCACTCCCTCTCCCCCTCCCCCTCCCTCTACCTCGCCCCCTCCCTCGCCCTCCCCCTCTCCCTCTCCCTCTCGCCCTCCCCTTCTCCGTCCCCATATCACCCCCTTCCTCCTCATCACTTTCCTCACCCTCACCTCCGTTTCCTCTCCCCTTCCCCCTCCCTCTCCCTCTGCCTTGCCTAGCAATCTCCGCTTCAGCTGTTGCGTCTTCACCTGCTTCATTCTTCCCCCTCCCCCTCCCTCTCCCCCTCCCTCTACCCCTTCCTCTCCCCCTACCAGCCTCGTTCTCCTCGTCGATTCCCTCAACCACACCTCCCTTTCCTCTACCACTCCCTCTCCCTCTCCCTCTACCTCTCCCTCTCCCTCTCTTTGCTCCTGCACCACTCCCCTTACCTTCCCTCCCTTCCACTCCTCCCAGAGAAAATTCACCACTTTCTGTATCACCATCACCATCAACATCACCACCACCATCAGAATCACTGCCAGCATCACTATCCCCGTCCCCATCACCATCCCCATCACCACCACCACCATCCGCACCAACACACTCTGCCCCACCATACCCCAGCAACTTTTGAGGCGCCTCAAAACCAGCAAATTCTGCTCCACTGTAATCAAGCAAACCCTCAGCAGCAGTAGAAGGCACAATAGCCAGTGCCCCATACCCATCCTCCTCCCTCCCATCCCCTCCACTCCCTCCTCCTCCATCCTCCTCTCCCGCCCCACCCACCGCTTCTCCCACTTCTGCTGTTGCTACTCCTGTTTTCCCTCCTCTTCCTCCCCCTCCTCCTCCTCCCTCGCCTCCTCCTCCCCACTTGCCGCCTCCGTCTCCCACAGCTGCTCCCAGCAGCAGCAGAGGAGCAGCAGCAGCAGCAGCAGCAGCAGCAGCAGCAGCAGCAGCAGCAGCAGTAGGAGGGGGTCCCACAGCTTTCAGGCGATAGACGGTCATGCGCTGGTGGTTCTCGGCGTGGGAAGTTATCAGCTTCCGCTCCTGCAGGTCCTGCACTATGCGGTAGAACCGCTTCTTGCCCACCCCCGCCATCGCCCCCGCCAGCTGGGTTATGGGGGGGGAACGAGCGAGAGGGGAAAGGGAGGGGAAGAGAAGGGGCGCAGGGTGGGGGAGCGGAGAGGGGACCCAGGAAGGACGTGCGTTGGGGAGGCGGGGAGTAGGAATCGAGAAGCGTGGAGAGGGAGAAAGGTCGGAGCATGGGCAGTGAGCATGGGCGCTGGTGGTTCTCGGCGTGAGCTGTGATCAGCTTCCGCTCCTGCAGGTCCTGCACTATGCGGTAGAACCGCTTCTTCCCCACCCCCGCCATCGCCCCCGCCAGCTGCGCGTCGGAAGAAGGGGAGGGGAGAATGGGGGGAGGGTGGGGAGGGGTGGGTTGCGAGTGGGGAGAAGGAGGGGAAGAGGGTGAGGGCAGGGGGGAGAGAGAGGGGGGTGTGATTGGGAAGGGGTGCAGGAAATACATTGAGAGGAGGGGACTCAGGGAGTGGGACACTTCTAGTGCTTCTAGTGCGTGGAGAAACGGACGGAGATTCAGGGCGTTCATTGCACTCCGAAGCTGCTGCTGTCCTTCCACTGCTCAGTATCACACAAATCTCCCATCCTATACTCCTCCTCACATATACCCTCCTCCCCCACGCGCCAACTGCATATCTCACTTCCTCACTATCTCCCCCACCTCTAGCTGGAGGACCCCATCGGGAGCATGACTGTTTACGGCATCCAGCAATGTTCAGAATTCTCACATTGCTAAACACATTGTTCAGATAGTCATTTCCCCGGACTCGACTATCCCTCACCTCTGGCTGCAGCACCCCGTCAGGAGCATGCCTCTGAACCGCATCCAACACCTGCTGCTCCGCACTGAGTTCCATTGTCAAACAACCACTCTGCCGACCACCCATTGCAAACGCAGCCCACGCAGCAGAGGCTGCTTCTGCTTCGGCTGTTGCTGCTGCTGCTGCTGCTTCTGCTGCTGCTCCACCCACTCTTCTAGGAATCAAGGCCCTCTGTGCATTTTCATCCAGCCCCACCGCCCCTGCTACTGCCTCTGCTTCTGCTGCTCCTGCTCGCTCGTCAATACCAGCATCATCCTCATCTTCCCCATCATCATCATCATCATCACCATCACCTTCCCCATCCCCATCATCATCCTCATCATCATCCTCCCCATCATCCTCCTCTTCCCCATCCTCCTCACCCATGCCCCTTCCCTTGCCCTTCCCCTGCCACGCCCTAATTAGAGCGTCCGAGGGCGGTTGGAGGGTGGGCAGGGAGAGGAAGGAGCGGAGCTGAGCCTCCGTGTATGTTCGCACCAGCTGCACACATGGCACCATCTGTAGGCAGGAACGGAAACGGGAGAGAGGGGTTGAAACGGGAACGGGGAGAACGAGGATGATTAATTACGGTACACAGGAGTTGAGCGGTGTCTTGCTGTTGAAGAGAGAGAGGGATGAGCGGAAGGAGAGGGAGGAGCGGAAGGAGCGGAGCTGTGGCTCTGTGTATGTTCGCACTAGCTGCACATGTGGCACCATCTGAGTAAAGTGGCACTATGCCAGGAGAGAGTAAAGTGGGTGGGCGAAAGAGGGAAAAGAGTGAAACTCGTGAAAGGAGGGAAACGAGGGGAAAAGAGGGAAACTCGGGAAAGGAGGGAAACGAGGGAAAAGAGGGAAACTTGGGAAAGGAGGGAAACGAGGGAAAAAGAGGGAAACGAGGGAAAGGAGGGAAACGAGGGAAAAAGAGGGAAATGAGGGAAAAAGAGGGAAACGAGGGAAAAAGAGGGAAACTCGGGAAAGGAGGGAAACGAGGGAAAAAGAGGGAAACGAGGGAAAGGAGGGAAACGAGGGAAAAAGAGGAAAACGAGGGAAAGGAGGGAAACGAGGGAAAAAGAGGGAAACGAGGGAAAAAGAGGGAAACTCGGGAAAGGAGGGAAACGAGGGAAAAAGAGGGAAACGAGGGAAAGGAGGGAAACGAGGGAAAAAGAGGAAAACGAGGGAAAGGAGGGAAACGAGGGAAAAAGAGGGAAACGAGGGAAAGGAGGGAAACGAGGGAAAAAGAGGGAAACGAGGGAAAAAGAGGGAAACGAGGGAAAGGAGGGAAACGAGAGAAAAGAGGGAAACAGGGGGAAAGAGGGAAACGGGCGGAAGGAGGAAAAAGGGGAAAATGAACACAGGCTCTAATAGGTGAGGGGCGTTCTAAAAGGTCAGGCCAAGGGTAGCCAGTAAGAAACACAACTTGCGTATCAACTAGAAAAACTCAGAGGCGTGTGTGGCAGGCAGGCAGGCAGGCAGAGAAGAGAGAAACAGGAGGAGAGAGAGTGCAGCAGGTGGCAGGCAGGCAGGCATACCCGGCTGTCGACGTAGGCTTGGAAGATGCGGATGATGCCTGCTTGCACCATGCGGTACTGCAGCTGTGGTGTGGGTGAGGGGGGAAGGAAGGGCAATGAATGGGCGATGAATGAACGCAAGACGAATTTTGAGTCGGTTAAAATCTGTCGACGTAGGCTTAGAAGATGCGGATGATGCCTGCTTGCACCACGCGGTACTGCAGCTGTGGTGCGGGTGAGTGGGGGGAAGCATGGCGATATATGGGAGATGAATGGGAGACGAATGGGCGATGAATGGGAGAAGAATGGGAGACGAGCGGGAAACCAAAACGGAGAGAAACAAAGGAGCAGGGAGAGAAGGAAGGGAGTCTGAGGCAATGCGACAGAAACACACAAGACCAGAGAGCGATAGAGAGAAAGAGACAAAAAATGTGTTTGTTGGTGCAAGTCGCTGCACTAAGGAAGGAAAATTAAGACGAATGGCAGGAGCAATGAATTTGTGTGAGTGGAGGGGGAGATAGGAAGGGAGGGAGGGAGGGAGGGAGGGAGGGAGGGAGGGAGGGAGGGAGGGAGGGAGGGAGGGAGGGAGGGAGGGAGGGGGGAGGGAAGAAGCCGAGAGAGAATCCATACACGTCTCCAGAGGCGATGGCCGGTGGCAAAGCGGTACCCTAGCGTGGCCTTCAACTCCTGACGCACTAGCACCTGACAGAATGTGTAGGGTATAAATGGGATAAAGGGAAGACAGTCAACCCACAATGGACAGCGGGAGAGAGGATACTTGACTTTTGAGTCGACTCAAAAGGTGACAAGCGGCCAACAGAGGCGGTGGCAAAGCGGTACCCTAGCGTGGCCTTCAACTCCTGACGCACTAGCACCTGACAGAATGTGTAGGGGATAGTGGGAAGACAGTCAAGCCACAATGGACAGTGGGAGAGAGGAGAAGGGGGATAAAGTGGGCTGTGAGGAGAGGGAGGAGCACGAGGTGGTAGGGTGGAAAAGAGGAGTAGGTGGAGAGAAGAGGAGGGGGGAGAATAGAAAAAAATCCATCCTCCTGTAATTTGTGTTACATGCTCTGTTGTTTCGAGACGTCTCGAAACTTCTCGAAACTATGTGTTTCTCTGGAATTCCTATTGATGAACATGGGCTGCAGATTTCATTTCGACCAGAGTCCAAACCCAACCGTTCCCCACTTCTGCTTCCCCCCAACACCCCCTTCCTTCCCTCCCTCCCCCCCCCCCCTCCCATATTTCTCCCTTGCATAAACCCCGCACTGCAGCACTGCACCCACCTGTCCCTGCACGTTGGACAGGTACTGGCATATGGACAAAATCGCTGCCACGTCATCATCCACACCCCTCAACACCACCGACCCTCCCGCCCCACTCCTGTCCCCACTCCCATCCCCACTCCTTGCTCCAACCCCCTCGCTCCCCTCCCTCCCTCCACCCCATTGCATGTCTCCGCCTCCCCCTCTCCCTTTTCCTCCTCCTCCTCCTGTTACACCTCCTGCTGCTGCCACCATCCATGCCTCTGCCTCCGGACCAGCCTCCCACCTGTCGCTTGCGCCTCCCCCAATGCTCGTGCGCTCTTCAGGTGCAGCAGCAGCAAATTCAGAAGCAGGAGCAGCAGCAGGGGACAGGAGATGGTAGTTCCCCTGCCCTGTGACACTCGCCGGTGAGAAGCGAGAAAGATACAGCATGTTGGTTCGGCACGTCTGGGAGGCAACGCCGTTAGTAGAAGCAGCAGCGGCAGCAGCAGAACCACCAGCACCAGCAGCAGAAATACCAGAGTTGGGAGTGAGGGAGTGGCAGGTGACGACAGCGTGCAAGGCGATGAGCCCGCGGGCTTCCAGTGATCGCAGCACGTAGTGGAAGTTGTTGTTCTTCACGCGCATTGTCTTGGCTAGCTGTGCCTGCGACACCCCGCCACGTCTGGCAAGAGGAGCAAAGGGAGAGAGGGGTTTAGAGGCGCGTCACAAGTGGCTTCCAGCGATCGCAGCACGTAGTGGAAGTTGTTGTTCTTCACACGCATCGTCTTGGCTAGCTGTGCCTGCGACACCCCGCCACGCCTGGCAGGAGGAGGAGCAAAGGGAGAAAGGGAATTTGAGGTGTCTCAGAAGTGGCTTCCAGCGATCGCAGCACGTAGTGGAAGTTGTTGTTCTTCACGCGCATCGTCTTCGCTAGCTGTGCCTGGGACACCCCTCCGCGCCTGGGTAGCGGGAGGAGCAAAGGGAGAGAGGGGTTTGGAGGCGCGTCAAAAGGGGCTTCCAGCGATCGCAGCACGTAGTGGAAGTTGTTGTTCTTCACGCGCATCGTCTTGGCTAGCTGCGCCTGAGACACCCCACCACGCCTGGAAGAGTGGAGGAGAGGCGCAAAGAGAGGGAGGGCACATGGGGGAGGGAGAGGGAGGTGGCAGGCAGCACTGCTATGTGTCTGATAAAGAGGTGCAGCACGTAGTGGAAGTTGTTGTTCTTCACGCGCATCGTCTTGGCCAGCTGCGCCTGCGACACCCCGCCGCGCCTGGATGGGGGAACAATGGGGGGATTGGGAGAGAAGGCAACAGGTGCGGTGTATCAGAATCAGCAGTGCGGTGTGGAAGGTGCAGTGGGCGCGCACACTGGTTTGATAAGATAAACAAGTTGCATCGACAGCTCGGATCGGATGAATAGCATGAGCAGAGCAGCTGCTCTTGTTCTTTGTTCACACACGCATGCACGCACGCACGCACCCCACGCACACCTGGTCTTGCCAACGAGCTCAAGGGTGTCTATCATGAGGTCGCTGAGCCCACACTCGAACTCGCTCTCCACATACACGCCCAGAGACGCCAGCCTCAGCCCCTTATGCGCCACCACCACCAACCCCTCCCTCTCCGCACTCTCCCATCCCCACTCCTCTTCTCCTCCTCCTTCCTCCCCTCCTCCTCCGCATTCCGCTCCGTCTGCTCCACCTCTTCCTCCTCCTCCTCCTGCTCGCTTCTTCTCTGCTCTCTCCTTCTTCCCGTGCCCGTTGTTCCTCGCGCTTCCCCGCACACCACCGCAACCCACCCAGCGGTACCGCACCGGCTTTTCCTTCCCTGGTTTCTTCTTCTGGCTCTGCTTCTTTCCTCCAGTCTCTTCGTCTCCCCACCCATCGTCAACTCCCTCTGCTGCTTCCACTGAAGCCTTTCCCTCTCTTACCCCTCCTCCTCCTCCACCTCCTCCCTCCTCTCCTCCTTCCTCCTCGGCGCTATAACCATCCAAAACAGACTCGTTTAAAGGAGCGAAGCCGGGGAGGGGGCGATGGGAGAGGAGGGAGAGGGAGGGGCAGCGGAGGAGGCGGGAGAAGAGCAACTGGCGGAAGGCGGGGTCCAGGGGGAGGGGCAGGCGGAGCTGCTGGCACGTGGGGGAGAGCAGACGCAGTAGCACGGAAAGGGAGCAGCCTGCAACGAGGATAGGGGGGGAAGGCGGGAGGTGCATTTTGAGTTTGAGTGAGAAGGAAATGCAGGGAGGGAGGCGGGAAGGAGAACAGGTCATTCACTACTGGCCTGGCCTGGCCTGGCCTGGCCTGGCCCGACTCGTCTGGTCTGACTCGGTTTGGCCTGGCCTGGAGGCGTGGCCTGGCCTGGCCTGGACTGGTCTAGACAGGATGGGACCTGGCTAATCTGGCCTGGCCTGGTCCGGCCAGGTCTGGCTGGCCGGCTGACGGGCTGACTGGCCGGCTGACTGGCCGGCTGGCTGGCTGGCTGGCTGGCTGGCTGGCTGGTTGGCTGGCCGGCTGGCTGGCTGGCTGGCCAGCTGACTGGCCGGCTGACTGGCTTACCATCCCGGCCTTCAAGGGCGATCTCCTCGAGAGCAGCCGCGAAGAGCTGGTCCATAGCGCGCTCCCGCTCGTATTAACCCCTTATTGTGACGCGCCTCGGAAACAGACGCGCTCTCGCGCTTGTAGACTCCTTATTACGCTTCAGTCTCTATTGTCGCTCCACGCCCTCGTGGTACAATCTTCCTCCCCTCTTGTCGACTCTGAATGCTCTCCCTTCTTTCCTTTTCGTTGACTCTCGTCGCCGTCCGTAATCTTCCACACCACTGCCGTTGCACCGCCTGGTATCATCCTAGCGACGTGCCATCCTTGTCCCGACAGGGTTATTGCAAGCCGTTCTCCTTGGAACTAAATTCTTGCATGCCATGCCTGCGAGTCTAAACCCGTGGCTAGGTGTGGCTTCTACAGAGCAAACCACTAAAAACCTCAACCTTAGTGAACGATGAATTTGTTTAGATTAAATACTGATTCCAGCGGCACCCTTCAGCTTTCGAAAGGGCCGTGGGACATTAGGGCGTGTCCTAAGTTCGCAGAGGTCGCAATATAGTCGAAATATTGCAGCTGAATACTCCCTTCGATGCCTTCACGAAAATTGCTCCATAGTGGCTTTCGCAAATCTTCGTCTGTATGCCTCTCAGAGATGGTGCATACAGGTACAACAACGCATCTACATTTGTGCCGTAAAAGGCTAAAAGCTTATGCACATTTTCATGAACTCAAATGTATGAGGATCACGGAAGCGAACATACGTTCACAAATACCACACGTTATCATATCGTGCATTTTTTTACTTCCTATTGACACACCTGCGCTTATATACCATGAATCACTGTACTTGTTTGAAGTGTGCAGATCACAGCACGCCATGTTGTACATAGCTGTGTATTGTATGTTCCATCATAGATTGAAAACTGCATCTTACAATACGTGCGCAGTGTATCTGCTGCATTTGAGACATCGCATACCATGTTCTGGTGTACACATGCTTGGCATGACACGACACGCGGCATGTGGGGCATGGCATGCCCTGACGCACGGCTGAGCAGTCAAGCAGCATCGGTGGCATGGGTGGTGGTGGCATACTGGCGTGCAATGGCCTCTGCTGTCTTCTCCACTGCAGCACACCCAGGCTGCCAGTGCCACACACACAACACAGAGACACGAGCGCACATGGGGAGGCATGAGGGCATGCGGGCGGAAGGGTACAGGAACATGGATACAGTAATGTGGTTTGGTTGGAAATAAGAATGGAGCACCCCTGTAGCAGAGATGGGTGAAGAAACTGGATGAAGAGAGGCAGTGAGTGCAGCTTTAGTTGAGGGCTTACAAACTAGAAGCAGAGACTGTCAAAAGGTTCCTAATCGCACATGCTGCTACAATCATTCGAGACTGTATCCCTGTCACTCAGCAAAGGCAACACAGGCAGCAACAAGAAGCAGGCACTGACCATGATGGCTAGCGCAGCAGTGGAGCGGCACGAGAGGCGGAGCGTTCGTGCGAGGAGCAGCGAGGCAGCAGCAGAGGCGGTGGGAGCGGCGGCAGCAAGGAGCACGAGAGGCACGGCCGTGGCAGCGGCTAGTTCAGGCAAGTGAGCTGTGAGCACTCGGGGAAACACATCAGCTGCTGCCACCACCACCAGCGGACGAACAACCCCCGCCACCACCCCCGTTCCACCTGCTGCCCCTGCTCCCCCCGACCCCTCCTGCCCCCGTCCTGCTGCCCCTGCGCTGCCTGCTGCTGCAGCTGCTGCTGCTGGTAGTGGTGCTGCTGGTGGGATTGAGTCGATGGGACCTGTAACTGCCCGGGAACGCTTTCGGTCCTTTTTTGTGCTATCATCTCCCCCCTTATCCACGCTACCACGTGCAGCACGGTCTGTCTTTGCCTCCCCCTCTGCCGCTGCACCTGCTCCCTCTCCTCCCGTGCTGCTCTCCCGCCATCTCTTCTTCCCACTGCTACCCAACTCAGCCTCAACTCCTGAATCTGCTCCTCCAGCAGAATCAACTCGAAACCCAGCAGCAGCACGGCCATCATCAGGAGACAGAGCACTGGCAGTAGCACCAAAGTCACCGTTGCTTGCTCCCTTGCCTGCACCCTTGTATGCCCCATTGTGTGCCCCCTTGTGTCGCTTGCTCCATGTCTCCCGCTGTATGGGCGCCTGGGAGGAGAGGGCGGGGGACGAGGGGGAGGAGGGAGCGGAGGGGGCGGAGGAGGAGGGGGAGGAGGGTGAGGAGGCGAGGGATAGGAGGAGGCGGGTAACAGAGCGCAGGCCACACAGCAGCACGGGAGGAGGTTCGGATGGGGAAGGAAGCGCAGCCGTTGATGCTGATTCACGTGCTGCTGCTCCCCCACCTCCTCCTGCTGCTGCTGCTATTCCTTCTGCAGCCCCCACTGCTGCAGCTGGCACTGCTATTGTCATTCCATCCGCATCTTCTCTACCCTGCAGCGCATCCCTTTGCCTTTCAATGCCCCTCCTTTCCGCCTCCCTTCCGCTCCCCGCCTCAGAGCGATGCTGCGCACTCTCCTGTGCCACTCTGGCGGAAGGGAAACGGAACGGAAGCATCAAGGAGGGCTTGAGTGATTGGAGTGGGAGAGACGAGACAGAAGGGTGGGCTTATGTAGAGAGGACAAGGAGGGCCCATATGTCGCCAAAAAAAAAAAAACAAACAAAAAACAAAAACAAAAACGAAAAGAGGAAAAAGCGTGATCCTTCAGCTGCAATATTTTGTGAATGGCATACACTGCGAATGGCTCTCACCCCACCTCGCCTCACCTCACCCCACCTCGCCTCGCCTCGCCAGCAAGTCACCTATATGAGCGCGCCACAGCTCAACTCACCTGCCCAGCAGCTCCAGCAGCGGAGCCACCTGCGCCCCCTCCACCACCCTCCACTTGCCGCGCCTCCTCTGCCGCCCGCCACTGCTGCCCCCACCTCCCCCACCAGGACTCGCAGCAGAAGCAGCGGCAGCAGCAGTGGCGGCGGCAGCGGCACCAGCGGCGGCACCAGCGGCGGCACCAGCGGCAGCGGTGCTGGTGGTGGTGAAAGCTTTACTGGGAGCGGGAGTAGGGGATACAGCATTCACAACACCACGTTTACCCTGTACCGCTCTACCTGCCGCTCCTGCTCTTCCTCCCGCCGCGGCTGCTGCTGCTGCTGCCGCTGCTGCTACTGCTGCTGCTGCTGCTGTTACCGGGGGAGCCTTCCCCGTCGCGTTTCCCTTTCCGCTCTTCACGGACGGACCCGTCGCGACTTTGCCGCCTGAAACCGCCGGCTTGCCATCGTCGCGCGCTTTCGCAACAGCTGACGTGTTCCGCCCGGAAATTACAGCTGACATCGTCCCACCGGCGGACTTTCCGCCGCGTTTGCCGGCGCTCTTGGCGCCGCCGGAAGTTTCCGCGTTGTTGCTGGTGCTAGCCGGCGTTTTCCCTTTCAGCTGAAGCCAATCCCAACCGCCACTCGTGTTGCCGCTGCCGCCGGCTTTGTCCGTCTCTGTAAAGCAAGCAGTAGCGAACCCGCCCCTGCCTTTCTTCCTCCCCATCGTGAGTCGCGCCCGTAAATTGCGGCGGAAAGGCACGAGCTGCGTGCGCGGGCGGGGTGGTGGGACTCACGGGGAGGGGAGGAACGAAGGCGAGGAGAGAATGAAGGCGGGCGGGGTAGAGTGAATCACCTGAGAAAGACAGGTGTAGTAGAGGGGAAGACAAATGTACACGGAGTAGTTGCCTGGATGTTATACTGTATCGAAGATCCCTTTGGGATGTGCAAGGGGGTGGGGTGTGTGGTTTGGCGAAGCTGACGAGAAGATACTGATGGAATTTTCGCAAGAAGAGGGGTAACCACTTCTGTTTTAGGGTTGGACCAATGAGATCGATAGTCTGGTTCGAGATCTCTCGTCAACTGCGAATGCTTGAACATTCTGACGTGACAAGATCTGGTTCCACGCTGGCATAACCACGCGAAAACTTGCCCAGCGCACATCTGACGGCTGTAATGACAAGGAATGCGAGTTAGCAGGCAAAATATCTACACAGAAGTTGTCGCATCGCATCGCACCAGTCCCGTGTTTTCCAGGTCCGCCCTTTGCGGTAATCCGGCTTTCCTTGTTCTCCCGGTTCTTCCGCTCCATCGCCACGCCACAAGTCGCTGCTTTTCTTTCTTTTTATTTCTCTCGATCTTACGTCTTTCCCGCGCATTCAGTTCGTATCTCACGCAAGTCCCCCCATTATGGCTCTTACCATGATTGTCGACTTACGCGCCGCCTCGTTCTCAGCGGAGATGGCTCCGAGCCGCCTAACAGGAACACTAACAGATAGCTCAGTAAGAAAAAGGATTCGGTTGCGAGTTTCTCGGGATTCACGCGCTCGCTCACTTTGGGAGCGCACCGCAGAGGATGCTACTAGGTTTGGTGCTCGTGCTGTTGCTCTTGTTGAACAGTCGATGGCTTCCCCTGCGATTGCACTGGCACGGATGACGCTCCGCTGCAACCAGCACCTACGCATTAGCGGCGTTAGCGGAAGCGTTAACCGCACCTACTATTGCAGCGTCAGCGGCATAGGCACCCTGCTGCAGCAGCAGCAGCAGCAGCAGCGGCGGCAGCAGCAGCGGCAGCAGCAGCAGCGGCAGCAGCGGCGGCAGCAGCGGCAGCGGCGTCAAGCGACTCGCGCTAGCTTCTCCTCTCTTTGGGTGCAAGAATGTCCCACCCACGAGATCCAGCAACAACAGCGCTTTCTATTGCTCACCGCAACGCACGGAACGCGGCGGCGGCGGCGGCGGCAGCGGTGGTTTTCTGTGGCCGTTCGCGCCGCACGGGCCGTCGTCGTTCGAGGCGCCTCGACACAGACCCCCCGAAATAGTCACACTGGCTACCAGGCAGCAGGCGATAATCACGCTGGCGAGCCGCCACCAGACCTTCTCCTCATTCGACGATTTGATTCACTCCTCGGATCTTGTCCTCGTCGACTTCTACGCCACGTGGTGAGCTGGGATTGGCGCGGGCGGAAGGACGCATCGCGCCCGTCTTTGACGAGGCCCTTAGAACAGGGTTCTGTGGTAACCAGTCGTGGCTCGTAACCAAGATTGGATGGGATAGAACAGCGGGGCTGGGTGTGTGACAGTCAACCAATCTTGACGCGTTCCGTTTGCAACCATCCCCCCCACCCCCTCCCGCCCGCAACCATTCCCCCCCTCTCCCGCCCGCAACCTTTCTCACCCCTCCTCCGCCCACAACCATCCCCGCACCTCCCGCTCTCAACCATTCTCCTCACTCCCGCTCGCAATCATCCCCTCCTCCCCCTCCCCCCCCTTGGGTCGCGCAGCAGGTGCGGGCCGTGCAAGCACATGGCGGCCGTGCTGCGAAGCCTCTCGCAACCATTTCCCCACCTCCCGCCCGCAACCATTCCCCCCACTCCCGCTCGCAATAATCCTCCCCCCCCCCCTCCCCCGGTCGCTTGCAGGTGCGGGCCGTGCAAGCACATGGCGGGCGTGCTGCAGAGCCTCTCGCACCGACTGCTCGCATCCGTCAAGATCGTAAGCACCCGTGTGACATTATTCTGAGCTGACTTTGAGTCGACTCAAAAGTCTACTCGCATTTGTCAATATCGTAAGCACTCGCCTCTCTGCCATTCCTGCGTCTCCGTTTTTCAGCCTCCCCGCGTCTCCCCGTCTCCGCCTCTCCGCCTCTCCGCGTCCCTGAGTCTCCGCCTTTCCGCACCCTCTCCTTCTCCGCCTCCTCTCTGCGCAACCTGCAACGCACCCGTCCCTCCGCACTCCGCCTACCCCTGCCTTGACACCCATCACGTCATTCGGCCCTTAATTCCACATGGTAAGGATGCGCAAAGACTGCTGCCCTCCGCCTCCGCCAATGTATACCTTCACTCGGCCCTTTGACTCACTGCTGGCCTCGTCAATGTATACCTTCTGTCAAAGACACAGAGCAGAACCTTTCCCCCCCCCCCCCCCCCGCCTCTCTGCGCAACCTGGCGCTGGCATCGCAGTACGGCATCACGGCGCTGCCAGTTCCCCTCGACATGCCTCGATTTGCCCATCCGCCCATCCGCCCATCCCTTTCTTGGCGCCTTACACCCCCTCTCCCCCCCCCCTCCCGCTCCCCCCCTATGTCTCTTACCCGGCAGGTGAAGATCGACACGGAGAAGTACCCGGCGCTGGCATCGCAGTACGGCATCACAGCACTTCCATTTCCCCTCGACACGCCTCCATGTGTCCATCCCCCCATCCCTTTCTTGGCGCCTCACAACACCTCCCCCCCCCTCTCTCTCACCCCCTCCCCCCACCAGGTGAAGATAGACACGGAGAAGTACCCCGCACTGGCATCGCAGTACGGCATCACGGCGCTGCCAGTTCCCCTTGACACGCCTCCATGTGTCCATCCCCCCATCCCTTTCTTGGCGCCTTACAACGATCCCTCCCCCGCCCTCCCGCCCTCTCGCCCTCCCGCCCCCACTCCCCTCCCCCCCAGGTGAAGATAGACACGGAGAAGTACCCGGCGCTCGCATCGCAGTACGGCATCACTGCACTGCCCACCATCGTGCTCTTCAGACACGGCCGCCCCGTCGACCGCATCGTGAGTCGCGGGCGGGTGGGAGAGTTGGCAGGGTGTGCGAGTCTGGGAGTCGCAAGCGGGTGGGAGTTTGGGAATGTGTGTTGGGGGTCGCTGCGACTCACGATAGGGTCGCTGGGGGTACGAGGGAGTGAATGGAGGTGGGATTGTGGTCGTGGGTGGTGGGGGGAGAGAAGGTTGGAAGGGGGTTGCGATGGCGGTTCCTCTCGTTCCTTCCCTCTCATCCCTTCTCTCTCGCCCCTTCCCTCTCCTCCCTTCCTTCTCGACCAACCATGCCCTTTGCCATTCTCTCCTCCCATTCTTCCCCCTCCTCATTCCCCCAGGAGGGCGTTCTTCCCCCTGAAGAGCTCATTTTACGCCTTGGCTCCCTCCTCGCCCCCTCCCACACACACTAGCCTGCCCACACAGACACACAAGCCACATACACACACACGCACTCCCTCACAGCCTCACATACATTCTGTTGTTTTGCTGTGGTTTTAGCACGGTTGTCTGAGAGTAATCTAATAGTACTATTATAAACAATAGACAATTACTACATTGCAGTATGTTTAATCAACCCATTGTAACTATCTACTTGCCACAGCTTGCATGATTCTCTATACAGACCAAGCATTCCCTGTACACAAAAGCAGGACTCTTGAAAAGCTCCACAGAAACCAAGCTTGCAGTTCACATGTGGAACCGGGCCAGTATGGTACTGGAAGCACCATCTCCGGTATGGCGAACAATGCCCGCTGAAGCATCCTATCCTGATTCCGTAATTCCACTCCACGAGTGGAGCGCGCCTTCAACCACAACCGACCATGCCTCTTGCTTGCTTGAGCCGCTCCTTATTGGATGAGCACGCATCATGACCTCTCTAGATTGGAAGAGGAGGAGAAGCAGCGGCAGCAGAAGGAGCAGAAGCAGAAGCAGCAGCAGCAGCATGGCTGCTAACAGGCAACAGGCAACCATCCTTTGAGCGGCGCCCACTCAAGCGCGCTCATAAGCTCCACCTCAGCCCGACTCAGCTGCTGCACCGGCACTCCCGATACCGCCGCCACGCTCCTCCCCAATGGAACCTGCTTGCGATTCACCAGAAGCTTACACGCCAACCATAGGGACGTGGCCAGGAGAACGCGGATAGAAGAGAGGGCAGGGGCGGCGGCGTGGGGGGAGTAAGGAGGGGGGGAGAGCCTGTGGGCGGTGATCAAACGCGTGAAGAGATGCAGGGTGAGGCCTTGAATTGACCGGTCGCTTGCAATGGCGGCTGCAGAGGTCGTGCGAGCGTCTGGGTCGGTTGGTGCAGCTACTGTTGCTGCTGGTGGTAACGGAGGCGTGGGCGAGTGCTTACTGGCACTGCTGCCGTTTTGCTCTGGGAGGGCTGACATCCAGCAGTGCAGCACGCGCCTCAGTCTCTGCGAGTTCGGCGCGCCTAGCAGCTGCTCCGCACGCGCACTTGCAGCAGCAGCAGCCGCAGTAGCAGCTGCAGCAGCGGTGGCATCAGTACCCTGTAACGGCCCAGCCAGCCCAAAGCACACCTCCCAGTCTCCCTCCCCTTCCCCATGCCGCCTATCCCCTCCGCACGCGCGCTTCCCCACAGACCAATGACCAACTCCCACAGCCGTTGCGGGTCTCTTACCGCCTTCCCGCGCAGCGCCTTCCCCCACGTTTCCGCCCTCCGCTGGCCCTTGCCGCGCCAAGTTCTCCTCCGCAATACCCGCCGCTGCTCTTCCCCCCGATGCCCCCGCGTTAGCTCGCGCGTAGCAGCCATGCGTAGGCGCAAGGGAGAGCCACGCCGCGCCAGCGGCGGGGGCGGGGGCTTTCACGGAAGCGAGGGCGGGAAGGGCAGAGGTGAAGCGGGAGGCGGGGGCGGGATGCGCAGCGGCGGAGTGGGGACCTAGCGTGGCCGGGGGCGGGGCGAGCGGGCCCCCCCCACGTGTCGCCACTGAACGTAATCGGCGCTGGTTGCGCTGCCTGGTGACCATGTGCGAGACCTCGTTTCGTGAGTTCGAACGGAGGGTAGTATTGGTCGCACGTGCGCACCTGCTTCCTCCTGCTGCTGCTGCCGCCGCTGCTCCCGCTCCCGCGACCGCTGCGGCGGCTGGCGCTGGCGCTGGGGCTGCCGCAGCTGCAGCTGCCGCAGCTGGAGGCGCTTTCGCTGGGGAGAAGCGGCAGAGGCGACACGGGGAGCAAAGGGAAGCTGGAGGTACTATCACCTGGAGCCGCACGCCGTGCCGCTCGTCTTTCGTCGCTGCTACTATGATGCTTGTCCCCTCGGCGCGCCGCGGCTACTATATCATGATGCGGCGGCTGCGGGTCTGAAGACTCGCGGCAGACGGATTCTTTCAGCGACCGGAATCTGTCAGTAGTGGGGTGGGAGAGGTGGGGGATATCGAGCGACCTCCGGGTCGCGCCGCGCGACGCGGAATCGTTGCACGATGCTGTTGCCACTGCCACCGCATACTCGCCGCATTCCTCGCAAACCGGGACGGCAGCAGCCGCCGTGCTTCCCGCCGCCGCCGCCGCCACCGCGAACTCGACGGCTGCTGAAGCTGGAGCCGCGAAGCTGGCGGCGATCGCGGACGCCACGTAAGCGGCGGGTAAGGAGGCGGTGGAGAGGCGGGAGCAGAGCGCGCAGAGAGAGAACCTGCGGTGGCGGGAGAATATTGCGCTCGACGCGTGGATATCCTGGTCGCAGGTGGCGCAAAGCACCGCACGATCCGCGGCGCAGAACGCGGAGGCTTGTAGGGGGCAAAGTGCACAGCGCAGAGGGAGCCACCTCGCTTCCGTGGCGCCGCCCCGCTCTTTGAGAGCGAGCGGCGGGGGCCGGGGGGGCGGCGGCGGCGGCTTCCCCGGAGTGATTGTTGCTGTAAATACTGGATTGAAGAGTCCCTTACGGAGCGCGATTGAAAAGGGCGAGTGGTTTTGGGAGGAGGGTGCAAAACGAGGGACTTGGGCGGTCGCCATGGAAACCCGTGCGTGAAATTCGGCGTGGGGAAAGGCTGAGAGAGCACAAGAACGAGTCGCGTGCTGCTACCTGCAGGGTTAAGTACTGATTTCGGGAGGAATGGAGGAAGAGGTCAGTAAAGTGTCAAGCTGTGCATCAGTGAAAAAGAAACGGGTGCAACACAACGGTTTGAAGCGGAAAGAAGAAAATGGTCCATATATGGATGCTCGGACGTGTCCACGGCTTGGAGGGGCTGTTTGCAATGGTGGTGAGAAGACGGTAAGTCCCCAGTCGAAGGGCGTCATTGGTTCCGTGTTGAGAAAAGATATCAGGCGCAAACTGGATTATGAATGGCTGACAATGTTGCGACGCGGCTCAGAGATATCGAGGTTGAATGTGAGCTATATTTGACAAATTGCACTTGCCCCCCATTTCCCAAATGTTCGTCCCAAACCACGCTCGTGCTCTTCCTCCTCACTTTTACAGCGAGCTGCGCAGTCCAGAGACAATGGCGCTTGCAGCGACTGGGATGGTTGTGTGGTGTGGCATGTTCTTGGATACTGTATTTTAATTGATACAAACCGAATGGAATGGATAGGGCAGGTGCAAGCACGGTGATGAAAAAACTGGATGCACTGGCGACGGCCGTTGTGGAACGAGATCTTGGATGGGTAATGAAAAAGGCGGTGACTGCCGTCGCGCGACCTTGTGTCACGTGATGGAAAGATTGGGATGAGTTACGATGGGATCTTTTTAAAATTGAGACCAGTGAGAGCCACACCAACAGCAACTTCACGGCGCCCATTGCAGGGTCACAACTGTACTCAGGTTTCGGGCAATTCATACTGTACTGTACTCGAAGTACACGGAGACCACTTGACGGACGAATTCGTACCGTGCAGACAGCTCACGAGGTCCATGAACAGAGCTTTGGGTTGGGTCGTCGTTCATTGCGGCCCCCCAGTAAAAACTACAGCGGGTTTTACCTACCGCATGCAGATCTTGCTAGTGCAGCTTTGCAAACGCATGAAATAAACGGTTCAGGGGAAAATGGTCGGCTTGCCGGCAAAAACATGCGGTTACCCGTGTTTAGGGTTGAGGCTCCCTCAATCGCATGCCATCCAGATGGGGTTTATTTTTTTCTGACCGCGGGCAGATAACAGTCCGTCAGCCTCTTTCCCCTGCGGCCGTCTATTGTATGCGTCTGCAAAATTGCGCTGGCATAAGTTGAATGCCGTTAAAAATGGCCCAAACTACAGTGTAATAATTCGAATCATGCTGCGCCTGATGTGTGACACCTGTAAGGCGGTGGATTGCCTTCTTCGGTGGTGACCTGAGCTTGCTGATGGTGAAACCAGGAATATGTTGGGGCACAAAGCTGAATTGTTGCAGTTTGCTTGATTAAAATCCATAGAACTCCATAAAATTCCAGTTTGAGACATTACAAACCGACTGCTTTTCCACCATTTGATTTTCTTTAATGGAAATTCACACCCAGCGACAGCGCGCGGAAACATCAAAGCGCCCTAGATTTCTCGACCGCCTAGCAGAATCGTGAACGACTTCGCAGCAAATCTAGCACGTGGCGACAGTGCAATCTCTGAATCCCTTGAGTTGAAGCAGACCGAAGATACAGTACGCTGATCTGTCGATTTGTACAGTTTCACCGCTGGCAATTGATCGGGGATTCGCCGCCAAATCCAGGAACCCAGGTTCGCGGCAGAAACCCGACCCCTGGAATCCTCAAAGGCGCTGTTCTATAGGCGTTAAATTTCGAAAAAAACGGGGCCGCAGAATCTTCGCCGATAAGTGGTTTTCGGCCTATCAAGGTTCGGTGATAAGCGAATCCCTGCCAAACCTGTTCGCGCCAAATTTAACGCTCTCGCCTGCACAACACCACTTTTAGGGCGCACAAGTTTAACCGCCTGCAGGTTCGAAGTTGTTGCTTTGCCGGGCAAATGTCCGCACAACTTGTGCGGTGCTGATTCTACCTCGGGAGCTAGCATCAGCCTCCGCACAAGTTGTGCGGGGCAGCAATTTCCGTGCAACGCAACCAGCGTGAATGCGCCTCGAAATTACGCAGAAGGCTACGGCGGTCAAATTGGTGCGGCGCCAATAACGCCTGCAGAACAACGCCAAAGCTTGCTGCCACGGTGTTCAAGGCTTGATGTGCCGCACCGATGATGTTTCGCCACCATTCCTTCCATCCTGTTTCGAGTGCAATTGAGAGAGATAACGAAGATTGCACGACCTAAGCAAGCATTATCTAATTGTTCCATAGCTAAGGCATAAGTGAATTGTTAAACGGCAAAGGCATTCTGGAAACGGTAGCACGGTCGCAATGTGCCCCTTGCGCCTGATATGGAGGTTGGAAATGTAAAAAATGTGCCCCTTGTTGCACTAGCAGGCAGTTGAGTACATATAGCAAACCCTAATTTGGGCTGTACTCGCTATAGAGTACCC